AAGGAATCTGGATCTGGATTCTGGATTCTGAATTCTGGAGCTAGAGCTGCGGATCCACTTTGTTTTAAATCTAGAAAGACCCACAAGGTTGAATGGCAGCTACTGGGCATAGAAATTGTATCATAACACATTTTTCCTTTTTTTTTCCTTATTTTTTTTTTTAATTTTGCACGTCATATGGGAGATGGGAGATGGGATATAGGAGTCAATACCCAGCAGTAAAAAGAAAGCAAGATTGGAACAAAAGTGTTTGTTACATCTTTCACATTATTTTGAAGGGCAGGCTGCTCGAATGAGTTTGCAATAATGCTCTGGGCCCATTCAGGAAACATGTGGCTGGGGATTTTCAGACATGACATCTACTACCGTGGTGGTCGTGAACCCAAAATATACTTACCGAGCATGTACACACTGTAAGTGGTCTTTTGAAATCTTTGTCACATGTTCGAACGTGTAAATCGACATCGGAAGAATGAAATCCAATGCGATGGCAATGGCAATGGCGATGGCGAAGGCGAAGGCGATTGCTGTTGTTGTTCTAAGAGCTGTCGAATGTGCATATGTCTTAATGGCTAAGAGGCTATGAGGTGTGCAACGCACTGAAGAAAGTATTTTTAAATTGTAAAAAGCTTGCGGACAACCTCCTGCTTAATGGTGCTATTGATTTGCAACATATTTATCTATACGAAAGCACATTGGTGCATGTGAAAAATGGAAAGGAAGGATGTGACTGACTGAGGCTGAGGCTGATGCTGAGGCTCACGCTGCCCAGGGGGTCGGAGTTGGTCTGGTTGGTTAAGGATGCGAACTAATGCCCCAGGCCATATTCAAGCAACCCTCATATCATCCCATTGTTTCGAGTTGTTCTTGTGAAACAATCCCAACACGATACGATACCCACAACGACAAGGAAATAAGACAACGACAACGACAACGACAACGACAACTTGGAAGCATTCGCTATAGATTAGCTGGCTGGCCTGATCACCACCGCAAGTAAACAAGTTCACAAATAAGTAACCAGCGAGAGCAAAGAGCATTGTGTCGTAGTGCCACGTTGCGGATGAGATCAGAACCAAGAGTCAACTAGCGCCTGCTGTGCCGTGCCGGTCAAACACGGGCTGCACTGCATGATACTCCTCGTACTCGTACTGGGATCTGGATCTGGGACTGGTTGGGGATGGGGATGGTATCCACAACTCCACAGCTCCACAGCTCCACGGCTCCGATCCGCTCAAGCCACTTTGCGGCTCAGGCAGACAACAACAAGAAAACAGTTCTCTTTATAATTGCACAAACAATAAATAATTATTATGTTTATTTTGACTGTTGGTCTGTTGGTCTGTTGGTTCCTGTTATGACAATCAAATTTGAGAGAATTTGCTGAAAAGATTCGAAGGAGGTTCGTGGAGGAGGATGGTGAAACTGGCAGATATTTACATAAGAGAAGAGACCTATAGCAACTCAATACGTATTAAAGGTGTACATACATACATACATCCATAGTGCTCTTAAAGAAGTGATGGAAAAGTGGAAGTGGCTAAAATTTGTTCCACAAATAAAAGCACATACTCGTATTATTCTTGCCAAAATGTTTCACTATACATTATACTTTAGAAGCGCTAAAAGGGTTTGAGGATAAGGAAGCGGTGGAGGAAGCGGTGGAGGAGGAGGAGGAGAGGATGTTTTATATTCCTTGGTGAATGGCATTGTTTGGGCAGGACACTGTGCGACACGTGCCGGGGGTGCCATATTGTTACCGATGCCGATGCCCACGGCTGGCTACGCATGGGTTGGGTGTTAACACAATGATTGTATGCCTGGTTTGAATTTTCCAAGAGCTGGCGACTGGGGCCCGCCCTCACTGATGCTGCAAATGATGAGTTGTGCCTAATTCATAACCACATCGAACGAATTAACTCGCAGTATGGAACCGCCCGACAGATTTTGAAGGTGGCGGCAGCAGGGTGGGACATCGCTTCGCATCCCATCGCATCCCATCGTATCCCATAGCCTCGCAACATGTTTAAATCCGGACGACTCTGATACACGTGTCTCAATTCGTTTGGGTGAGATACTTACAACGAGAGACCCGGACCGGGAGCGGCACCGGGAGCGGGACCGGGCGCTTGAAAGTGAAATTAATTACGGTAACGAAGGGTAAGTGTCACCAACCGGATGCATGCCAAATGGAAAGCTGCGAACGAAGTTTATCTTTATTTATTGCAAGAAAAGTATCTACCCAGCGGACAACAAAGGAACCAAAGCACATTATTTTCTTCATTCTGACTGTAAGAATCATCCGATCGCAACGAATTTTCGTGGATTTCGTAGACAGTAGCCAAAACAGAGCTAAGTATCAGACGCAGGAAAGCTTTCAGGGTTTTTTTTCAATTATATACATACTTATATAAGTCCTTTAAGTCCGTAGCCTAATGGAGAATATCATTGATAATAATAATAATACCCATGATGATGCATCCGCTAAAATCAAGCTTCAAAGCACTTTTTCCACTCCTCTGAAACGATTGTTTTGGGGGCAAATGTCAAAATTATTTTTTATGGCAAACCGTTTAAAGATCTCGAGGCATGTCATATGACAATCCCGCACAGTCTCCAGCCTCGTTTTGGACGACGAACTTCACGAGATTCGTCCTGCAGCGAAGGACGCACACCTCTGAATTCGTTTAACCAGTTCTTCGCAGTGGCAATGTATGGTGTTTAATCACTAGAAGTTGAACCAGTCTTGTCTTGAAAATCCACGTCGAAAATCTCGGAAATTGTCGTATGCGAATTCCATTTTTCCCCAAAAAATGCAGTTTTCGTTGATCGTTAAATGGTATAAAACGCGGCCGTAGAAGAAAAAGTTCTTAGAATGAGTTGGCCAAAAAATTACAAACTTTTTAATGAAAGTGGATTTTGTGACCTGGTCGTACTAAAAATGGCGAAGGCTGCGGCCTTAAGGGCCCGCCCTCGTACTATAGGGGGGGAAAAAATCGGTAAGGTCTCAAGCCTCTTCTAAATTAGCACTAGGAATATCCTAGTGTACATGTATTTGTGAGCAGTCACAAACACAGAAATATTCATTAAATTGAAATATTATACAACCCGAGCTCGGACAAGTGTTTACATAATTCTTGAGTTTTAACTGAAAACAACATAATTTTCAGTCTGAGGACGGTCATAACATCAAGTGCCTGCGCGCGATGCAGTGCTCTCCCAGAACCAGAGCCGGAGCCAGAGACGGATACGGATACGAATACGGAGACAGGTTGAGGGAGAGCTTCTGCCAGCTGCCAGTATTTGCAGAAGAAACACTAATTAATGTAATGAAATCTGTATGTTTCCAGAAAACTCTGCAGGGTCCTTCGTTGCTTTCATATTTGCACACATTTTTATTATAGATATGTACATATGTGTAAAATATATACTCGTATATGCACATAACTACCCATTACATATAATGAAAGCAAGTATGAACGATATATGTACATATGTATGTAGACCTGCCACTCGGATCAAATTTTGCAATAAAAAAGCGCGAATTATCCAAAGCAACCCTCCTTACAATTAGTTGGCAAGAAATGTCTATAGAATAGAGAATATTTTCATGAGTATATATAAATATATTTCCTCCAAAATAGAAGCTTTATCAGAGCGATTCCCTGCTGGTACCCCACAGAATAGGGATATGTATATGGCCGGCAGAAGAGTGTTCTCCGTGCAACCCGTAATGTAACTTTTTGTGGCAATATATTTATTATTATTTTGTTTGTATCTACCTTATCGCAATGTAAAGCCGCGGCACGTGTACGGCAGAAATGTCTCTATTGAAGTTAAAAACAAATCTATGAATATATTAGAGAAATAATTAACAGTATCGTGGAGCAATAATCGAACGCGTGCGCGGGACTCGCTCTAATCATCCTTATCTATTAAGGGCGAATGGAAATGTTAGGTAACCAGCGCTATTCAACAAATATTTGTCTACTTCAATCCGTCATTTGGAAGTCACATGCGTGAGAACTGTAAACAAAACTCCCTGTGGGCCAAGCCAAGTACATGCTACACAGTGGAATCGGCAGAACCAGTAGAGCCATCACACCCCTATACTGAGTGACTCTGAACCAGCGCGGAGGCTGGCTCGGATTTGGATTTGGCTCGGAAGATCTGGGGCATATATTTTCTGTGTACCACCGGCCACCCGGAAAAGTCAACGGTCGAGTCAGTGGGAGACTACAAAGCGGTTGCAGGACGCTGCTGTGCCTTTTCGTGGATGTTTCATCCGCAACACGTGTCACTTGGTCGACGGTTGACGTTCAAGTTAAGAAGGGCCAGCGGTAGATACGATACGCAGAGTACACAATTCCAAGCGACGCTCACATAAAAAGCAATAAACTAAAATTAAGTCAGAAAACGTGTCAAAGTCAGTACTCACTGCACTGACAGTGATGCAAAGACAAACACAAACACAAAACCAAACAACGAGCGTTGGTCCTTGTTTACCTTAATAAAGCCGGTTCGGTTCGGTTCGTTTCGTTTCGTTTCTTTGCAACCGTTCGTAGGCGAAAACTTTCGGCCGAGTCTGTGGATTCAGTGGGGTTCTTGTGCCTGTTCCACAGAATATTGCAACAATCCATTTAGGAGGAGTAGTATGTGAAACCCACCCCATCCATCCATCCATCCACTGAATCATCATAAGTCATACGATTGCAACATTTATTGGAATAAAATATTGAAAGTCAAATAATTCTGCGCATCATATAACTGGCATTGGAAACATGAACAAAACATATTGAATAACTTAATAGGAATACATTCAAACAAAATCTGTAAACATTGTCCATCTTAAGGCGAAGTCAAAAAGGTTTCATTTCTTTACTACGAAAGTCGTCTAGATTGAATCTAGACAGGGTAACAAATATTTTATTAAATTTAAATTTTTCTTTACATTTATGCTGTAATTTATTTAATTTAATTGTACTTTTAATTTAATATAATTTATAGATGTTTTTCATATTTATTCAAAAGCTCCTGATATGTTATTGCACATTTTAGATCTTCACCAAGATCATTGCCGTAGATCTTTTTAGCCCTATCAAAGGCTTCGATGATGCACGATCTGTAGTAAGCAACAAGCAAATGTTTGTATGAAAATGACAACTAAAAAGTGAACTCATGAGGTTTACCTGAATAGTTTCTGGTGTAAGACGTATGCGCTTACATGGCCAGCGTCCAAATATCGGACCTCTGCTCCCGGCCATATGTCCTCGAGGCTTGAACAGCCCTCTCGCGGTACATATGCATCATCTTTGGCGAACACAGCAATTATAAGCGAGGTATCGAATGGCACGGAAAAGTTCTTCAAGTGCGTGCACTCGTCCATCATGCCCCGCATGAACTGTAGAGCCTCGCGCTCCCACCAATTCGTTTTGGTGATGTCAATTTTATCTGTTTTGTGTTGCGCAGACAATGGCAAAATGTACCTCATGAGGTTGGTTAATGTGGATACAGAGGACTCCTTCGGTTGCGCAACGACGGTGCCAGGAACTATTTTTGAATTGGAATCTCCTTTTATAGGTATTGTCAGATTTTCAGAGTCAAGTTTTACGCTTTGTAAGGGCTTTTGTAAGAATATTGAACTGCTGTCGTCTTTTGAGTTAATATTTTTGGATTCATAATTGCAGCAAACGGTGCCGTTATTCAGTTCTTGGATTTGTCTAGTATTATTTATGTCTTCTTTGAGCTCATGCAGAGATTCATTGAAATTCTTTATGAACCGCTGGCCGGCCTCAAACGCATCATCGATCACATTCACCATTTTGGACAGACGCTCGCGATACTGTCCGTCCGAGAAATACTGCGTTTCCAGCATATCCCAATTAATGGATTGACTCATAACACCCTTCAACAGCAGAGTATGCAACGATTAACATCTGAAGGACACGAAAAGTCCTATTTCACTTACAGTTGTAAAAACAGCCGATGCGGTAGACCAGGATAAGCATGGAACAAGCACAAGAGGCTTCGGCCAATTTGTTGCCGCCAAAGATGCCATCTGGAATGTGTACAAAAAGCAAGGATTTTAAAATGTTTTTTAGTTATTCGAATAGTGGATCATCTTACGTGTCCTCCCATAGACAATCCCGTCACTCCAAGTGGCCCGAATCCATTCCTTTCACACCAATGCAGTAGAACAAGGCATTCAAGGATAAGACATCCGCCCATTACGAATATGTCCGACACATTGTGCAGATTAGAGCGTCTATACGAAAATAATATAAATCAATAACTAATAACTAAAGGTTAAATGGTAATTGAAAACATAAAATTGCTGGCTGCTTTGCTGGTAGAGTAGTTTGCCGGACGGACGCCAAGATTCCGGCTGAATTGGATGCATCGGGTGCCTGTCTTTTATTGACTGTATAATTATTCTTCGTGTAAATTGCATGCCAAATAAAGACTCTATGCAATTATTTAGCCATATAACACTGCTTTAACGTGTCGTGTCAGAATTACACATAATAATTCGATTATAGCAATAAAATTTGTTCCAGTACCTACAATAATTGTTAGGCAATTAACTCCTTAATGGTCATGGACGTGAAAACTATAATATTTTAACATATAAAACTGGAACCCTATAGACTTCCCACCGACTACTCTCAGATCTAAGTGGCGTCAAAAGACTCGACCAGCTCTATAGCATTTCTTGATATAAGTTTTGGAAATCTACAGAATATAGAATGTCTAGTATATGGTTAGTATTACTTTTGGTCATCCGGCTTTCTTAATCCATAAAACGGGTTTTCCAATATAATCGATCCAATGTTACCCTCTTTGAGTAGCGGCTTGGCAATAAAATTTCTTCGCCGCCAAAAAAACTGTAGAACAACAAAATGCTAATCAGTAAAATAATCAAGTATATATCAATTTGAACTCACATGATCTCCAGTTCCAGCTAGGTGAATGCATACCGGCTTGTGCTGCTCGTTTTTCCACGTGTTGGGTAGCAAAAGCTGAAAGTACGCGTTCCTTGATTTTTTGGGAACAACTCCAGGTAAATGTAACTCGAGGGGGGTTATAAATTGTCCTTCGATTAGTGTGCTTTCCGCATAGATTTCCTTTTTTGTAATCTCCACTGGATAGTCGCGCGGTACGAGCTTGAAGCAACTTTCTCTGTTGGAAATGATCTTGCGGAACTGGAATACTCTAAATATGGGCGGCAGGATTTTTATAACATGGGTATGATGAGTGTTGTGTTAAGCAGAATTCCAAGGGATATCTCAAAGTATCCTTACAAATCAATTGCAATTGTGCATAGAGAGCAGGAGGTATATGATTGAAATGACTTAATGCTTAGTGATTCGATTTGGTTTTGATTATGACCTTTTGCATTTTTTAAACTTTTGGTTGGATTATCTTTATGTAATTAGTTGTCACAGAAGATCTTAATAGCTAAATATACATACTAATGGAAAATCACCAGTATCTCTAGTTTTATGCATTTACATATCGCATGATCTGACTTAAATTAATAATATAGGCATATAGAAACATATAAAAGTCCATTAAGACAAAATTTAGACATTCAAATGCTTGTTTTCCATACCTGAACTACGAGATTTGGGAGCAGCGAAGAAGCATTGGAGTGTTGGCATGGCGCCACTAGTCCCTTCATCGCTTATTACGAACGTTGGTTCACAAAGTCTTGTTTTTCAACCGATTTTTCCTAAAACAGCTGCACGGATAGGGTTGTTGTTGGTGGCGGTTCCGCTGTGCATGGTTTTTGTTTATTCCCATTTGGGAAGATCATTGAACGAAATCGGCTGGGTACGGTCCCTATAACGAAGAGCACCCGTAGGAAAGATCGGTGGTAAAACAATTCTTTGTGAGAGAAACTCATTTGTTACTGAAAATAGTCCAAAAACAATGCAAATTGTGATATACTGCCAAAACAATCATCGCTCTAAACACAAACCGAACCGAAGATAATCCAAACAATCGTCAAATTTGGTAGTGATGTATATACAGCTATAAAGCTTGTACTTCTATGCACACGTTCATTTTATTATCAAAATAAAATCCTTAGCCTGCATTTTGCCTATTACGTAAAGATACTTAATTAGATACAGTTTTCAGTGTATCACTTACCTACGTAGGTTTTCAGGCTTCCCCCAGCCCTTCTCGAAGAATCGAGTTATCAGCATTCGCCGATATAGGCTGTCCAGTTTACTTGGCGGCATTACGAAAAATTTTGTTTTGCCTTTCAGCAAATTTTGATAAGCAAACAAATTTTATAAACATATGCCAAATAGTACGTTCATATCGATGATAGCCTATCGATAGTAATATTATCAAGCTGGAGCTGCCAGAAATGCTGACGAATATATCGGTATTATTTTAAAAATGTATTTATATAAAAATAATTCATAAAATATCTACTAAATAAATGATAGAATAACAACGCAACTTATGTATTGTTGTTTGGCTTTCGGGACATATGGAGCTATCACGAAAGAAGCTGACTTATATGTTAAATATGTTTGATATTCCTAAATTGTACGTAACTTATTTTCTTAAGTCTATAGCTTATAGAACCATAATGAACAAATAAATAATAATTAAACAAACAACTTATCGGTATTCCAAATTCCACTGTTCCAAACTGTTGGAATTTTGAGTGCGATTTATGCAGTCGATGAAGTGATAAAACATCGGTAAATAATATCGTTTCCCTGAATCATTAATCGGAAACAATCAGTATTAACAAAAAAAAAAAATAACAAAGCAATTAAATTCGTATGCGTTCGCCGACAAACAAATCAGTGTTAAAAAGCCGCAGAGACATTTATTAAACACTTAAATATATCATTTGTTTCAACGACAACAATATCTGACTTATGAATATCCCCGGCTCGAAGTGAGAACTGGCGAGCCATGGCGTTACTCTTCCGACGCATGTCAATGCTTTCAAATATTATTCTTATATATATTTTTCTTTGCACAATATTTGTGCATGGATATAAAAAGCAAGGTAACAGCAAGCAACAGTATAAATATGTTATAGTGAAACAAAAACAACGAAATATGTGTACATTCTTGGGCAGACATTTACCGCAAAAAAAATTAGCGGCTCTTGCAAAAAACGTCTAGTTTTTTTTCTAATTTTTTTTCAGTTATTTAAACATTTAACTGTGCTGTATAATGTGTGTTGTTTGTGCATGGTATAGACGTACCTGTGTGCTCCTAGATTTTCATCTATAAATTCTATCATTAAACTACATTTTACACACACATGCATGTACATACATCGGTAACGCCCAAGATTGCCATTTTTGTGGATAGATTTTAATTAGGGGCTGGTGTTTGTTTAAACTCGCACATGAGTACTCTTTATTACACTAGTACTCTATCCGTTTGACTCAAGAACAAAAACCAGCTCAACAATGATTCCTTTTGTGACCCCTCACCTGTTTTCCTGTCTGTTATCCAAAAACCCTCAGTATGCACATCTTAATACATACAGATGTGTACATATATGTATGTGCATATACTATGTGCAACAAAGGTTGACAATCTATCAGTCGAGTAATCCATAGATGTGGAATTCCAATAGTTTCGAAAGAAGTTATTAGAGTCGGTGTCGTATTTTCTTATCTTATCTTTTCTAGCAGTACAAGTTGTTAGCCAGCCGGCTTTTCATGGTGATGTTTTTAGTTGTTTTCGCCTTTTCATACATATGTACGTATGTGCGTACATGTGTCCGTATTAAGTACCCCCCTCCCCCTGGCATATGCAATCCTCGCTAAATTCAATGAAAGCATCTTTAGACGAGATGGCAGACAGGCTCCACAAGAGAGTTGCGACAACCGATTGCTCGGCTTCTGTCCCCTCCATAGCAGCCTCTTCACGGACTCGACTGCGGGTTATCCGATCCCGCGTAGGTTTCTAGCTAGTATATCAAATCTGCAGAAGACCACCCATGGCAAATGCCGAAGCCCCTGCTGTATTTGCTGTGTGTGTCCAAGTGTGTCCGAAGCTATTCGCAAAAATTCAAATAAACTGAATATTTCCTGTATTTATTTTAGAATGGGCCGAAATCGGAAGGAACTTCTCCTTGGAATGCACGACGGAGGATGAAAAAGCCACCTGGATGTTCGGTAACAAGACTATTGATGAAAAGAACACAAGGTAAATAAGACAGAGAACGATTTATTAAAAAACCGAAATGCTCTCGAAAAAGGGAAATAAAACCAATTAATAAAATTGATAACTTGCAGATTGAAAGTCCAAACGATGCCCAACGTAAATGTTGGCGAAACGAACAGGACCCACGCTTTTGTCAGTAAACTATTTTTAGCCGATGTGAATATTTCGGACGCCGGCAACTACACTTGCAAACATGCGGCGACCAATGAGTCCACTGAATTTAATGTGCAGACATACCTGCCATCGAAGATCGTGGAGAGCACGGCCGATAAAATAAGGAGAAAGATCGGGCAGGATGTGGTATTGTTTTGTTTGGTCGAAGTCTATCCGCAAAACGCAACGATCCACAAGAATCTCAAGTGGCTGAAGGACGGCAGCGCGTTTCCATTCATGGACACCTTCTCCTCGACTGCCAAGCTGAATGAGACTCATTTGAACTTCACCCTGGAGTTCACGGAGGTCTACAAGAAGGAGAACGGCACGTACAAGTGTGTGGTGTACGACAGTGCTGGCACCGAAGGAACTTCCAAGGAAATAAACCTGTTCGTGATGGAGGTGCCACAAGTGAGCATTGAGTTCGCCAAGGCTGTGGGTGCGAGCAAGATATTCCTCAATTGGACCGTAAACGACGGCAACGATCCCGTCCAGAAGTATTTCATTTCGTTCTCCCAGCAAGGAACGCCGACATACACGTACTACAAGGATATCATTAATGGGAACAACACGTCGTACATTTTGGAATCATTCCTGCCAAACACAACCTATTCCCTGCGAATCCTGGGCAAAAACTCGATCGGCGACGGAGCACCCAACCAGTATCCCGTGGGCATAACAACCCTATCTTTCGATCCCATATTCATTCCCAAGGTGGAAACGACTGGGAGCACAGCGTCGACGATAACCATTGGCTGGAGTCCCCCGCCCCAGGACATAATCGAGTACATACAGTACTACGAGCTGATTGTCTCCGAGTCGGGAGAGGTGCCCAAACTGATCGAGGAGACGATTCACCAGCAAAACTCCAGAAACCTGCCATACATGTTCGACAATCTAAAGACGGCCACAGAGTACGAGTTCAGAGTGCGGGCCTGCAGCGATCTAACGAAGACCTGTGGTCCCTGGTCGGATGTCGTGAATGGCACCACCATGGACGGTGTGTCGACAAAGCCCACAAATCTGACCATCAACTGCCACCATCACAACAATTCCAGACTCAACTCCATTTCGATAAGCTGGAACTATCCGAAGGTGCCAAACGGGAAGATCATTTCGTATTTGATCACCCTGGAGGGCAACTACAGGTACACGCTCGAGAACAATATATTCAACGAGAAATGGGGACCAAAGATCCGACGAGTGGATGAGCCCCACCACAAGACCACCTATGACGGCGTCAGCCCAAACACAAACTACTCGGTGACCGTTTCGGCCATAACGCGCCACAAGAAGAACGGGGAGCTCGCGGGCGGGCACTGTGTGATGCCCGTGTCCACGCCCGATGTCGTTGGCCGCACTATGTGGTCGAAGATCAAACACGGCTCGAAATACCTTCTCAAACTGTATCTGCCCAAAATCAGCGAACGAAACGGGCCCATATGCTGCTACCGATTATATCTGGTGAAAATAACCAATGCCAACAAGGAACTGCCAGCGCCAGACAAACTAAACATCGACACATATCACCAGGTGCACAGCGAGAACGCCACCAAGGCCTATGCCTATGTGGCGGAGATGATCAGTAGCAAGTACTTCAAGCCGGAGATCTTTCTAGGCGATGGCAATCGATTTGTGGAGAACGCCGAGCTAATGGACAACGACGAGATATGCCGCCAGTGCTTGGAGGGCACGGCGTTCCTTAGAAAGTCTGAGCTGCCACAGAAAACAGCCATGGGCTCCCTCTCACGTAATATATATTTTGTGTGCGCATTGAAACCTTTCCTAACTGCTGTTTTTGCTTGAATGGTTCTTTCAGATCTGGAATTTCGCATTTCATCGCAGAAGGAGCAACTGATTAAGGCGGGAAATCTAACGGAAAACGCCTTTAAAATATTGGAAAACAAAAAGCGAGTCAGACGCAATACAATTAATCCGAAAAGCGACCAAAACTCCAACTCCAACTCCAGCTCCAATCCAACCCAAGATGTCCTACCCACTCCCGCTGCTGTCCATGAGATATGGGACGGCGAGATAGATATTAATGCCAATTATACAGGATTTCTCGAAATAGTTGGTAAGCCTTGAAAGCACACCCTTCAAAAGCATTGGTTTCAGTTTGATATTTGTGATATTTTCGGACAGTGCGCGACGTGAATGGAGCTCTCCTGGCATACAGCGATTATTTTGATGTAATCACGCCAGCCACAGAAGCGGAGCCAAATCATTCGCTAAAGGATATGGACTACTATTTGAATATTGGCATCAAAGCGGGTGCCGTGCTATTTGGCATAATCATTGTCTTCTTTGTACTATGGATTTTCCATCACAACAAGACCAAGAACGCGATGCCTGGAGAAGATGCATTAACACTGAGAGATTCATTGAGGTAACTACCGGTGGTTTTCCCGACTTGGGGCTAATCAAATGAAGACCCGGATCCGGCTGTCTTGTTCTCATAAAAACAAATAAAACCGATCTATTAATTTTGTATATTACTAGGGCCCTTTTCGGACGTCGAAGCCACAATCACAGTCACTTTATTACGTCTGGAAACCACAAAGGCTTCGATACTGGGCCAATCCAAAGATTTGAACTCGAAAATGCCTATAAAAACCGTCACAAGGACACGGACTATGGATTCCTTCGAGAATATGAAATGCTGCCGAATCGCTTTAGCGACCGAACAACGAAAAATAGCGACATTAAGGAAAACGCCTGCAAAAATAGGTACCCCGATATTAAGGCCTACGACCAAACGCGCGTGAAACTGGCGACTGCAAACGGACTGCAATCAACCGACTATATCAATGCGAACTTCGTCATTGGCTACAAGGAGCGGAAGAAGTTTATCTGCGCACAGGGTCCGATGGAGAGTACCATTGACGACTTCTGGCGCATGATATGGGAACAGCATCTGGAGATAATTGTGATGCTCACCAATTTGGAGGAATACAATAAGGCGAAGTGCGCTAAATATTGGCCTGAAAAAGTATTTGATACTAAGCAGTTTGGAGATATTTTAGTGAAATTCACACAAGAACGAAAGACTGGCGATTATGTTGTGCGAACGTTGAATGTTTCGAAGAGCAACCTTATTGGCGATGAGGAGGATCGCAGAGAGATTACCCAATACCACTATTTAACGTGGAAGGATTTTATGGCACCGGAACACCCGCACGGCATTATCAAGTTTATACGACAAATCAACTCTGTTTACTCCCTTCAACGAGGCCCCATTTTAGTGCATTGCAGTGCCGGTGTGGGTAGAACCGGTACGCTAGTCGCTTTAGATTCTCTTATACAACAATTGGAGGAAGAAGACTCGGTTTCGATATACAACACCGTATGTGACTTACGACATCAGCGCAATTTTTTAGTTCAGTCTCTGGTAGGTGGAAAATATGATCATACTAATACGAATAAGAATACTAATAATATAATCGTACATTTGCCTTTTAGAAACAATACATTTTTCTATACCGCGCTTTGCTAGACACTGGAACTTTTGGAAATACGGATTTATGTATTAATTCAATGGCATCAGCCATCGAGTCACTCAAGCGAAAGCCGAACGAGGGTAAATGCAAATTAGAAATGGAATTCGAGGTAAGTGACAAGAAGTTTCAGCTTACATCAGCGGTGGGGAGGCCTTTTGTGCTTACTGTTCTTGGGCATTCTCTTTTGAAGCATTCGCTTGTGCGTCTCGAGTCGAGCATAAGTATGCAGCGCTGCCAACACGACATGTAATTTGTTTCTGTACTATTCTTGGGCATTCTCTTTTGAAGCATTCTTTTGTGTTTCAAGTCGAGAATCCATTTTCATGTACACTACATGTTATTTGTTTAGATACTGTTCTGGGGAATCCTCTTTTAAGGCATTCGCTTGTGTGCCCAGATGACGGGAGCAAGGACGTGCCTTTCAAATATATTCTTATTTTATTGTACAATTTCAGAAACTATTAATCACCATGGATGAGGTAAACAAATCATGCTCTGTGGGCGAAAACGAAGAAAACAATTCAAAGAACAGAAGCCTGGAGGTCATTCCATACGATCGCAATAGAGTGAGTATTGAATGGTGGTATTTCATGTGTCATACTATTCTTAAACTTGGCTTCAACTCAGGTAATATTGACTCCGCTTCCTATGAGAGACAACTCGACTTATATTAACGCCTCGTTTATTGAGGGCTACGACAATAGTGAAACCTTCATTATTGCCCAGGATCCACTCGAAAACACCGTTGGCGATTTCTGGAGAATGATCTCCGAACAAAGTATTTCCACGCTGGTAATGATATCTGAAGTAAGTCACAAATTAAATCTGTACACATTTGACTGGAGCACTCCGTGACTTATTTGCCATTCATTTATTTGTGCAGATTGGAGACGGTCAGAGGAAATGTCCACGTTATTGGGCCGATGATGAAATCCAATATGACCATATACTTGTGAAATATTTGCACAGCGAGAACTGTCCCTACTATACGCGGCGGGAGTTCTATGTTACAAACTGCAAAATCGACGATACATTGAAAGTGACACAGTTTCAGTACAACGGTTGGCCAACCGTCGAGGGGGAAGTTCCTGAAGTATGTCGAGGAATAATAGAACTTGTGGATCAAGCATACAACCATTACAAAAGCCATAAAAATATCGGTTGTCGATCGCCCCTTACAGTTCATTGCAGGTGTGTATTTAACTAAGCGACAAGTCATATTATTATCCATAAAATGCTCAAAATTTGTATCCTGCAGCCTCGGGACTGATCGAAGTTCTATTTTCGTGGCCATGTGCATTTTAGTCCAGCACCTTAGATTAGAAAAATCAGTTGACATCTGTGCAACAACAAGGAAATTAAGATCTCAGCGACCGGGACTTATCAACTCATACGTAGGTCAAGTGTCAAAATATTATTAAGACATATAATGGCATTTAATCATTTTCAGGCACAATACGAGTTCCTACATCGCGCAATAATGAATTATTCAGACTTGCATCATTTATCGGAGTCGATAGAGGATTGAGTGGGTTATGTATAAGCGAGTACATGGCCCCACGTGGGTGGTATGTCAGAATGCAAAGTGTGTTTTGGTAAATTATTTGTATATTTATAAAACTATCTTTTAATGACGTATTTATAATGGCAAATGTACATTTTTAAGTAAATTCAGTTTGCCTGAATATAATTTACAAATATGTATGTATGTAGGTGTATACGTATAATATTGATAATGCTACCAAAGGAAAATAAGAAATATATTTTATAAGACGAAATATAATAAAAATTAAGATTACAAATTTCATACAAATATTAACGAGCTTTCTATTATCAACAATTATTACAAGGACATCCCAATATCCAGTCCAGTCAATATACATCCTACAAATTAAAAAGGTCAATGAAATTGAATCTGCTATAACCTATACCATGAAAGAAACGCGCCGCTTTTCGAAGAGCGTCCCAAAACTGTGGAAGCTCTTATACTCTTATACCCTATTCACACTGGCCACCACCCCACCCATCCTTGGTCCACCGTCCATCTGAGATGTTCCTGGTGCGCACGTTTCTATGCGATATTTAGCCGATAGTTCAAAAATGCAAAAAAAAAAACAATTTCAATTAAAAAAAAGTATATTATATAAACTTATTGAAATTTCGCAATTCAAACTACTATTTAGTGCTCATCAGCTGCTTTTTGACGGATGGTGGCAGTGTTTCATATCTGTCGAAAATTCCCACCGTTCACCCCGAAAAACCCCGATTCACAGAAAACGAAAAATAGAGAAATGATTTCAAATTGGATGCGCAAGTATGACACTACAATTTATATAGACCCATACACTGTGACAATAGTTATAAGAGATAGATGCATTATACTCGTAAGATATAATATGCATCGTCGATTTGAAACAACGGAATATGAACTGCGCCATGCATTGATTTATTTATTTTGATGGATTTTTGACAACTCTCGCTGTTGGTCACACTGGTGTTTACATTTGGTGGTAGCGATAAACTAGAAGAAAAAAAACCGAAATGGACCCGACCGTGTTAATCCTGTCTTATGGATCGAAGACTCCCTTGGAAATTGCCGAAGGTACTAAATGCAGACTGTGTATATTTCCTATGCGTATATAAATACATATATACCAAGATACTTCACTAATGAATCGTGCAGTCAGTGGTCTGATTGATTTTCTAAACTACTGTGCGTGTCCGTGTCTATTGGGCATAATTATCTTTTAAATCAATTAATGTTTTATAAGTACTGCTTAACTATACGCCTGGATCTAGGCACATTCCTCTCCTTGAGACGTAGCAGTAATTTGTTAATTTTCTGTTTTGTTTCAGGCATCCTGACTGAAATGGATCAACCAAAGACACCGATAAATAACGAAGTTTCTTCACATTTCTATAAATGCAAGATTAAAACGAAATACTTCAACACTTCAGTCAATTTAATTCCTTTCGATGGAAAGTGGGAAAATGTTCCGACAGAAATCACCAAAACCACGGAAGCTGTAATAGTCTTTTTTGACGCCAACGATGCAAGTGCTAAGCAAAAAATTACAAATTAACAACGAACCATCATACCAATCTTGACTTCTATTTGCAGATGAACTTCTTGCACACTTTCTCAGATACTTTCTTGAGTGATTGTCCATTGAAACTCGGCTTTCTCTTGACAACTTCGTTTCCCTGCGAGGAAAACGGCATATCCCTGTCAGACCTAAAGAAACGCACGAATTTCATTTTCGACTTTATATCTCTGAAGAGCAATAGCGAAACCGAAACCGAATCGACGGCGACATCGACATCGACGCCTGCTCAGACAGAGGATCAATATCAGGAAATTGTGGATGGCTTGAGAAATGTTGTTTGGTCAAATGTAGAGATAAGCACGAAATCGGGTTAGTACGCTTTGTAAGTCTTATGGTGCGATCATTCAATACAGCTACTTTATTTCACAGGCTCCCTGCAGAAGAAATCATTAAGCTCCGAAGATTTGGACACGCAATTGAATGATTTCGAAAACCTTCTGATTACTGCGCAAAGTTTACGCAGTGATACCCGTTTAACGAGAGACGAGTTCCTCGACAAAGCGGAGCAACTGGCCGGCGTAATGTCCAACATATTAAATGATAATGATAGCGACTAAGCTTGTCTAACGTATCGTTAGCAAACATATCGTATTCTTTCGCAACAAAATACAATACACATTATACACACGCTAAAATCTTGCTAAGGATACGAGTATTTATGATTTAATGAGCATTTATTCCACAACGCTTCCCGTGCAGCGGCAGCATAAAGGAAGACTAGGTTAATGGAATATCGGAGACTTGTCCAACAGATGTCGACTAATATACATATTATCGTTATAGATACCAATGTATCAAAGACCTTTAGACGTTTATATGCAAATCTACAAGTAATATTCTATTCGTTTTATTGGATTGCTTTTTCAGACGGCTCTCAAGTTGAACAGCTGTGTTTTTTTTAATAAATACAGTTTGGTTACTTCATAAAAGACTTGTATTCAAAATGGTTTTTTTCTTTTTGTTGTTTGCTTATTAAATGTAGATATTTCAAAATCAACGCCTGTTCGATCCTCCTCTGCCACGGCCGCGCCCTCTGGGTCCTCCGCGTCCGCGCGCGCCTCTTCCCCTGCCGCGATTTCCCACACGACCGCTGTCTTTTTTCTTTGTCTTCGATTTCGGAGTGTCATCTATCAGCAAAGTTTCCAATGGCAAGCTGTCCGGCAGTATGAAGTAACGTATATTGTTGCCACGTATACTCAAAGACTCCAAATGAACAGGATCCCTGTTCTTGATTGTCATACGGACACTCTTCAGGTGAGTATTCATGGCCACATCCACGCCTGTTATGGTACCGTGTATTTGAGTGCCATTCTTTAGCTCGATGGTCACAGTCTCGTGACTCAGCTTCATCAGGAATCTGAAAGGAGAGCAGAAATGCATTAATAATGATCAGTTGGAGTACGTTTTTCTACTGGCTACGGAATGCAAGCTTGATAAAACGCAACACTTCCATTTATCATTCCCTTCCTGTTGCTAAAGTTATTGTTTCAAAGACCCCAAAAGCAGTAAGGATTTGCAAGACAAAAAACACTCTCTGCAAGGTAGTTTTTCCATTGTATTCGTGGTTCGTGGGATTAGAAACTCGTGGGCAACACTGTGATAAACATTATAGTCGAATAGAAATACGTTTTCATTCAGGACCCCGGCCTATATGCATCTGCACTTTATTAGAACAAAACGGGTCCTTCTGTCTGCACACAGACACACACACACACAGGAACTCTTGTTCCGCAGAAGCATCGGCTCTGCTGAAATATGTGCGTGCATGTGTGTGCATGTGGAAATTTTGTGAAGTTTTAGACGCTATCATTCGCAAAAACAATATATGACACACTAACTAAAACTCAAGCTAGAAATAACTGAGGCACGGCTGGAAGCCAGTCTAAACTTTTAAACAAAGTTAAATTCTAGCCATAAACATATTCTTGCAAAAAAAACGCGCGGCCAGAAAGTGGCATTGGTATTTACAAAAAAAAAAAAAACTTCATCACGCGCTCAATTAAATGAGCTACAGGAAATGGTTAAGGCATCATTGTGGCAAACAAAATATATCTTACCTTACTAATTTCATTTTACACTTTTGTTTTTAAGACTTATTTGTACGAAACACGGACGCCGGCAAAAAAAACTTCACAATTTGTGCATGGTATGCTAAGATAACACCATGCAGCAAACCATTTATCGATAAATATGAAACGCGAACATGGAACGCGCTGGAAATGTTGGGGAATTAAATATTCGTTGGATGAACCAAACTTGGCTTTAAAATGATAATCAAGAATATTAACTATCTGGAATGTTTAAAATGTAGACAATTTACTTGTAGAACTAAACGCGAGCTTTATCGCAAAGTGTGACCAGACAAAAGCGAACCTATCGATTACGCCCCAAGTGAACGGTAACACTGCTTTTGTTTTTTTGTTCATAGAAATTAGCGAAGACTTTTAAGGAAACTGCGCAACTATGGTGGATAAAAAAATCAGCTTCCGATATACATATGTATGTACATACGCGTGCATACACTCATACAGAAATATATGAATGTCTGGAATATTTATAACAAAAACAAACGTAAAGACGCTTTAGACGATTCCGTTATTATTTTTGGTTTATTATTAAAAGCGGTACATATATTTTTCGATATAACAAGGTATAAAACTTTGTTTATTTGCTAAAAATATGCTTGGGAAAATAACTTAGGTATATTAAGGAATGAATAAATAAAGTGTGTTTTTTTGTATTAAATTTTAATCATAAACATAAAGATTCCAGTTTCGACGAAACGAGTAATATTTTCATGGTTTGCCATTTTTCTGAAACGATAAAATATTGATTTTTAACACACAATTAATTGTACAGAATTTATAGACCACAATCTCGTGTATTTACCTCCTCTGAGAAATCCATATCTTCCTTAATTTGCTTCGAGCGTCGTTTTTCATTGGATGTTAAAAGTTGTGAGACTTTAGTTTGCTTAGCTAGATCGTAGGCTTCTTTTTTACTTCGCATTGCACAGTCTTCCAGAGTCTCGGCTGCTTCAAACATGCCTTGTCTCCTGTAAAGTGCACCCAGATTTTTTAGAGTGGTTGTAACCGTGGGCGAATCCACTTTGGCAGCTTTATGCCATCCACCATATTCTCCATATGGTGTATTTTCCCTATTATCAAATTTGTGCTCCTCACGTTCTTCGGCCACCTGCAAAGAATCAATGTTTTAATTAATTAATTAATGAAGGTACATAATGGTATTGTGTTTTATGGCAAAAGCCCCACGTACCTGCCAAATAGGCTTGTTTTTGCTATCAATCGCTCCAAACTCCCGTTCGTGCGCCCTAGTCAGCACCTGCTTGTAGAGAATTTCGGCTTCTGTGTACCGTCCTTGCTTCAAATAGCAGCCAGCCAAGTTATTTTTTGTCTTGGCCACATTGGGATCGTCTGGGCCAAGCTTTGACTCGTAGATGTCTAGCGCTCTTTGATAATATTTCTCCACTTCGTCGTATTTGCCTTGATTTTGGCAGAGCAAAGCGAGATTATTAAGTTGCTTGGCAACATCTGGATGGTCCTTTCCTAGCACTTTTTCGCGAATTTCCAAGGCACGCTTACAAAGGGGCTCGGCATCTTTGTACTTTCCACGTTTGCCATAGAGCACTGCCAAATTATTTAAAGTGGCAGCAACGGCAGGATGATTCTCTCCAAGAGTTTTTCCCCTAATGGACAATGCGTCGTTCAGTAAGTTTGCAGCCTCCTTGTACTTATTCTGGATGTTGTAAATAAATATGATTAGAAAATGTTTCTGTTCCTTTTTTCTAGTGGGGGAATATCGGCGCACCTGATCTCTATACACAAGAGCCAAAATGTTGAGCATGGTCGCAACATCAGGATGATCGTGGCCACTGGTCTTTTCGAGATCTTCCAAAGCCTGCTTGCAGAGAGGAACGGCCACCTCGTACCTGGATGTGGACATAGATTTGTTGCAAAGAGGTGGTCTTTCTCTGGATTTAGCATTAAATACAATACCTGCCCTGTGATGCATATTGAATGACCAGATTGTGAAGGGTTCGCAAGCGTGCTGGAATTTCATATCCTGAAGTTTGGTTTGCAAACTGGCTCGGAGGAGTGGGAGACATGTTATTTCTGTCCTCATTGTCTTCGTCGGGAAAGAGCTCGACCACAGGGTCCGTTCGACTCTTTTCGCATGTGTCATCTTGGTCCTGGTTCTCGTCATACTTTTTCACAGAGGCCATGAACTCGAGGTGCTTCTTCTCTTCTTCCAGCTGAGCCACCAATTGCTCGGACGCCTGAAACTTCTGTTGGGTATTGGCGAGCTCATCGCGCAACCAGGCGTTCTCCTGATGCAGGCGTCGTACCTGTGTCTTCAGCTTCTGCTTCTCGGCTTCGATGTTCTGCAGATGGGATGTGAGTGCCATCATAACTTGAGCTTCGCTCAGCCCGAGTTCAATATTTTCGATGTTCTTTCTCAATATATCCGACTTTTCATTGTCTTTCTGGACCTCAGCAATGCCATTCATAATCGAAACATGCTCCACTCGCAAAGCCTCTAGGCCTTGCAATACTGTTTTTGTATTGGTTATTATTTCGTCCTGTGACATTTGCGTCATTTTGCCGATTTTTTCAATTTTCTGTCTGGAAGAATATACAAACACGAACGATTAGGCCATAATTAAATATTAAATGGTCAAAAGTATGTTAAGGTTTTCTGTGATATTATCATAGACACGTGAAATTTAAATGTATCTTTACATCCTGTATGTTTTTATAGCTTTAGAGGCAATCATTTTAACGAAATATGCATGTATACGTATTATTCACCAGCAGCGGAAATCAATACTATAAAAATGAAAATTCTATTGCGCATGACTACCGTTCCAAGAGGGTTGCACCGAAGTAAATCGAATTCGAAAGTAACCGAATCATATGCCCTTGCTGGGGTTACCATTTCTACCGTACAGATGTTTGTAACGTGCAACCTTAGAACACAAGGAATCGGATTCGATTCAATACATCGTTTGGGTTGGTTGGTTGGTTAAATCCCTAGTATACAAAAATTATACGAAATAAATTCACTTTTAAAGTAAAGTTTCTCTTTCTAAAAACTATTAGTTACGAGTGAATCTGCATCAACAGCTGATTGCTTGGGAAATCGTTCTTTCGCGAAGGATCAAATCGGGATAATTGATGTATCTTTCGAAAATAACCAAACACTTTAATTTGCGATTACCTATCAAACGGTTCGATCGTCCGACTATCGTCATGGATTTGTAATTTTAGCTACATACGCACATACTTATCTCATTACACATATATATGCATGTATGTATTTAGCTGCTGCCTTCGTGCAGCTTTCGTCACTAGCGTGGAGTGCCAGTGCCTTTCACAGTAAAAAAATTGAATTTTGTGTAATGGTGCAGACCGCGGTTGACTAATAACAATATACATATGAACATATCTATGTATATATGCAAGTAATAAGTATGTGGGCATTTGTATTTGTGGAAATATAGCACCCCACATACATATACATATATCTACAATTCACTCACGCACCGTGGATAACAGGAGAGGTTAGTGGATATAGCACAAATTAAATAGATTACCCACTTTCTTATTTCAATGCTAATGCAAGTTACCAAGTTCTTGCTTAAATATTTATTTTCTAACACAATAGGAAAGTACAATAACAATAACTTACTTTGCAACACTCCAAAGAAAAAAAACGATAACACATAAGTATATATGTACATATGTAATTGGACTATCGAGTACACTTCCCTCCGAGTGCGATTGCCGATAGAAACAAAATGACAATAGAACAGAATATTACAATTAGTTATGTACAATAACTATCACTATGCATTTAAATAATACTTTAATAAAAAGATCATAAGGTACATATGTATGTAAAACAAATTTCGCGCCATTCGTCCCTGTCGATGAGTAGTAGGGACATATTAGTAGCTTAAATCAAAATGTTTTATCCAACATGGCGAGCAACAAGGTTCTATTCAAAAAGAACATATATATCCCCGATCTAATTGAACTATAACTAAATATAATTCAACAAATTTAATTTGATTGTTCAACGAAAAGCCCTATTCAGTTGGAACAATATGGGAAAAAGTGGAACACAGAAGTTACGTGGTGAGAAACATTGCTCAAAAAAATGGACACCCACTCTAGTATCACCCTTACGTTGGATCCTGGACAACTGGACAGCAAAGGTAAGATTTCAGGTGAAACTCAAAACGTGTCCATCGACAATATTTCTCTTCATTATGTTCGCTACTTGTTGCTGTAGATTTGTTTCGTTTCCACATTGTTTCAGACTTAAAATAAAATATAATTTCTTAAGCTATATGTTATGTTTTTAAATAATATTTATATTCTAATACAATTTTCTTAATGTCGATAATTTGTTTGCAGATATTAGCAAAATGATTTTGCGAATTTGGTATATTTTAACAGTTAACAAACGGCCACACTGAATTGAACTCTTATAATAAATTTTTGTATAAAATTTATGTGTTTTCTTTTTGTTCTATATTTTATTGTTACCGTATTAAACTGAACAACATAGTATGCCACCCCCAAGACCTAAGGGGACAGGATTTACAACAGGAGTTACCCCAGCCAGACCAAACTCAAATACGCCCATGTCCGAAAGACAGCAAATGGCTCTATTAATGCAAATGACTGCTACATCCTCCACAGGTAAACAGCGTTTCCTGCATATATATGTGGTTTAAAGAAAAGTGATCATTATAAATATTAGTTAGACCTCAGCTAAAACGGAATATCTAATGCGTAATAAACGCTTTTGTGTATTGCGCGGGGAACGGGACCGCACAGGCAATTCCACAAAGATCCCGCAGTTAATTTCGTACTCGTGGAGTGTTTGTACACTTTCCATACATATGTAGGCACATACATATGTAGATATATATATAAATATGTGTACATCACAGCCAGAAAGATGCATTTCCTTTCACATGAGCTGGGATCAAAATAACAAGCCTGGGATCTAAAACAAAGCAGATGCTTAGTGTACTTAAACTTTTTGTGCAACTCGCATTTGCAATATCTATGGAATTTGATACTAATTGATATTACCTAATGGAATTATTACAGACTCAACCCGAACGACTATAAAAAAGAGTGAATCCAAGAAAGGAGACATAGAAATTGAAGAGACTAATTCAGCGGATAAGCAAGAGGTTATTGACTCAAAAGACAAAACTTCAGCGGATGAAAACAGCTCGGACGGTAAGAACGCCGATTCGGCCAATCAAAGTACGCCAGCTACGAAACGCTGCTTCTCAGATATAGAAGAGGATTTCGAAGAGTCTGGCGAAGAGCTGAAAAAAAAGAAGCGCAAGGACTCGGAGCATTCAAAGGACCCCAAGAGTGCCTCCCTGAAGCTATCCTCGCGGGTGGAAAAGGGCTCGAAGCTAGCGACGACGAAGGCCTCACCTTCCGGCAGCAAAGCCAACGCATCGAGTGCCGCCGATAAAGAGCCAGTTGAGATTAGTAAGAATGTCGATATTGAAAATGAAACGGAATGCAGTGATGACTACAAAAGCAATGACAGCATATACAATGGGGGACTCAAAGTGCCACCATTGAAAATTGTCATTCCGCAACAGAATTGCTCGATTGACACTGAGGGAAATGTCCTAAGGACTGGAAAAGTGACTGCTTCTCGAAGTGCGGCCCTGCCATATGTTGTAAGCTCGAACAGTGACTCGATTGATGCCGTCATAACAACCACCCAATGCATGAGCCCGCACGAAAGCCCACAAAAAGGCAGTAACAGCATTTGCTCCACAGTCCTCGATGACAAAAACATCAAGCTGTTCAATGATGAGAAGAACTTAAGAGTTCTGCGAAGCTCTCATCGGTCTGGTGTCGCCAGCGCTGAAAGAAGTTCGAATAACTCGTCTCCGCAAATGCAGAGCAGCTCCCCATCGCCGGCATCATCGAATCATGCCAATGATAATGTCGATGTAAAATTATCCTACGGTAACATGACTTCTAGTCCCATACCACAGAGCGCTCAGTTCGACCAGGAAACGCTAGCCAATGTTCCGAGCCCATCCACGTCGTCGACATCGTCGTCAAAAGATGTGAATCCCTCCTCAAATGTTGACGTCCACCCGCGGAAGCGAAAAATAAGACCCAAAACTAGCACCGATGATGCCTCCAAGAATTCAAACACAAACCTAGATGCTGCCATTAACGCTGAAGAATCTCATCCCCATGATTCCCCTTTCACAAATGGATTTCAAATGTTTTTGAGTATTCGGCGACAGATTGAAAAGAAATGGAAGAACCTGTACCCCGTCAAACCACGGCCACCCCAAGGCTACAATGAATATCTGTTGACAAAAAGAACGTATCTGTTGAGCAAAACAGCTGAAAAAATAGTGATTCAGATACCGAAAGCCTTGCCCCAGAGCATGCACAAGATCTACGAGGATCAAGAAACGGCCAGACGCCATTTGAATCGCCAACATACGGTTGAACGAGAAAAGCTCTGCTTGAATGTCGAACAGGAGATAATTCGTGTCCATTCAAAGGCAGCCAGAAGTATATCCGGCCAACTGGCACCGTACTCCGTTTGTACTTATCTGAAAGATGACGAGGTTTACAATATGATCACGCCAGAGCAAGACGAAAAGGAAAAGAGTGCCCGATGCCGTTTCAATGGGCGTTTGTTGCTCAGCTGGCTGCAAGATGTCGACGATAAATGGGAGAAAATCAAGGTGTGAATGTCCTTTAAATTAACCCTTTTTCTGAAATTTCTACAATCAGTTCGTTTGCTTTCTTTTTCTAGGAGTCTATGGTTTTACGGCACCACAATGAGGCGGAAAGCCTGCATGCCGTTCAACGCATGGACTGGAATATCTGTGCGAGACGAAGAAACTTATCGGACGCGCAACTTGAAGCGACTTTAGAACACATACCCATTGTTTCTGTTGGAGATGATTTTGACATACTGCCGAACTAACAATAAAACTAAATAGAACAAATCGATTCACGTGGATCGGGTGGCTGATGGGTGGGAGAAGAAGATCTCTCCGCAGAGTCAGAATTGGTTGGCTTTGCACTCAAAACATATTACATACTGCCCAGAAAGTTGCACATGACATGACATCTAGAATTCAAAGCCACCATTCTTTATGGGTTTATGGTTCTCTATCCTTTCGTTCGCTTTCTGCCAGCAGCAGCATCTACGCTGCTCTCGCGCTCCAGCTCTTTCGATCAGTCCTCGCTCTCAACAGAGTCTATGTGAACTTATTCTTATTCTTCTAGCCGGTACTCCAAGGGTTTAGAGATACATTAGTCTTGTGGCGGAATGGATGTGGAGGTGTTGAACATCCAGAAGGAAGTGTTGCCAACCCCATAGATATTCTTCTTGATCTTGCATCAATAACCGCTTCGATGTGGCTATCTCTGTCGGTCCGTCTGTCCATGAGCGCCTAGATCTCGAAGGCTATAAGAGCTAGAGCAACCAAATGTTGTGTCCAGACCCCTGTAATGTCCTTACAAAAGACGGAAGTTTATGACATCAACAGTTTTTAAGAGAAACCCGAAAGCGCAGAAGTATTGTTATAGTCTCTCTCTTTATCCCGCACACGGCCATCCTCGTGCAATGTGCACCCCCTATTGAGTGAAGCGAGATAGCAACACAGTTGGTGTTGGTGCGAGAGGTGAATTAGAGGGAGACAGATGTAGCGGAAAAATTAACATTGCAACACAACTAGCGACCGTGATTCCTTTTTATCTCTATATCTTTCCCATTTCTCATGACAAGTGCGAGCTAAATTCAGAGGGAACGCGGAGAGAAGGGATCCCCCCATCGCAGCATTAACAAAGAAACCAATTCTTCCTGGTACAAACAGCGCTAAAAAAGACAGAGAGCAACGTTCCCGCCTGTTTGTATGAAAGTTATTGTCAGAAACATTTGATTATTTATTATTTGATTAGCTTTTAGCTGTATAAAAAACCTGTTAAGTTGTATTTTTAGTAATGAACAGTAATGGCAAATCAAGGGAGAGTCGTGCCAATCCCAGTACTGTCGGAAATTTCATCACAGGACGGAAAATTGCAGCACGGAACCAACACTCTTATCGGCTGTGGCACGGGGATCAAGAGGAATAGAATATGTTTCGTATGCAATATCATCGATATGCAATCCACGTAATCGGCATCTCAAACGCATAGTACAAGTGATTGTGCATTTGGTTGGCCGATCAGGTGGATCTCAGATTGAGCCATGATCACGCGAGACCCACTGCCATTGGAAGGCGGGTTTTTTTATCAGTTTGTAGGCCTTGTTTGGGGTGGTCTTTTCCCAATGAAATTTCGTATAATACTGTACTGATCAGAATCACCTTGAAAGCTTGGCGAAGCTCTTGGATGATCACGCATAAAATCCCCACCATCTAAATTAATACATTCCCCGTTTCTGTGACTCTTATATGACTCTTATTCAAGGCAGTGTTTTTAAGTTTTCCAGAATATTTTTTGCATAATTAACCATGTCCTGAAAATAAAGAAACATAAAAAATATGTTTTAGAGGAATGGTTCGTCAAATGTAAATTTAACGATAAAACGTACCTCGCAATTTTCGTTTTGGTTGTTTTTTGAGATTATTTGGGCCAAAATAAGGTCCAAATCCTTGCGTTTCCCCGCCGACAGTTTCAGATTCGACTTCAACGAGAGTGTGGAAAGTGCATAAAGTGTGGTCTCCTGTTTCACATCAAAGCAATCGATCGGCCTTAGGTTTTCAAATAATATAGAAAATGCGTCGGCCTTTAGAAATGCATCTGCAAGAAATTGATTTTTAAAACGGTTTTATAAGCTAAAGAATGAAATGATCGGACCTCTGAGGGACTTGTCCAGCGATGATAAGGATGCTATGAGAAATGCTGCTTTTATATAGACATCTGAATTGGAAGACTTCAGGCACGGTAGTAGAGCCTTAATACCATTTATTCGCTTGAATTCATTCATGCCTGGCTGAAAGCTTCGTATTATCGATGATATGGCATATATGGAACAGCGAACTATATTCGCGTTTTCATTCCCTTCACTCAAATTTCGTGTAAGCGCAGGCAGAAATTTCTCCTTGGTGAAAATGTCCTGGCAAAATATGTTATTTTGTGCCATCTCAGCGACGATATTAATGGACAATGCCTGCAGGTCCTTTTCCGGCATTGTTATATATCGGATTAAGGTCTTTGTGCCGCCCATTTTGGCCAGGGAATTCGCCAAATCGATGTCATCAATGTGGCTTCTTAGATGATTTAGACTTTCCTTTTTTTCCTCTGTACTCGTCTCTGGGCTGTCCAGAATTTCCAGTGCGGTTTTAAAATCGATTGATGCGCCGACTGTGAGTGAATTTAGTGCACCCTCTAGGAATCGACTTTTCTGAAAGAAAACAAAAAAAATAGGTTAGGGTTATATAGGCTTTGTCACCATTTGCTCAAGAAATTCAACATATAATCGCGCCAGATCTATAAACATCCGGACTGAAGCTAAAAGAGCAGTTTCGGGCACCCATTACTTCAAGAATTTTGAAGAATAGCAACATAAACAGAGATAACTCTTTTTAAGTTTAAGTAAAAATAGACTAAAATGTGACATCTCTCAAATAAACTATTGACTAAACAATAATTTCTGTGGGCGTCATAGAATTTGCCTATGGATCCTTCTAGATCATTCCCGAAACCGAATTCCATGATAAACATGATGCAATTTTACCAGCTACGAGGAAACACGGATCCTAAAGTATCTTCTTCGAGGAACATATGTTGCATTTCTTAGCTTCATCGTTATATTGGGATATGATTTGTCACAATGGATTGAAAGAATCACATACATACCTCGTCATCTAGATCGGTGCTTGGCTTTGCATCGGCTTCTGGGCTTGTGGTGTGTGCGACAGCATATTTCAGCACACCCTACAAATTGAATACATCAGAAATCATTCGCAACTAAATTTATATATTTTTTCGACTTACCTGTAAATTTAAACTTCTTCTCGGTGAATTATCAGACATTTTCAAAACTATTTATTTCTTGGCGAACTATCACATGTTGTAAAAGAATTAGGTATGGAACTTATTGACTATCGAACCTTGTTATGTCGATATGATTGAGATGGTACCTTGGAACAGAAAAAATATCAAAAGCCCTGAAAAATGTATGTTATTACATTAATAAATTTTAAGGGTAACTTTACGAGTGTAAACTAAAATAGTAGTTTTGTTTAATTTGAATTGTAATTGTTATTACAGTCTTTTGATATCTACAAATATGAAACAGAAATGATTTGCCAATTTTCTGACCCTGTTCCACGTTCCCATTATGAAAATAACTGCAACATGTTATTTACCGTATTTATAAAGTGTAAACAGTTCATCTCATATGGTACCAATTACTCATATGTTTGTTTGGAAACAAGTGAAACATAAATATAAGGCCGTAACAGCGGCTGCGGTAATTCGACAACCATGTTAAGAGAACTTATAACGTGGGCCTTGAATACCTATCTGGGGAAATACTTGGAAAACTTGAATTCGGTACAATTATCTGTTGCACTTTTGTCAGGTAACGACTTACATGCTTGCATATGTAATTCATGCGTTCATTTTTGAAATTGTATTTCTCTTGAAGGCGAAGTTGAGCTTGAGAACATCCCGATACGGAAAGATGCACTACGAGCGCTCAACTTACCGGTGGAGGTGGCAGGTGGCAGTATACGAAAAATCAAACTCCAAGTACCCGTCCGCCAATTCCGAACCTCCCCGTGGTGCATATCGGTGGAGGGGCTCTTCTGTATAATTTGCCCAAAGAATCTTGAAAGCTGGGACTATGCCAAAGAGAAACTTCAGGATCTGCAATACAAGCTAGCGGTCTTGGACAACGCTGAGGCGGGCTGGCGTTCCGAAAAGGGAATGCAAATGGAATCCTATTACTTTTCCTCCTACAACAACTGGCTCAAATATGGCACGAATATGGCAACCAATATTATAGATAATATTGAGCTGAAGATATTTGATGTCCACTTCCGGTACGAAGACAGTGTTGATGTGGGAAAAACCAAAATCGCCACCGGCATCAAAATCGCATCGTTAACAGCCCAGACCTGCGATTCGAATTGGACGAGTGGCTCCTTCAAAGCTGCCAACAACGAAATGAACTACAAATTAGTAGAGCTAAAGGAGCTATCCGTGTACTGGGATATTCTGCATGAAGACATACGGTGCCAATCGTTCACCAATCAGGATGTTCTCAGCAAATTGCATTCAACTTGCGAGCTGCGGCCCCACAACTTTATCATTAAGCCAATTTGCGCAACTGCTCGATGGAAACGGGAAAAGTGCCTACAGGTTATTCGCACAAAAGACAAACCCAGAGTCTCGTGTGAGATAATAGTTCCTGAAGTAATTATAGATATATCTAAGGTAAGTTTTCCCAATCAATCAGTGTTTCTACAGCAGATTTTCTTCTAAAAATATTTTCGATATTTTAGGACCAGCGTCTACAAATGCTGGACAAGCTTGCAGGAATACGTAAAATTAAGGAAATCAGACAGTACAGACTGAAGAGGCCGAGTTGTAGTGTTGCAGACGATTCGAAGTTGTGGTGGAAATATGCCCTAGTTTGTCATGGCTTCGTATTCAAAAAGAGAGAGGAAAACTTTGCCATTATGAGGGAGAATCTGCGTTACATACGCCTCCATGAATTGATTATAGTAAATCCAAATGAGATTCTGTCCGACGCAGACAAAGAGTTTAAAACGTACATCGAAACCGACAGAAACGTCTCGGATTTAAGTGTTTTGAGACGCATATGCTTTGACAAAGTCTTTAGCAAAGGTCTGTCGTTTAAGTCGCACAATGTGAAGGGAAAGAATATGTTATTTCTTTGGTTTCCGAACTGGATGGGCTGGTACAGCAACTCAACGAGTACTGCAAATAATGAGCAGGATGAATCCATAAAACATTTGGAAGATGATATTTTGGTCGCCCTAGAAGACTCGCTGCAAAGTTCCTCCGATTTGAAGTGTGATGCTGTCCTTGGACACTTTGAAATTAAGCTACTCAAAGGCCTGCTAATCATACAGTCCGATGAGACGAATGTCAAGAGCCGAAAATCCATGGAAATGCAATTCAATAATTTCTCGGCATTTCTTCAGCTCAGTCCGCTGCTGACTTCCTACACGGTGGGAGTATCATTAGAAGAAGTTTATTTATTAGATAAAACCAACAGCAATACCAAACACAAATTCTTAATTAAGCCACAGACGGAGAACCCCTCAACGCTGAATAATACTCTGGAAAAGGATGTCCTATTTCAACTGCGATACGAAAATGCAAATCAGTTGAGATTTCAACTTTATATTAAATCAAAAGGCTTGGATCTTACGTATAATAAGGATGCAATTAATTGGATTCTGGACTTTATAACCGATTCAAATCAAGAAAATGCTTCAACAATAGTCACGAACCGATTTGGAAAGAGAAGGAAGAACTTTTTGAAAAACTGGAATCAATTATTTATTGGAAACGAGGCAAGTACATAGAATATAAATATAAATAATAATATTATTTTGTAATCGGTGATCTTTTTAGGTTAATCGCAAGACCTGGATGTTTGAGATTGAGATATTTGCACCACGCATAATATTTCTCGAAAACTACAAAGTCGGCAACTCGCTGATGGTTCTGCTGGACTTTGGAAAGTTTGAAATGAGAAAAAATGAGGCGAAGAAATTCTTGCCTTTGACGGCACCAGATGATCCATCTGCAGATAATCATCCTCAAATCGATGCGAATGCTCATGTGAATGCTGATGCGAATGCTAATGCTAATGCTGATGCTGATGCTAATGCTGGTGCTAATGCTAATGATGATGATGAGGAGGATGAAACTTATATGACGCCATGCTCTACGCCGCCTGCATCACAAAAAAGTGGCTCAGAGTCACCAACAATCCTTGAGAATGCACAGCATTTGCTCAATAAAAAAATAGAGCTGGAATATGTCTTGCACAATAAGATCTATGACAAATACTCGATCAACTTTTCAAATCTACAAGTACTGGTGTGCAAGTACGAGGAAAGGTGGCAGGCTTGCTTGAAAACATCCTCGAACTTCCACCTGATTGATAAATTTGATATAACCCTTTCGCTGGAGCAGCGCAATATATTCACTGTGGATCCCGACTATCCGTCATTTACGCTATTCGGCACCTGTCCCACAATCCTGATACACGGAAATGAAGTACTCATCAATAACTTTTTTAGCATAATGAATCCCACTATAGATACCCTCAAAGATGTGCGCAAAGTATATAAAGGCCGCAACCAAACGTACGCCAGTGAGCAACGGGTCAACGATATTGCCAGCAGTGAAGACAACAGTCGAGTCATTGTTGAGTTTGCCATTGGTCAGCTGGTGATAGAGATGCAGGCAAAGGAAAAAAGCATAGCTGAACTACAGATTATCGGCGCACGTGCGGGCATCATCAAGGAGTCCAATGAAACCAATATAACAATGTCCGTGCATGGGCTACTTTTGGTAGATGCCATACAGTCCTTTGGGCCTGACTTTGAGTTATTAGTGGCCAGTCATCGACATGTGGGGTAAGTACTTAAGGAAGAAAACTTCGTAAATCAAATATTTATTTTATTTTTACGTATTTAGAATGGATAGTTTTTCTGGCAGCCTAAAGCATAGTCCAATTGCTTCACCGATTACTCCTGCATCGCCGTTACCTTTCACGTTCACAGATTATCGAGGCGCTCCGATGACCGAAAATGCAGTTTATAATATTCAAAAGAGTAAGGAAAAAAGATTAGCAGAATTTAAAGTACATACATATTTCATTCTAATCTTGTTTTGGCAGATCCGATTGCTGCTTTCTGCGAAGATGCGGAATCTGCTTTAATTTCTGTGAAGGTAAAAATCGTTGCGCCCACCGCTAGCAATTCAACACACCTTCACTCCACAGACATAAAATTCAACAATTTGGATATAATAGCCAATCAGGACACCATTCTTGAGATTTTAAACTTTGCAAACAGAACAATTTTAAGTCAAGGTACGAGTACGCTGCAAAACGAGAGTTGTGGAATCAAGGAAGAAGCCTCTGAAGAACCAAGCGATTTGGATGATCCCGATGATGCCAGTCAGCAAAACCATAACGAAATATTCTTCGACTTCTTTCGACTGAATATTTTATTGTTATATAAAATAAATCACGAGGGTCGCAAAGTAGGGACTCTCACCTTGACTGAAGCCAAAATAAATGCTTCATTTCAGTCGGAGCTATCCGTATTTGGATCCCTGGGAGGTATACAGATCATCGACATAACCCCAGAGTCTTTTTTCCTCCCAAGGATTCTATCCGTTGGGCGGGATCAAATATTAAGAACCTCGGACTTGAACCGACAAACAGTCCTCAAAAGACTGTCACATGAAATATATTCGAAAAATCTGGAGGACGTGCATGAATGTGACGCTGATTCCAAGTGCGATGAAATCGATGCGTTCAGTTTTAAAAGTCACTGGAGTGATAAAACCACATGCAGTGTTCAAATGCGAATGGCTTCGGTTTCCTACACCCATTGTCCACGATTTTTGCAAGATGTAAACGCATGCGTCACATATTTCAAACGAAGTTTGCGGTAATAACTTAGATGTAATAAAAGACAATTTTAAGGAGCTAAGCTTGAGTAATGTTATGTATTTTCAGAGAGTTTTTTACCTCTATAGGCAATAAGGCAACCGATATGGCAATGGAATTTGTGCAACAAATCCGTGCAACGGATGTCAATGATCAGACACGACCAGTTAATCCCCAGAAGAATCGTCATGACAACCGGTAAATACATTTATCGCTACATCTAAATTCCCTAAAAATGCCCCTTAAATTTCCGTTTTATTTTAGACTGGACATCATTATCAACAGTCCAATTATTCTATTGCCGATTTCGAGTACAAGCACGCACGTTTTGATTGCCAATTTGGGAAAGATGACCTGTTCCAATATGATTGTAAATGACTCTAATGAGTTTGATGAATCCTATACTATAGCGATCAAAAACATATACGTATACTCGATGACCATTGACGAACGTGAAAACTGCTTCAATGTGCATCCGTCTAAGAATAAGGATGCCATTCCCATATTGCACGATACTGCTATTACATTGCAGCTCTCGGTCGGCTATAGCGAAGGGAACGGCAATGGTGAGGAACGAAAACTTGATACGGTTTCAGTAAGTGAATTAAGAGAAAAGAACATATATAGTATAGATGCTGATTATTCCTGTTTATTCATTGTAGATTGAAGGCAGCATGGTTGAAACGCTTAAGGTATCCCTCAATCGGAAGCGATATGAGCTACTTAATGAGTCCATTCAATATGCTACGAATTTTTCAAACGGCAAAGCAATTGAATCCGCACACCCCGATCCCAGTGGAGTTAGCATACCAGATTCGGATATAACTGACGAACATACCATCTGCACCATTATACAGTTTTCTGTGCCTGTTTTCCAAATCAACTTACAAAACCAGCACCATGATGACTTGATAAATATTACCTTCAAGGACTTCAATGTTAAACATCGTGTTAAAGGCTATGACAAGGATATAGAAATAATATTAAAGTCGGTGTTGATGGAAGATCTGAAATCGGATAACACATCACCGTTCAGAAATATGGTGACTTCCGTCAATCTTGAAAAGGGCCAAAAAAAGAATGCATCAACCTCATCATCGTGCCCGGACATACCGACCCATTGTAATTATCGGAAATATAGATCTACCTCGGAGCCCTCATGCTTCCAGGAGAATAATCCATTTCAAAACTTCGATGGAGCCCAGAAATCGGAGTTTTCCAAGAAAAACGATAAAGGAAGCAAGAGAGGAGGTCAGACTTTAGTCACCTACAATTCGCATAGAGGACGCCCCTCCAAAGGCACCTCCGAGATGGATCAATTCAGTTCAATACAATTTAATTGCTTGAATTTGGCCATCTGCGTGGAGCGTTGGTACACCATATTTGACTTCTTCGGTCTGATAGCCGCAGAGAACGATAATCAGAAAGTTACACAAGAAAAGAAGCTGGTTAAAAAAGGTAAAACAATACCCGGTACTCAGTCTAAAAAATATTCCTCCCAGCAACGACCTATCGCTTACTCATACAGGGGGTGCCACACCGACGAGCATGATAGAGAGAGAGCAAGCTAAACTACTAACCAACACTTTTATTCATTCTTTTTAGACACAAACGATTTCTTTAGTACATTGAAGGTATCAATAAGATCATTCAACTTTACGTTGATTCGAAATGACTCGCTCTTATCCAGAGTGAATGTGTCAAACGCGCTATTTAAGATAATTCATGACCAATTTGGTAAATCTATTGAGGGACACTTGGGATCCTTGTCGGTGTTTGACCTTACACAGTATGGAAACATTTACAAGCAAAAGTTTGTCACCAGCGGAACAGAAGCATTGAACTTCTTTTATAGAAAGTGAGTGCCTGTTCCCGTCTCCGCCAATTATTGTTTCAATTATTTATAGACCATTGTGTATATTCACAGAAAGCCATGCGATGTGGAAGTACTAAAGACGTTAAGCGTGGACTCGACCCTGAAAATCGGCATGTCGGCAGTACATTATATACACACAAAGAGATTCGCCACAGAGCTACATTTATTTGTTAAGGATCTGCTGCAATTGCAAACGGTAACAGACAGAATTCGCTAGTGATGTGATTGCTAATATCCTGTCCACTGATTTCTTTTAGCCTGTGATCCGAAAACTAAAAAAACATAATGTGGAGAACGACCAAAGTCTACGGCCAACAAAAATGAAACTTTTCATTCAGGCGGACTCGCCAGTGATCGTGCTACCGGCATCGTATAGCAACAAACAAGTAATAATTGCCAATCTTGGGCAGCTTACGCTTACGAATAGCTTTCATTTGGCCAGCGAGGCATGTATCATAAGTAAGAAGTTAAACTCTGTGAAAACCAACGAGCTCTTGGACGTGATTCGCATCGATTTGGTCAACATCAATATGTTCTCGGGAGAAAGAAGTTCAGTGAAACCAAAGGGCGATCGTGATAGGGATCGAATTATCATCGCCAATATGAAGTTTGTGCGGTTGGGGGAGGAATTCTTTAAAGAATCCTGCTACCTTAATCTGCAGTTGGAGAGAAATCTTTCAACAGAGAGGATTCGAGTGTGCCCCGATATCAGTACGAAGGGGACCTTCTCTAAAGTAAATGGCATGATAAACATTGAGCAGTACAAGCTGATTCGGAGCTTTCTGAATAATAATATTGGAGAGCAAATAGACGACGTGTATACCAAATACACAAACAATGTCTCCAGCTCCATTGAAATGCTATCTTCGATTAGTCTGGTGTCCAAGAGCGAAGTGTCGCAGACCATTTTGAACTTGATTTCAATACAAATCCTATTGGAAGACGTTTCCATATTGCTGACTCTGAATACGACACAAAATACGCCCATAGAGCCATTGGCATGCATCCACTTTATCAAGTCGACCCTGGAAATAGATTTGTTCAGCGATGGTTCGCAAGATATTGACCTAATATCGACCAACATACTGATCGTTGACGAGCGAAACGGCTCGGGTGTAGGCAATGATAATGTGTTTAGAAATATCTTGCAGCCTTCAAAGAAGGATACTACTTGTACGACGCCTAGGAATGCTGTCCAAGTGGAAATCCACTGCAGGAAGAATGCAAGTCTATCAAAGTATACAATAATGTTGAATAATATGAGAGTTTTCGCTCTTATGGATATTCTGGAACAACTTAAAGCATATCTGATGGAAGATTCACCCACTTCTTCTTCGTCAGATACTAGTTTGTCCTATCAAATAGTGCAAAAGCCGCTCCCACAACCGATTTCTGTCACAGAATTCATTGTAAATATTACAGACTCTGAGATTATATTCACTGAAGACTGCAGTCGTCTGGACTCGGAGGCAATCATTTTAAAGAGTACCACAGTAATTTCATACAAGCCCAGTAGCTTCTCCGTTCCGATATCGTTGAATATCAATCACTTGGAGATCTTTTCCTGCACATTGGATGCCGAAGATGACAGTGCTCTGTCCATAATTGACCCATTCACATTGAACATAGAACTGCGAAGCAACTGCCTGAGCATTCTCGTACAAAAACCTTTGAATATTCGGCTTTCCTATGTCGACGTTAAACTATTCTCGAGAATGGCAAGGCTATTGCCCACGCAAACATCGAGAGTACAAAAGGTCGTATCCTCAGACGAGTGCGATCTGGAAAGAGTGGCGCCCCTCGTGGCGATGGGATTTGCGATCAATGACTGCCTGTATGCCATGCAAATAAACAATTGGAAGATCAACGACGCCGCCCTGTGGCTATCCCAACAGAAGCAAAACACCAATCGAAACCCTGCGCTGGAACTGAAGGAGTTAATGGTCGACGCGAACGTTATATCGGTGTTCATAATTGACGATTGCATGGATGCGGACGTGCCTTTGCTCGAGGTATCACTCTCCAAGGTGCTCTTCAACCTGAATTTGAAGGCAAAGGAACATCAGTCCAAAATTCAACACTATATCCTGGCCAATGTCGAGACCGAAGTCGCCCTCAACTATTACAATCGTCGCCTCAGCGGTTGGGAACCGGTGGCCGAAACATGGGAGTGCAATGCCACGTTTAAATACACCAAAGGTCAGGTGGAGAATAAGAAACGACTGGAGATTGGGATCTTCAGCAAGCAGTTGCTCAAGCTGAATATTACATCAACATTTATAGAGCTATTCAACATGGTGCTGAAGAACTGGACAAACGATTTCAATGACAACGGAGCCAAGAACTTCCGACAACGCTCGCCGTTTATTCCGTTTGCCCTGCAAAATCTGACCGGAACTCCGCTGCTGTTCAAGCCCATTTACGCACCACTTGGGGACATGTCATGTTCGGATGTGCATCAATTGGAGATTATAAAGAACTGGCATTCTGTCCCGCCCAACGAGACGAAAACGTTCGATTTCATCCAAAAGAGTAAACTGAGACACATACACTCCCATCAGCTGAATTTGCACCAGATATTCGTACAGATCCATGGCTGGAGACTAATTGGACCACTGTCAGTGGACAAAGTCGGTGTGTTCTTCCGGACAACAAACTTTGATTCCCTTGACTTGGCCACAAAATGCCGAATAATCTTCGATATTTCATTGATTGGATCTGCACAGAAGCTGATTAAAGTGAAATCATCATTGTGGCTGTCAAACAAACTAGATCGAAGTATCTTTTTGAAGACGACGCTGAGGAGTGACTTCGGCGATGGCCTATCCGCCATAAGTATTATAAAACCCAACGATGAGCTGTCTCTGCCGCTCAAATTTATCGATGCGTCTATATATATTGCGCATTGTTCGAGTGAGAATGAGGAGCTGTCTGGAAATTATACTGACGACATAGGCTTCAGCAATAAGGAGATTTTATGGAAAATTTGCGGCACCGATAGCATACAGGAGCTGCTAGTGTGCTATGACAAGAATAGGAGCTTATTATATACCCTAATCAGTATAAATAGAGAAATATTTCACTGCAAAGAGCCAGGTTTGCCTGGGCACAGAATCGCTCTGTTACCTCCTTTGAAAATAAACAATATGCTTTGTTGCGATCTAATGTTTAAGATACACGACAGTGCCACCGGCAGAATCAGTGCATCCGAGAGTATGTATATCTATAACGTCAATATATACGAGCCCTTTAACCTGAGCATTACCTTGGACAATTTTCAACTGTCGGGACATGTGAAAGTCCCCAGCAGACACGTCGGAATTGTTGAGCCAAAATTAAAGCTGATCGACATCAAAAAGCGGGAACTCCACTTACGCATATCTATTCAATGTTTCCAAGGCAAGGGCATGGAGGTGTACATAAGTGCTCCGGTTTGGATCATTAACAAGACTGGGCTGCCGCTCATTTACAGGCAGGACGGCAGCAACAGCACGGCGGCCGGGCAATTCGATGAGCACGAAACAGCCCGACAGGTCGCACCGCTAATGTTTTCGTTTTCGGATCAAGAGGCATCGCCTGCCCTTGAAGTACGATTGGGTGGTGCCTTCGGAGCCAGCAATTTGGTATATTCAACTGATTTTTATATTAAACTAAATTTGTATTGCAATATTTTACTTTTTTAGTGGTGCAAAAGCTTTAGCATGCACAAGGACCTCAGTCACAGGGAATTGCGAGCTGAAAATACCAAGGGTAGCTATGCAATCGGCATAAGCGTACGACGTGGAAGAGGACTATATGCCTGCACGACTTTCCTAACTTTATCGCCCAGATTCCATCTTCACAACCGAAGTGGCTACATACTGGAATTTATACAACGCTGCGATATTGTCAGTAAATCGTACAGTACATCATCTCTAAACTTATTGCTAAACTTTCTGTCTGTCTTTTTAGGATCAGCCCAGCTCAAGTAATATTATTTCAGCTCCAATCGATTGCAATTTCGCCTTTCATTGGCCAAATTGGGATCAGGAGCAGTATATTTGTGTACGCATACCGGATGTAGAGTGCTGCTGCTGGTCCAAAGGTATACCCATCAATGAGGTACAAAGTCTGTACATAAATGTACGAAATGATTGGAGTGAAATGTTTTTCCTGCGGTTGGAAGTCATTTCGAAAGATGCCACGTATATTCTTTTGTTCACGGACGCTCGAACATTACCCCCGCCGATACGCATTGATAATTGCTCGGAAGTTGCGATTAATTTCTCACAAACGGGCACCAGACCATCTTGGATTACGCCCGTTCGTGCCCAATCCTCACTAGCCTATGTAATGGATGACCCGTCAGGCACACAAACGTTGCTGTTGGAAGCGCCTGGAGGAAATATGGTTGAGTTTCCAATCAACAAGACGAATATCAAAAGAAGCTTGACGTACTCAAACTTTATATACATCGCCTTTCACGACACCTTCGACCAATTAAGCAATCAGGAGAGGAAACCCGATCAAAACTATCAGCAACTAGTCTTGGGTGTTAGAGGGAAAAAAGTTATCATAATGGAGAAGAATTCCGGTGATCGTTCCCAGCTGTGGCTCATGAACTCCAACGGTCAATTGGAGCACGAAGGATCCACGCCCCCAATCCAATCCAATGAGGCGCATGCTGTCCGCCTGGTACTAGACCTGGACAGGGCTCCCAATCCCACAGAGTTTACCACTTTGGTGGTTCGAACACCAAATAAGCAGAGAATCACCACACAGACATGGAGGTTCGAAAGCGGTCGATTGATGTGTCATGCCAACATGTGCGTTCAGGTAAGAGTTATCTTTCACCACTATGTCGGATTCGCTCTGATATTCACTCTCTGGTCTAATCATTTTCAGTCACGCTGGAGTGCCAATGGTCTGCAGCCCAACTCTGAAGCGGTACTGGGGCGCATCGAAAATACTAGTGGCAAAGGAAACAATGGAAGCATTCCAATGAGTCAACATATTGTGGCACAAAAGCTACGACCAGGATCGGGTCAATTGGAGCTGTCAATGAAGATGGATGGTCCCATATGCACCATCGAGATATGCGATATAAAAACTAAACAAAATACAGTATACTTAGCTCCTGATTTGATATGGATGCATGCCTCTCTGAATAATAGACAAATGGCTAATGAAGGGAAGGAATCACCGTTGCATGAGTATCTGGTAGGTGATTGAACGTTACCTAAAATCAATCAAAAAATACAATTTTTTATTTTTCAGATAAATGTTGAACTTCTGAAGGGCATCGGTATTTCAATAATATCACGGAAACCCTGTGAAGAGCTTATGTTTATAAGCCTGGAGCTCATACACTGTGATTTAGAGCAAAGCGTCTTTGAGAACTCATTGGACTTGACCATTTCGTCTATACAAATCGACAATCAGCTATTGGATGCGGCCACCCCAGTGGCCCTACATACTAATTGTTCCACTGAACAGGATGAGCAAAATAACGCTGTGGTTCTGAAACTGAAAATGTTGCCCTGCCCGAATAAGAACGCTATCATCTTCAAGTACCTCACACTGGACTTAAAATCGTCGATTGCTGCGAACCTGGAAGAGAAGCTTATACTTAAGGTTGCTTCCTTTCTCGGCTACGGCAAATCCAACAGGCAAAGCTTAAGCGTTGCTTACGATTTCGAGAACTTTGAGGAGAAACTCATACTCAAAAATATGAAAAGATACTACTTTGAAAACTTAAATATTGGCTCAACTCAGGTGTGTATTAGCTTGCGATTCAAATCATTTGATTATTAAGTAAACCGCCTCTCAACAGGTGCGACTATCGGCGAGTACTTCTTCCAAGCTGCCCATCGAGCTATCAGAAACCAAAAAGGTACTAGGACTTACGCTCATTAAGTTCGAAGACGCGCAAATAGAGCTCGACAGCTATTCGGATAAATTTCACTTTGAGACATTGAACGTGTATCTGAAGGGAATGAAAAGGCACTACATAAACCAAGTCAAGTGGCACGCAGCTTCGATATTGGGTAGTGTGGACTTTCTAGGAAACCCCTTGGGATTCGCCAACGATCTCTCCGAAGGTGTCTCTGGACTCATTTTCGAAGGCTCGGTCACTAGTCTAGTCAAGAATGTAGCCCATGGCTTATCGAATTCAACAGCAAAGCTCACAGAAACATTATCTGATAGTCTGGGAAAAGTGGTTCTCGATGAACATGATAATGAAACTAGACTTCGAATCTTGGAACCACAGACAAACACTTCTGGCGGCCACCTGGCAGCAGGTTTGAAGGGATTCGGATTTGGTTTACTTGGAGGAGTAACCAGTATTGTTCGACACACCTACGATGGTGCCCAATCGGATGGCGTTCCTGGCTTTCTCAGTGGCCTTGGCAAAGGCTTAGTGGGCACAGTCACAAAGCCAATTATCGGAGTGCTTGACTTGGCCTCAGAAACAGCAAGTGCTGTGCGGGAAACCAGCCGGGGTACAGCCAGAATTTCTCCGGACAGAAAGCGGCTACCCAGGTGCGTGACTGGTGCCACTGGCGGACTTCTGCCATTGTACTCGAATCGTCAGAGTAAGGGACAGCAGCTTCTATACCTTATCAATCGTAGGAACTTTGACGAAAAAATAATAGCGTATGACCCGAATCTATGGAGCGATAAAGAGGCGAGATTGCGTTTGCTTGTTTCTACAGAATTTGTTCGGATATTCTCATTTACTGATGGAAATCCAACCATTATGCTTCAGTCGCATCTAAGCGAAATACTCTCATGCCATCCCTTGACAACCAATATGGGCACAAGCCCATCGACAAGCAGGCAATCGTCTAGCCATTACATTGAAATATCAACCAACCTTCCAAAGATTACGCGACCAAGGATACGATGTCGATCGGAGGAATGTGCTGAAGCTGCATCCAGATGCGTAAGTGAATGTTTTTGATAATTTAATACAAAAATATGAAACAATTTATTAACACACAACATGCATATTTTTTCTTTCAGATAAACTACGCAAAGAGTGTGTTTCACGAACATGAACATGCCGTCTTGTAAAAAGCAATAAGCCTTTTCGTGATAATACAAGTTAGAACTTAAGAGTGTATATAATATATTTACGGGTGCAAGAATCGTTGTACATTAAAGTTATGATTTTAATTTTGTAATCGGTTTACTTGATATTGGAAAAGTACAATGTGATAGAAGAGATAAGAAAAACAGATCATTACTTGTTGAAATAAATGAGAAAATAATAAAACAGAGAGCTTTAAAATGATCCAAGTTGATCCTGTGGTGTGGGTCTCAACCACTGACCCAAACTGTACTGTTTCGAAAAATAATACATAAAAGGTGCGAATAGATGCGTAGAATGAAGCTCATTTAAATTTAATAAGAAACTCTCTTTGGCTGTTTTACATCTGGTGTGATCTATTTTTGATAAGGATAGGTCTATCTAGTCTACCAAAGTAAAATACGACCATTGCGCGTGTATACTAAATAATTTAATGGATTTAACAAATATTGAAAGCTTACAGCAAGTCAGAAACTAAGGCCACAATCAAACAAACCCAGTTCTGAGGATAATATTAGAGAGCCCTTGTCCTTGTAATGTTTACCATTTCTTGCATCTATATCTATGCGTTTGTTCTGCTATTATTTTAACATAAAGAAAATACATAATACATAGGTACACTTTAACGAATTTAGTAATCTGTGTTCTTGTAGTGCTCCCTCCTAAACGCCGCCAATTTTAAGCGTTGTGTCTGCAGTGCTTGCTCTGTTTCGAGAACCTTTACGTGGATTTCCATTTCCATGGTCTTTATTTGGGATGGTGTAAGATTGGAGAGCTCCTTCTCGTTTAGTTCTTCCAGTTGGGAATTACAATCTTTAACAGTGGCCACCAACGTCCCAGTGGCCTGAGTTACGTTCCGCGATGCTTTGGTCAAGTCTGTCAGATTTTGGCTATTACGATTAGCCTTGACTTTACTTGCAATAACCATCTGGGCAGTGCAGGCAGCAATTTCCTGGGCAGCGACTATGAGCTCAAAGTTCTTCCCAGATTCACTTTCAATGGCATTATTGGCAGCATCAACTAGATAATTCGCAGCCTTAGCTACGCTTTTCGAAGCCGATATTAACCCGTCCGACCACTGACTGTTGCGCCTATAAAATTCATTAGCACTCGCATTTCCTGAAATGAAGAAAAGCGGTTTAGAAATATGAAACATTAAATGTAGCTGTGTGTACTACCTTTTTGAGATGCGACGATTTCCTGCTGAAGCACACGCGATTTTAAAATTAGGACTTTAACACATTCCATTAGGGTCGTGCATGCATCCACAATTTTCCCATTGACTTCCAGGTTGGTTTTGTCATCTTTCTCGCGGGCCTTTGCCAACAGGTTAATAATCTTTGAGGCTGCCTCATCGATCGCACTATCCATCTCTCGAAGCTCTATTTCGAGCAGCTTATCGAAGTCAATCTTTTTCTCAAATGTCTGTTTAATTTTATCAACTAATTTACGTATATCCGACAGTTTCGATTGTACATCGCTTAAAGCCTTATGCGTTTCCTTTTCCCTCGGTTCGTCGTTGAGAGAATATTGGAAAAAGGTGCAGATGTCTGAGCATATGGATGATGCTTTCATTAAAATATCTAAAATTTCAAATATATCAATAATTTATACAGTGCAAAATCTCGTGCTTTACCAACGTACCTTGACCCGTCTCAATCTCTGTTGTAGACTTGTAGACCACATCGCACTGCTCATATAATTTAATAAATGCATATCCAAAGAACATAGCTGCCTGCAAGCCCTTAATGGACGTAGCCTTTTGTAAATCAGGTGAGGAAATGAATGTAACTATGAGCCCATCCATTTCTGTTGTGATTTTTGGTATAGCATCTAAGGGCTGTTCGGCGGAATCACTCAATTTGGAATTGCAAATGTCCTTCACAGTTTGAACTACCAGTTTTCTAACATCGTTAAGATTGGAATGACAGTTTTCATATGATTCAGTAATAGAATCCACTTGTTTCGTTGTTTGATGGAACTTCTCTTCCAGAGCCGCATGCCTGCCCTGCAATTCCTCGTATTGTTGTGTCACCGAGAGCTGTTCCTGCTTTAGGAGCGTAAGAGCCACTGTAGATTCCTGTTTGAAAGTATACGAATATAAGTAATTGTGAAACAAAAAGAGATTTTATGCGGATCTACTTGTAGGGAAGTTTCCTTCTGCTTCAGGCTATTTATAGTTTCCAGCAATTGTTTATTTTGATCCTCAAAGGTCGCTTTATGCTCCAGCTTTAGTTGCTCATTCTGTGATAGAAGCGTTTCCTTTTCTGTTTCATGCGCTTTTAAGTGCTGTAGTATTTCTTCGTTTTTCAAACTTATTTGGCTTTCAGCAATTGAAACCTTTTCCTGGGCATCATTTAGAGACGCATTCAGTTTCTCAATTACCAAACTATTTTCGTTCAATCTCTCAGACTTTGAAATAGAATCCAGCTCTTGTATTTCCTTTTGCTTGGTTACATTATCGAATTCCTGCTTTAGTAGCGCAAAAGCTTCTGTTAATTCCTGTGTGAAAGCATACGAATATAAGTAATACAACTGCAATACAATAAGGGAATTTATACGGATCTACCTGCAGGGAAGTTTCCTTTTGCTTTAGGCTATTTATAGTTTCCAGCAATTGTTTATTTTGATCCTCAAAGGTCGCTTTATGCTCCAGCTTTAGTTGCTCATTCTGTGACAGAAGCGTTTCCTTTTCTGTTTCATGCGCTTTTAAGTGCTGTAGTATTTCTTCGTTTTTCAAACTTATTTGGCTTTCAGCAATTGAAACCTTTTCCTGGGCCTCATTTAGAGACGCATTCAGTTTCTCAATTATCAAACAATTTTCACTCAATCTCTCAGACGTCGAAATAGAATCCAGCTCTTGTATTTCCTTTTGCTTTACTACATTATCAAATTGCTCCTTTATCTCATTCCTAACCGATTCCAGCTGCGAAAGCTGCTCCTTTTGGTCCTCTATTTGTTGCAACAAATCAAAGTTGGTCTTGTTCTTTTCCTCAACATCGCCTTTTATTTTTAGTATCTCATTGTTGAGGACTTTTGTTTGCAATAGTAGCTCAGAGTTGGTTTGCTTCTCTTTATTTAAAACCTTTGTGGATTCACTTTGCTGAAATGGGAAATGGTAGAGAGAACATTTAGTGCAGGTCATTAAAAAGATAGTAGGTTCACTTACTTCACGCAATAATTTAATATGCTCATCCCGAATTTGCGTGTACAGCAATTTTAGTTTGTTAAACTTTTCCGAAGATTGTTTCTGCTTTTCCTCTTCTTCCATTACCTTTTCTGTAAAATAGATTTATTCGTTTTTAAGCTATTTATTAAAAATATGCGGAGTTTATTACTTCTAAAACATTTTAATTACCTTTTGGATAAATATGTTTTTATTTCAAACTAGCTGAACCCTCGGCGACAATTTAAATCTGTTCGATTCCAGATAATGCCCGATATTTTGTTAACTATCCCGCGAGTTCCGTATCCTGTGTTTATTTTGTGTGTTTTCCTTAGTTCTTTATATGTTAAATCTATTTAGCTACACGCCTGAATATATTAATATAAGATCTGAATTGAGTTTTCTTTATAAAACACAATAAAAACGAACGGAAACGGGCTGCGGCTCTACATTTATAACCGATACTCAGTCAGTATGTGTGTTGCTATCTCGCTCCCTTTCGCCGGAGGGTGCACACTGGACGGGGAAGAGTGTATGAGACAGATAGAGATAATAAGTAAGCGCGTGGAAGGGGGTTGAAAAGTTTTGCGCGCTAATTGTATTTCTAACTGGAACTCTATGGTATAAGTGTAGTCGCGTCGGGTTCAGCTGGAGTCTGTATTTGCATTCAACATAATTCAAGAAAATGGGATACAAATATTTAAATATTACAAAAAGCTGTGAAAAGTGCCAACCACTCTACTAAGGAAATGTCAGACCAGAATATTTACAGACAAAACACAATATTAGGATTTTGGTCCACTAATGGGGCAGCGATATCAGTTATTGTGTTGTTCAAAAATAAAAGATACTTGTTACTCACGTATTAGCATTGGATTTTTGTTTAATTGAAGCTCAAGATCATCATTTTGCATCCGTATGTTTTCACACATTTGCCTTGATATTAGCAGATCATTCGATAAGAGGGCATTGGCTTTCTGCATTTCGAGCACTTCATGTTGGTAGCTCTGTCCAAGCTCATCGAAATTTTGTTGTAATGAATTCAATGTTAATTTAAGATCTTCAATCGTAGCTTCCTTCTCATTTATAATGCCCTCGAGTGCATTCAACTGCTGCTGCATTTGGCCATCATCTGGCTCTGAGGGACAGCTGGTCTCAACAAGATCTTCAACAATTGGATCGGGCTCTGGTTGCACATAGACCACTGGCGGTATATAACTACTGAAATCAACTTGTGAACTGAAATTTGGACTGGATTCGGGCAATTCCGGAACCGAAATTAAGCTTTTAAAATACTGAAGCGGTCGCACATTTTCATAAAAGACTTTCAACTTCGAAAATAAACCATTAAACCTATCCCTGTGGCCGCTCAGGACGTCGTTCGGTAGGCTTTCATGGAGTTTAAACATAATCCTTACGCTATTATCGTAGAGGGAGTTCGAGTCTTGAATGAGACAAATCATGGGTGCCAGTCTACATTGACCCTGCTGAGTCATGGACGACATTCGGTAGGTATTTATGGAAGAAAATATTTGTAACTGCAGTGCAATTATATCCTCCAAATAATCGAAGATCTCCACACACAATTGAAAGCTGAAACGAACGCTAGGTGTTAATATGCGGTATATCTCTATGATTGTTTCAAGTCTTACAAGTAATTTACATCCCGATCGGCAGCTTTCGAAATTTCCTTGAACGAAATTATTAGGGATCCGGGAAAAGTGTTTTTTTCGTGGAAATTTAGTTTTGTGACCAGGAGCTTGCAGTAGGCGTTTATACAGAGTCCAATATCGTCTTGCAGATGACCCCACATTTTGCCCACTTCAAGGATCATTTTCTTGTGACTCTGAGAGTGTTTTATAGCACATGGAGGAGCCTCTCTTAGCACCTTGTGCAGCAAATGGCAAAACTTCCAGGCGGTGAATCTGCTTTGCATTAAGGACTGCCGGGAGATGGTGTTCCAAAATGATTTTGCTTCTTTGGTTTTATGTATCATAATAATAATGGATCGAGCATGTTTCGTTTTTAATGGTGCCTCCAAACCATTTAAAGCTTTGTTTGTGCTGACAGTCTGGAATAAAAAATGTCAATACAATAAGTTATTAAAGCCAGAAGCAACGTCACACGCGGATATATTTTATGTGAATTAAATTTAAAAATAGACCCTTCAATATAAATAGTCATAATATTATCAGTGAAATACAAATCTACGATCAGGTGCGTTCAATTGTCTAGTCACATTAGTTGGAGCATAGGTCAGTATTAGGGAAGTATTAGTTGGGCATAAAGGCGCCAACCCTTAATCTTGTGGCCTCCCAGAGAACATCTCCATTAACAGCTGATTCCTAAGAATCCTATACCTGAACGCACAAGGCCCATCTTCATTTGCGCAACCGCTGCTGACGGCCCATCGATCATTCCATTGATATTTGCCCTGTTCGATTTGATACCCTTGGGGAGCATTCTAATTTTGGTCAGATGTTTGCAGCGCATTGAAGGAATGTTCGCGAAGTAATATGAAGTAATCCCATTTGGCATTGTTGGGCAAGATCGGGCCGGGCCAGTCAAAAGGTGGGTTTCCATGGCAACAGTTTTTTTTTCTTGTTTGTGTTGTTGTTAGTTAGTCTCAAAGTTGTAAGTATTCACTGCACTTTCAGCTGCACACAGACACTGTTTAATCAACTCGACTGTTGTTGATGATCCATACATATGTACATTGTACACACATTAGCATTTCACTTCCTATGCAAAAATGGAAGTCGCGGGTGATGGTTGGTTTTAACAAGTATATACATATCTCTATATCTTGGCACCGCCTGAGACCAGGCGCAGGACAACTGCATAAATGTACATTGAGTACGTACCAACTGGTAAAAGTCCTTTTCGGCAAGCGTCGACATTGTGTTAATGGATTTCTTAGCGAACGTGTGGGCGTTGTGGGCTTGCTTGGAGTTTATTCGTCAGCTCATGAATAAGCTGGAAAACTGTGTGTTTAAATCATTGAAAGTTATCTTATCTTATCACATTGCTTTCATTTGTTGCTCTGCAGAAATTCATATTAAACCGATGTGTATTTGTGTATGTTTGGTATGTGAATCATAACAAGTGTTGCCGTATCTGGAATTAGGGATGGGTATCGTATCGATATTTTTCATCCCCATCTGGAATCACCAAAAAGTCATGTTTTCAATTCGATAATGATATTCCTTTCCCTATTAATGATAGTCGTGATTGTAGCCTGAAGGCACTAACCATACAGTATACTGTATGGTTAGTGCTGAAGGTCTGTAACAACATAATTTTCAGACCCTACAAAGAAAATTTACAGTTTGTGCAATACATTAGATTGATCGATATTTCTGATCTTTAAGATCAAGGCAGGATAGTTGTTCCAGTCCCACCTAAACGATAGGTGGCCAGGGCTGAGGGCGACGCGCCATCTAGCGGAAGCCCAGCGGAAGCGTGGATTGGATTACGGAAATCGTGGAGCGTGGACGGAAGAGTAACGTCGAAAGTTGAAATTTTGTGCTTTAAACAGAAAGTTTGAAGTGAGTACAGAGAAAGGCGGGCGTGCAAATAGGTTGTAATGCAGGAAATTTTACTCACAGCCGGCAAGGAATACAGCCACCAAAACTGGGCCAGAAGGTTTCCTGGAGAGAAACACTGGAGTTCGAGAAAGTCGACGGCAGAGAAGAAGACTGTCCAAGGGGAACTACCCAGCCCTGAGGTCGACAGCTAGCCGGCATTGCCCCCTGGGAAACAAGCCAAGTGTAACATAGTTGGTCCGTTGGAGAATTTTATTGAGGGGGACGAAACTGGCCCTTGTACATTCACGGACCTAATTTCACAATAAAGGTATGCTGTGGCCATTTTACATTCGACTTTGCTTAATAAATAACTGCAAAAACAGTAATGGAAATTAATGGGAAAGGCATGCAGTGAGAGCGAAATATTTATATATACATAGATATATATACATACATCCACTTTGCTGTCCTGTTAGGCTAGGAGCAGCAGATCAAATGTTACAACTTATTGGGGAGGCTTCGATCGATAGATGGGAGAATTGCTTAAGGACGGATAATGCCACTAATTTTGTATGTTCCTCCCTGATGCTATATCTCGCTTCGCATTAAAGTTATCAAATAGCAGTTATGTCATAGCACCATTACCGTTATACCGATATTTTTGTACACTGTGCATCGATAAGAAGACAATTTATGTTAACAGTTATTCTCATTAAATTATCATTTATTTAAGAATTCGAAAATTTTGAGCAACAAAGGTCAGTTCCATGTTTTCGTGTTTTAAAAGGAAGTCCGAAATAAAAAGCCCGTGTCGGTTTTGCTCTATTATTTTGAAGGCATCGGCGAGTGGAATCGTAGTGTTGTGTATGTAATACAAAAGATCTCCTTGCAATTCCTCTCTGCAGAAAAACAACAAAGCAGGAAAAATATTATAGAAATACACAGAAATCGAAATAGGCAATACTTACAGCAAATAAACGCTTTTAAAAGTGTGCAACAGGAATGTTGTTATGTTACTAACTATTTCTTGCTCGCTTGGTTGCAATCGTACATTTCTGTAAGAAAATATGAGCAAGAAGCGTATTCCAAATAGGCACCAATAAATATAATTATTCAAAAAAAGAATGGCCTACCTTACACTTTGAATTATCGCATGAGGTCTGATTTTTACCATTAGAATCAGTCCCGGCGTTAAACTATTTCGAAAACTTTCAACAGACCCGATTCCAACCACCTTTCCCCGTTTCAGCAATGCCATTCGATTGCATAGAGATTGAAAATCTTCTATGTTGTTTGAAGATAACAATATTGTGCTGCCACATTCGTTGACACTCTTCAGCACATCCAAAACATCCGATCGATGGGCCTTCTCCACTCCAGCGGTTGGCTCATCCAAAATGATAAGTGGCGGTGTTCCTATCACTGCTATTGCTGTGCTAAGCTTCCGCTTATCACTGACCGTATACTTCTTGGATGATTTTTGTAAGTGCTCCCGAAAGTTAAGGTTTTCGGCCAGTTCTTCGGATACTTCTCGCACTTTATCCGATCTTATGCCACGTATAAGACAGAAAATTTTTAAATTTTCTCGACCCGTAAATTTGGGCTCAAAATAATCCTTTTGGGGACAGTAGCCCATATATTTGTAGGCCTTGTATCGGTTTATTTTTCTATTGTGAACGTCGATTCCTTTGACTAGAACTCGTCCCGAAGATAGCATGATTTCCGATACAATTACTTTGTTAATACTAGTCTTTCCAGACCTCTCGCCAACTAATCCAAGAACATCCATTCTATAAAGAAAAACAAGAGATTCGAAAACCATAGATTAAATTAGTAGATGTACTTGCGGCTTGAGTCCAATTGTGACGTCTTTGACTGGACTATTCTGGTAATTTACTACAACATTTTCCAAAAGAAGAGTATGGTTTCTCAGCTCATTTTGGGTCATTCTCTGCAAATCGCAATAATCAGTATATTCGCCACCTGTACGTCTTTTAGAAAACATTATATTTTTATCTGAAAAAACAAACAAACTTTGCAACTATAATTCTTACCTTTTTCGTCTGTTGCAAAAGGATCCACGCGCAAGAAGCAAGAGCAGGATATAAAACAACATAGATGCGCCGATCAGTGCCAATATGTATGGAAGTCCAGCGATCACGCACCAGTGGGAGTGGACCTCTATGAGCTATGCAATAAGTCATGTGTAAACCAGACATCGACTCCAAGCACTCACCGCATCCTTGAAATTTTTTGTCGTTTCTTCCTTCACAGACTTTAAGCGACGATGCCTCAATACAGATGGCATGGACCAACGCAATGGCCGCGTATGTGGGTATTATATAAAGGAAAGCAAATTCTTTTTCCGGAACAGGCCACTCGAAGGGTATGGCTGGAACGGTAAGTGGAATGGACTGTCAAAGAAGCAACCCCAATATATTAAGATATGTACTAACCCAATATAAACAATAGTACTACAGGTATAATCCATGCATACATAACTCGTGCGAAGAATTGCATCAGCAAGTATAAAAATAGTAGCAGTGCAACACTAAAGAGAATCAAGGCAAAGGCATAGGCAACTAGAAATAGTTGATAATTGAAATAGTTATTATACTGGAATATCAAACATGTAAAACCCCCTGTAAAACATTACCTGTTTCATTGTCGAAACTCTTTTGCAGAAGAAGCGTCATCACGATTACAAGCGATACGGAAAATATCGAAAGCAAAAACCAGTCAAAAAGCAAGTGGACCAGCCAGAATGTTGTCATATTAATGCCCTCCACTTGCTGCAATAGCTTGAATCCGATGCGACGCTCCCTGACAATGAAGGCGGCAAAGAACCCGCTGAAGATACTTATGCACAACAGATTCAGATATAAAGAACCACTCTCGAAACAATCGATCTGCCGGATTGTGGAGTTTTCACTATATTGAATTGACGGATAGGGGTGATTGTTAAAGGTTATGGCTTTCGTACGAGTTTCCATCTTTGCATTAGCATCAGTGCAAAATAGATCCAGAAATCCACTGAAAGAATTTACAATTTATTAATATGCTGATCTATGATTTACATATGATAAAATTAGCTTCGAAATATTCACCTGTTTGCCAAGTATCCTATTAGGGCGGCTGCCACTGCTTCCGAATGTAAAAATTTTCGGCTGTAATAGATTTGATATGCGCATTTGTTTATTTTTATACCAAAGACATAGACATTATTTAAGATATCTGCTTTTGTGTCCAAGTCTTTCGCTGATATATCCTGTGTTCTACAGCCAGTTATTTTCCGCTTTAAGAGGCCTATAAGTGGATTCTCATCGTTAAAGTCTCTGACAAAGGCCACCCGGCATCTTGGTCCATATATATCCAGCTTTAGCGGCAGCCGGTCCTGAAATACAAAATCCATGCCTGCGTGCGAACGGTATTTGTCTGGAATTGGCCAACTATAAGAGTATCTTTGTAGCGCCGCAGCTCCCAATAGCATCAGAAAAAAAAGCATAAAAAACACCAGAAAATTATGCTTGATTTGATAGAACTTTTTAAGTAACATCGCACGCCATTGATTGAGGCACAAATTACAACCATATAATAAACATTCATCGGGTTCGGGGGAGCCTCCTACACAATTTCCCCTGCTACTGTCGGCGCACGGCGAAGTGGCCTTCACAAATTTATTTATGATGGGCGTTGTGCCAATGCCAATGGCGCCCATATTGAAACAATTGGCTCCACCCTCCAGCTCCTTAAGCAATGGCACAATGCTACGGCAATAGGATTGCGGTATGCTGTAGGATATTTCAAATGGTTTATCCGAGGATGCCGTAGTCTCTGGTATGTATGATGTTATTAACGATGTTATCTGTGGCTCTTCACATACCTCCCCTTGCGAACAGACCTGATAATTAAATGCAAAATACTAGAATACATAGTATCTATACATATTGATTCATACCAACTGATATCCAGAACCATGCGTGTTTTTTAAAAAGGTGGAAGTGCCATTGAACAGCAGGTTACCATCGCATAGAATAGCCAAACGGTCGCCGAGAACATCAGCCTCTTCGATATGGTAAGTTGTGATAATTAAAGTCCTACATCGTTTCTCCGATTGTAACAGATCCCACACCAATCTTCGTTCACAGGGCTCCAGGCTCTCGGTGGGTTCATCTAATACCACAATCCGCGGATTGCCACAAAAGGCACAGGCCACAGATAATCTCCTCCTGTCGGCCGTGGATAAGCAACGGCCTTTCACATCCCTAACTTGCCAGAGCTCGAGGGCTTTCAAATACCTGGCCGTGGCACGTACTCTTCCATGTGCGCTAGTGCCCCGCAGAGCATAGAATATGTACATGTTCTGCTTAACGGTCAAATTGGCAAATAATGGATTATGCTGTGGCGAGAGTCCCACCAGAGTTCTGGTCGATCTCGCAATATCTCTATCGTCAATTTTTACCGATCCCGACTGGGGGGGAATGCTGCCCGAAATGGAATTGGTAATGGCGGATTTCCCCGAATCTGATAGTCCCAATATAGCCGTGATCTGATCATCATACATATTCATGGCGAAATTTGTCAGAGGCGGCTTTCTTTTGTGACTCCTTTGACTCAAGATGAGCGTCTGCACAACGGCTGGGGACATTTTGCGAGTTCTTTGAGGGTTTTGATGATAGCCCAAGGAATCATGATCTCTGGAAGATCTGCGAAACATCGAAGCTCCGTAGCGTCCCGGGCAGCATAGCTCTGCTAATGAGCACAACACCAGAGAAATGAATGCTCCCATCAGCATTATGATGGGAATTAGAGCAAAACTATCCAGAAACTTCCCTCTTAAGAAATGATCCCATTGAAGCCCCGTATTATCGTACTTTTCATAGTAAAGTATTTTCCGAAGGCCAGTTAAAAATCCAAATTGGAAAGACACGCATAACGGATAGTGCACAGCTTTGCTCCAGGCATGCAAAGACATATATAATATAAAAAAAATCATCGAATAAAACACAATCATAAAGGCAGCTAGGGCTGTATCTTGAAATAAACTATAGATAAGAAAACAAAAGCATATGGCGCACACTGTCCATATGGTAAAAAAAAACCAAACGGCTGTGAAGCTCGAACAGTTCAAAATGTTACCATTTTTACAAATCGGCGCCTAAAAAAGGAAACGAATTATGGACTCAAGCATCTGTTCTTTGTGTTCCAGTAGATGGATAGCATACCGTAAGCAAGAAAACAGTTAATAAGTTAATCACAGTCGCCAAAATAAAGGCAGAACAAAACCAAGAGAGATATTGGATGAACCGATTTGCACTGGAAATTCTCATCAAGTCATTTAGCTGCTTGGTCTTTTCTTTTTGCATAAGCTATTTAAAAAAAGAGAAAAGTAAATCAACTTAGGTGGATAGTCCTATCCCAAACTCTCAGGAGAAAGCTTTTCTTTTCTTACTTACCATTACCAGACGAACGAATGGATAAATGTAGAGAGAACTCAAATAGAATGGCAATATATTCACCAGACTAGTACCCAATGGGTCGAGAATTTGGGGATCAAGGAAATCGTCATACGTCGCATCGGAAACAAATGGCTTTGATGTAATCGTTATGCCATCGTCCTTGAATTTTTTGGTAATATTGCTTACAGCTGGATATGATAGAAATGCCACAATGGCATACATTATTTGTAAGAATCCTTCATTCATATAGAGCGGCCGGGGCGTGTTTACTTCGTGTCTAACTTGGTTGGTATACCACAATTCAGTTGGCATCGTTCGAAGTGCACTGGGAAATCGTATGGTGATGTCCGTATCATCCTCGACATCCTTCACCTTCCAAATAATACCGCCCAAATAGTTTCCGTTTATAAGCTTATTTTCCATATCACCTTCAGAGCTGATACGCTCAACAGATCTCAGCTTTAGGACATTAAATAGTGCTGACTTTAGTGGCTCTACTATATAATCCTTGTTTGTATACAATAAAAGTACTTTTTTGGGAGTGAATTCGGCTATCATCTCCATTAAATTACTACATTTTTCAGTTTACGATTAAAACAAATAGGACAATCAATCAGAGAGAACATCAAAGGAGCCGAATTTTGAAAGATAACTAAAATACTTAGAACTTACTAAAGTGGACTGAGCTTTACATTATCCCCAAGAGTTCCATTTCGCCGCAAGAAACAATGCGAAGAATTCTCTTGATTTACAGTACATCTCAAGTGAACCAAGTGTATCATTAGCAGCGGCAGTAACATGTACATTACCATCTCGCATCTTGTATAGCTCCGAAAGTTCTTCAGAACTAGAACACATAATTGCGGTGCCATAACGAATCAATGCAAAAATTAATGTATAAGTTTTTATAAACTAAAGTACTTATATCATGACATACTACGCTCGGCTTGTGTATTTATTTAAACTTCAAAACTTAAGCTACAGGCAGTCTTCTGTATCTGTATGGGGAGGGGAGTGTCCTGAAATATAACAGACCAAACTTCAACCATAAAAGATGCCAAGGACGAAGCTAAGTAAACTGAAGATAGCATAATCTTTTACCAGAAATAAATGCATTTTTGTAGAAATATATCTGACGGCCCGTCTCCATAGACCATTCCAGGAATTTCCATATACATTTGCAGCTTGAAGGTAATTTAAATTAATCTGAATCGATAGCCTAGACCAAATGTCTACATCTTGGTAGGTCCAAGGGTAAGTCCCCAGAATTACTGGCCTTGTATTACTCACCCCACCCACTTCTGAGAGCTTAACCAAACATTTGATTAGTTGTTTTAATTCCGAATTTGAGGACAAGTGACGTAGTTGATATTGGGGTAGACACATGATAGAACATCTGTTATGCCAAATAATTGGCACGGCATTTGCCAAAAAAATTTTACTACAAAAGGGGCCCCGAACAGATCAGTCAGCATCGAAAGCACTACAAGCAACAACCAAACACTAATCATGCAGTCCAACAAAGTTCTCTTCCTTGTCTTTGGTGAGTTGAATGAGGGATTTCCGAACCACAGGAAGGAGTTAACTCATATCTAACCTTATATTATAGGTGTCCTGGCCCTGGTCATAGCCGCCAGCCTATCCTCTGAGGCTGTGGAGCAGGATAGCGAAGGTATCAGTGATCGTCGCTATCGTTGGGCTTCGGAAGAGGACAACTCCGAGGACTCGGAAGACTCAGCTGATGCCGAGGACGATGAAGATCAGGGAGATCAGGATGATCAGGGTAACAATTCTGATGAGGATGATCAGGGTAACAATTCTGATGAAGATGGCGAGTGGGAAGAGGAGATTATCGAATACGTACCAGCCGGAGAGTCCTGGGAAGATCTGGAGAATGGATCTGATGAAGCTTAAGTTGACTTAAATTTTTATCAATATTTTTTTTTAATTTATAACTATGTATACATGTTAATTAATTTGTTATTATGAAGAATCAACCAATTAAATATGAAATCCATTTAAATCTACATATGTATGTATATGTTTTTGGGGTATTCAATTTCCCCAATTCTTTCCCCATGCTTTCCGGTAATAAGAACCAGACTTTGGTTTTGTATAATTTATTTTATTTAACATAATTTAAAGTATGTATAATTCAATTTTAATATGGTTCACATACAATATTTATAGTTTGATTTTGCATTAATTTAAACATTTTAGTATTATGCATTTAAATATATTTTTAAGGTATATATTTAAACTATGACTAAACATAAATTTTACACGATTCTCTTGCCACGCCTACCACCTCGCTAGTGATGTCGTCCAATAATTTATTTCTGCAATTTCTACTAAGTTGAAAACCATAATTTTGGAATGATGGGACACAGGCAACACAATAAATAGATAGGACACTGAAATACGAGAAATACTTAAAAAAAGGGGGGGAAAAAAAAAATAAAAATACATTCGTACATTTAATACAAAATAGTTTTTACATCTGATCTGATATATCTTGAATTGCTCTAGAATGAGAGATCAGAGCTAATTGATCTGATTAACATATGTATGTGTATATGTTTCTTTTATTTTCGTTTTTCCGGACGTGTGTTAAGTCATTGAATAATTGGGAATTGCACTTCATTATTTAAATTGCCTGTTGATCTGTTGATGTTCTCTTTGTAGTAGTTTTGCCCCTCAAATGTTGCGCGTTCTGAGTCTTTTTTTCTCACGGCACACCCCAGCTCTCCGCAATCCGCATTTCTATCCGTTTTACAATCACACATTGCTGTCCGTTCCAACGGCCCCGGTGAAGGAGAAGGGCTGGGCATTGTTCACAATCCCCGCCCTGTCGTTGGTGGTCGACGCGGCTGTGCCATTGCCTCCATAACCAGTTTGTTGTGCAGCTGCCCGCATATCCTCGGCGGATGCTCTGTTTACGAGTAAGTAGACAAAAGGGTTTTATAATTGTTTAAAAAATCTTCAAAACTAAATCTATAAGTAGAAAAATGTAAGAAATCAAATGGAAATTAATCGGAATTTATGTGCTCAACTAGGGAAGTGTGTGTGTGTGCTTTGTGCCTACGTAGGGAAACCAAACAGTATCGTTTCAAATTATTCAAAATTGTATACAATAATTTTTCAATACAACAAAAGATCGGGTGCTACAGTTACAATTTGTCCAAAATCAACTCAAAATGTACATAAAATAACTACTTTCGAAAGTTTTTAAAGTTTATCTACTCACTAAAAAAAACATACATATAGTACGCTTAAGGACATCCCGACAGTTGAAAGATGTATATAATTTACAGAATACCACATTTATAGTGGGTTTGCCTTGCAACTGTCGCGCTGTCATTGAAACGCACTGTACTATATTGATAATTGATTACATTCATAAAAGCTTATACAAATTTATTTGCCTTTTGTGATTTCTTGGAGGCAGCACAGTGTTTAACAGCAAGCTGTTTCAGCGTGTTTCATATTGTTCATGTTGTTGGCTATCGGTGCTGCAGTTGCTGTAGGCCAGTCGTTGTTATTAGATTTAACTGCTCTTGGGCTGTTCTTGGACAGTTTTTTGATGTGACGTGTATTAGATCTTTAGTCTGATACTTGATTAGGGCCCAAAAAAAAAACATTTACATTACATATTTCATTTTTAGTGTTGCCGTTCATCGATTTAACATATTTTCAACAAATTTATTTAATTTATTCAACTTTTATAATTAGTTCAGGTGAGATTTCTCTGTTTGCTTGCGAAGGCTCTATTATTAACAAGTTCTGGCGAGTATTTCTTAAATGTTTTTCATACTTAAAGCACTAAAAAGTTATGAATAAATAAATATAAAGTTTAATGTAAAAATTTTGGAATGCATTTTGAAAGGAATTGTGCCCACAGGGCTATACCCAAAAAAAAATAATACCTTTCTATCAGACTTGAAAAGTTTGAAATTTTGGTTGTATCTAAAAATAATAATAATATACAAAAAACATATAGTTCTAGCTCATGAGAAATTATACGAAGCTCGAAAAAAAAAACAGACGACCTGAACTCTAAAATGCAAAATGAATGAATTTACAACATTTAAAAAACACAAACGTCATATGTATGTATCCCCAACTTGTGTACACTATATATATTATATAGAAATTGTATATTTTGTATATTTTTATATGTCTAATGCTTGATTATGATCAATTTCAATTTCAATTCGCGGACTATCATGTGAGCAAAATCAATTCTCAAATAACGTTAACATTTTGTATTTCCTGTTTTACATTCAAGCAAAGCATATCATATCTCGAGTTAATACTTTTTCTGAGTTGTACATATTGCTCTATAGGTTGTTCTTTCTTGATTCTCACTTTTTATAGTATTATTTATATTTGTTTTCTTCTTGTGTGTGTTTGTTTGTGTTTAAGCTGTGTGTGTGTGTGTGTGGAAGCTTGTGGTTTCTGTTTTTAAATAAGTATTTCTTTTGTTTGCATTCTCGGTTATCTTTCAATATAGTTTCTCACTAAAAATATATGCTTGCTGCAGTTTCGACATAATATGTAAGTATCAATGTATTCCCTTCAGTATTTTCTCTATGTACTATATGTATAATATATTTAACTGTAGTTTTTAACAACACCAACCGTTCGACGAAAGACATTTAAAAATGGAATACGAATTACATGCACAAAGGGGACAAAGACAATGGGGCCAAAATGACGAAAATGCATTTGCCCCAAAAAACACTTTGGTTATTAACAAACGTTTGTTTCAACAACAATTACATATGAGAATTTCGTTTCATTTCTTTTGTATTTTGGTGGGGTGTTCTTCTGTATTCTTCTATATTCTCAGATGCCCTCGGTAACGCTGCTCTTGCTCCGCTATGATATCCGCTATGATCTGCTTCCCAATCAATTTCTTGTAGCTTTTTCTTTGCTTCTAGTGGAATGGACTGGACTGTATGGGTGTGGGTGTGGCTGTGGATGTGTGTGTGTGGCTGGTATGTCTTTTGGAGTGTCGTAGAGTGTGGTTTGGCAGTTACTAATATCGCAATTAGGCATTTATGTGGGACGCCAGACATCGGGATCTTCCATGAGTGTGATATGCTGATCGCCGCCCATTTGCATTTGACCTCCCACCTGACCGCCGGCCATCTGTGTGGGCGATGTGGCGGCAGCGGCCATGTCCTCGCGCGAAGCTCTACATAGCGTATTGTGTATCGTAATTGTATTGGTTTTTTTTTGTTTTGTTTTTTTTTTAAATTTAAGCATTATCACATTGGTTAGCACATTGAAGGAATATAGAGAAAACATTGGTTTCGATTAGCAAAAATGCACTTGGCCAAGTTCTAACTAAGTTCCCGCTCTAACTTAGAAGCTAAACAGATCCAGCGGATCAATCGAATCCTGCAGATCCTGCAGATCCGATCCCCTCTGGATCCTTATACTCACTTCTTGCCTAACGCCATCATGGCATAAACGGCGCCGGTTGCAAAGATGAGGCCACTGCCGAATAAGCTGGCCAGACCGAAGCACATGAAGATTGGCGGAACGGCCAAGCTATATGGGGAGACACATACCATACCATACCATTAGACATATGTATGAACATTGTTCATGCATTTCATTTCATTTGATACTCACGCGCAGTATAGCCCGGCCCGGAAGTACATGGGCTTGGCATCCACCTTATCCGCAATGCCGTTCACCTGCTCGATGCACACAAAGCAGCAGGGCGCCTCCAGAACCATGACTATAAAGCCGGCTATCATCTGGATAATGCCCGCCACCAGGCAGGAGACACTGAGTGTGATAATTGAGAGCACATTCCAGAGCCCAAAAAGAATGGCAACTAAAACGACAGCAAACGTTAATGAAAGTAACAAACTAATACATGAACAGATAAATATAAATAATTAAAAGGCGTTCCCTAATTCTGCTCTAAATGAATTGCAGATATGACCACATTTTAATCTCAAACGCCCACTAAAAATATGGCCCCATTATCTTACCGAATCGCTTCACAAACGAAACCCATTTGGAAACGAAATCTAATCAACATCGCTGACTCATTCGTGTGCCAATTTTTCGCTTTTATTTATAATAATAATACACAAAAGTAACAACAACGAACCAGTCCAGCCACAGAAGCGTGACAATTTGCTGAAAATAGTGGGTCGAATTGTTAGAAGCGACTTCAGAGTCAGACTTCAGAGTACGGGCAGTTGTACATAGTATGTTCTGTTCCCATTTTGTTGCTTTAATCTCTAGTTCTAGTTCTAGTTATGATAGCGGAATAAGAGCTAAAAAAAATTACATTCAAATATTTTATCAGCTGGTTTTTTTTTTTGATAAAAATCTAAGTAAACAAGAGCCAAACAAACAGCTCTCTGTGTGATAAATGAATAGGAAAACATTGCGAAAGATCGTGTTTTCTTTTAAGTACAGCAGAGTGTAGTATAATTTTAATCAGAATTTCCTTGGGCTTCTTGAGCTTATCTAAAAAAAAAGGAATTGTGCTAGAATTTCATGATCTATGTACTATGTACTTGTATGCCTTTTCTCCCTTATTCTCTCTTTTCGCAGTTTCGTTTTACTTTGAAGCGTAATGTGATCTCAGCGCTGAGGTTATTGCGGTTCATATAGCTCGTCAAAACAGACTCAACGGAGTCGATGTGCTGTCCGAACCGGCATAAAAAACATTTATTAATTATAGACTTTTGGTTTTAATTTACAATAAAACCAAAAGCCAAACTGGTTTATGGGTGCAGAAGCCGCACGAGTGGAGTGGATATGCATACATATGCATGTATGTATGTATGTACATATTTCTCCTACAAATTTGTTGAGTGTGGCTGGCTCTTGTGTCCCGATAAAGTCCCCACAAATCGTTGAATGGAACTCATATCACAAAATCCCACTGCAGAGCCAGAAGAAATCATTGAGAAAAAATAAAAGTTCAATGTCATTGCAGAGAGGGAGAGGTTAAAGCATAGCGCGTAACAAAGAAAAAACGCAATCAGGCGTAATCAAGTGAAAGCAGAGAGCGAGAATACGGAAGAGAGAAGCTCTCGCTCCCGTCTCCGCCCCCGCTCTCGCTACCGCACTGCAGTGCACTGCACTGTAGTGTTGATAATAAAAACAGCATGCAAAATTACTGCTGAATGAGCAGAGAAAATTGCATTCTCTATAGTAAATGTACAATATCGGGAATAAAAATGGAAAAGGACGCAAGAATAACGAATTAAAGCGCCAAACTTGACACAGAAAAAGCTCCTTTGACCCTGTTTGTCTCTTTCTCACTCTTCCACAGCCCCATACCCTCATATGAATCTATACAAATTTCTGTATCCTTTTGTTGCGTTTCCTACTACTGCTTCTTCTGCTTCTTCATTTCACTGTTATGCTGCCTTGCTGTTGTTGCTTTCTTTCTTCCTTTATCAATGTCAGAGCGTGCGTATTGTGGGAGGCGATACACACACACACACACACCCACAACCACAGGGACACATAGAGAAGCAAACGTAATAGCAACAACAAAATGTACACAAAAATCGATGCCCAATATTTTTGGGGCACATAATCTTACATGAATTGGCTGTTCTACAGTTAAATTTAAGTGCTAGTTAAAACTTACAAAAGGCGGCCACAATGCCCAGCAATCGACTGCCATATTTGAGATACCAAGGCTGCTCCGGTCCGCCCACGGGATCCTGTTGATTTGGACGCGCCAACAGCCCCGTGATTTTTTCCGCAAATGACTATGCACATTAAAAAAAAACAAAACATACAATATACAATTAAGATAATTGGAAAAAATCGAAGCAGCACAATTTGTATTGTGACGCGGCGGCCGCTTCTTTACCACGCACACACGCGACCGACACACACACTCACACTCACGAAAACACAGGTGAGGCTCAATATTCATTTGCATTGCAAAGGAAAATTCTATTAACTCATGTGGCCACTATCATTTACATACCATGTTTTGTTTTGCAATAAATTTTACTTAAACTAGATGGAAAAGTATTTATTTTATGCACTTTTCACGTCACAGAGAGACAGAATTTGTTGTACTTTGCGTTCTGGGTAGAGCTGGCAAAGCATCGATATACCAAGTGCCTCGATTTTTCGCAACATCGATTTTTCGTGCAACCAAACCATCGATGATTTTTAGCCGAGTAGCGTATAAGTATAGATTCGACGAATATATTTTTTTATAAATTCGATTCTATCTTTAAAAGTAATCGAAAAATCGTTTTGTAGTCATCGATGTTGTTCCAGCTCGCTCTAGTTCTGGTGCGATGGATTCCATTTCCCGTAGGACGAACGGAAACTTTACAAATTGCGTTCAAATTGCAAAGATAACTCTATTGAGTTTAGAGAACGAGACTCTAACAGCCTTATTATAATTTGCTAACTGACTAACAGCAAAAATAGAGACAGATTTATGCGAAAAGAATGCACTGAGAGCGAAAAACATTTGTTCGTCAGCTTGGCTTTCCAGTTGCCCCCGGACAGAATTGATCGACTGTTACATTTGTCTGTGCAATTTAGCCGGTTGGCGGAATAGCGGATCGATAGCCGGAAGATGTGTCTGGAGACGGCTAAGAACACTAATTTTGCCTTTTGCCTCTCATGCTATCGCTCTCTTCTCAGCAAAGTTATATTATAAGGCAATAAGGCAATTAATCATAGTCCTTATCGATATTTTCAAAAATAATGTTCCAAAATGATCGATAGTGGTGATAGTTTACATCGATGCAGTCCGATAATTATTTCATCGATTATGTCGATTGTTTGTGCGTCGATTGTTCTGCAGTGTGATTTTCTCTAATTTCTGTAAAAGATTAATTTAAAAACCAAGTCATGGATGCGGGACGACCGTGCCTATTGTGCCAGGACAACCTGGCGGTTGGCATTAAGCTCGAAAATGAAGTGATCGAAAATTCAAAGGAACTACTGGAAAAGCTGGTCGTGTGGTACAACATTGATGTAAGCACCTACGCATTGCCATAAATACACACATACATATGTATCATCCCTGGAATTCTTTCATAGCCTTGCATTTTGGGGAAAAAGTCTTGCATATGTGAGCCTTGTTTAGGACATGTGCTCGACATGAGCGCAACACTCCGGCGTTGGACCGCAGCGCAATCAAAGACGGCCCCATCTGAAACCTTTGAAATTACGATTAAGGAGGAAAACCCCCTGGAAATAGATGGTTGGGAGAACATTGAATTGATGCCCGAACAGACTTTTCCTGTTTCCTCAGTATTGGAAGAAAAGAAGGAGCTTTTGGCAATCGTTTCAACAAAAGCTGCCACCGTAAAACCATCCACTGAAAACTTCGCCATTGCAGTACGGTACGATGGTCTTATATTGGCCAAATTTTACAGGAACAATACCACGGCGACCAAAATTATTTGCACCTGTTGTAACGTCGAGTTGAGTATCATTTCCCACATTCGAACGCACAGCTTAATGACTCGTGTAGATCCCCGCTACATTTGTCGGAGGTGTGACAAAACATTTAACAGTCCGAAAAAGTTAAAGGATCACGAGAAGACCCAGAAGCACAACACCATCTGGAGTCGTTCAAAGGGCTTTGACTTTCGTTGTGTGGAATGTGGCAAAGTCTTCGATCGCTACCATGGGGTCGTACAACACGCCTCTTTCATGCACATCTCCAATAGGTTTTACTGCACCTTTTCCAAGTGTTCGTATACCTTCGATAACAAGGCGGAATTGGACAAGCATTTGAAATCACACGAAGTGCCGGTATATCATGCCTCACCATTGTATGTGTGCCATTTGCCCGACTGTGGCCAGTCGTACTACCTGGAGACTCCCTACAACAAGCATATGAAGACCTTTCACGGAATGTACGTGTGCCCACATCCCGGTTGCGGCGAAGCTATCAGCCTTTCCAGCCAAGCTCAGCACGCTCAGCTTCACTCAAAAGACCAGAATGGGAAGAATCCTTCTAAGCAGGGTGAGTTTCTGACGATAGAGAATTCGTTTCAGCGGAAACGTAGATACTCATATTCTCCGCCCAATGACAATAATAGGGGCCACTTCATAAGCCTACCAAAGCAGCTAACATTAAAATAAAAATGTTCAATTGTAAGAAAATCATCATTATCCTAAATACGCTCATATGTACATATATATTTGTGAAATATATATTTATTCGGTTGAAAAAATAAAAGAGAAGTGATGTAATCATCGACATATCGGCGATGATTTAAAATCGAAAACATAGATGGTCCCCACTAAGAACCAAATGAACTAGTTCTCGTCAACTTTAAGTAGTTACTAAGTAGACGGATAATGCCCGCGATAAAATATAAATGAAGGTAGACACGGCTATCCACTTTTGCTTTCCAAATGTCTGAGGAAGAAGACGACAAATAAAAAAAGTGATAATTAAAACTTGATACATCAATTTATTGCCGGAATTTTGGGTGGGGAGGGGGGGCTGGGAAAATATTGGGAAATATATTATGCCACAAATAAGTTATTTGATTTGATAATCTTTACGTTACAATTGTTCTTGATTGGAGATTTAATTTTGTTTTACATTTTCTTGGTTTTGGTTTAAAGTCTACAAATTGGGTTTTTGATATCGTATGATTTATAAGGAAGTGCTGGCACCAGAATAGATTTGTAGCAAACGGATGGTTATCCTTCACGGGGATTTCTCTTACTAAGTTCCAGTTCACTCTGCCAATCTATTCAGGTCTGGAGTCTAGGACGCACCTTAAGTTCTCGTTTTGGACGTGTTGATAGTGGTTCTTTGTTCACTTTTTCGGATAAAATGGTCTAAAATGCATAACAATTTCAGTTTAGAGCGAGTCCTCGATTTTTTCTGTAGGCTTAATGGTGGCGCGTCCATCACCACTCGCATTAATTAACTTTTTCTTTATCCAGGGTCCCATTCATGATGGTTACATATTGCTATGGTATGGGTATGCTTGTTCAAAAAAATAAGTTAAAACGAACATCAACTATAGTATTGTTTTGGGATTTTGGAGCAGCACACACTTTTTGCACACTTAAAATTATAAAGATTATGTTGTTGCTTAAACAAACTTTCCGTTTGACTCGAATGAAATGTTTCAGTTTGCATTATATTTGATTTTTTTCACAACGAAATTGTACAACAATTAATTTGCTTTGCTTTCTCTCCTTTTTAGTTCATTTCCCAAGCTTTGTTAACAAAGTTCTTATTTTGTTTATAGTTTGATATTCATTGCTTGCTGAATCTTTGATGGTTTGGTTGTTTCTTTCTTGTATTTTTGTTTTTTTTTTTTTTTTTTTGTTTTGTTTGTTTTGTTTTTTGTCCCAGACAAATGTCCTACGTAATTAATTGTTTCTTGTATAGGAAAAAAGTAAAAAAAATATAAAATATCAATACTAAAAAAATTATTGCCAATTTCATAGAACATTTGTCGGGGGAAGGGTAGTGTGGAAACGCAGTTCCGTTTCAGAAATTAAAGTAAAATCATAGGATATTTCGTTTTTGTTTGTTTGTTTTTTGTACAATGTTATCCAAATCCAAATTAAAAGAATAATTGTTTAAAACAAATTTGAAGCTCAAAATGTAAACATAAAAAATACAAATTAATATGGCTTTTCAAAAAGCTTTAAAGGTCAAATTTTAGAAATTTCTAAGCAAATGCAAATTTTTTGGATTTTTTGGTTGAAGTTACAGAATTTATCAAGCGAATTATAAGCAAAAGGCCATCTTAAGGGGGAGTTTTTCTAGCTTTTTCTTGTTCTTGTTCTCGTTGTTTAGAGTGACGACCGCGTGTGGAGATGGAGACGACTCTGTTTAGTGGCTTAGTCTAAAGATATACGCTAATAGGCAACAGTTTCACACATTGGAGACTATGTATGCTTGGTGGAGAGAACGAACCGAACCGAACCGAATCGTTGGACAGGCTTCGGACATGCTTATGAATTATAGGAAACTTGGCTTTGTAGAAAACTTGAACGAAGTCTACGATACGTTATTATCAAAAGGCTTAACACACACATATTTCATGAAGGTATCTTTTCGTTTCGTTTCGCTTCTGATGTGTCTGCTGTTTCTCCTCCTCCTCCTCCTCCTATCACTTACGCACTAGTGGCTCACAAAAATATACATCATCCTCTTCTGATCCTTTACAAATCGTTTAAATACTTTTAAGCGTCCTTCTATATGTTTTAATCATTCAAATTTAAACTAATTTAAATTCGTTAAATGTTTGTCAATCATCAACATCCATTCACAGCATTGCATCCCCGGCGCAACATTACGCTTGGGCTGTTCTTATTTATTTTATTGGTGCTGTGCCTATTGCCTTGCCTGAAGATATGCCTCATAATTGCCCCGCATTGTGGGTCGCTCGAACGCTCAATCAATGGCCTCCCATTCTGTCTGTCTGTCTGTCTGTCCGTGTCTGTTTTTTCGCTGGTTTTAAGGGGCGCAATTTCGTTTGATTGTTTAAAAATGTCCTCTCTCTTCGTTCGCTTATAAAAGTTGTTTGTGGTTGGTTGCACGTAGTAGCTAGCCGTTTTGTTTTGTTAAGATCACAATTGTGCTAAGAAATACGATATCACAATTTAAATATTTACATTGTTATTATTTGTATTCTTTTCTACACATCTTTCTCTTAGGTGGGGGGTGGGGGAAGGGGGCGGGCAGTATAGCGGCCCAGAAATTCCAATTATTTCCCTTGCCCGCAAACACGATTTTCCCCATCAATTTCATCCATCAGGTGAGTCGTTAAAGGACTTCAATAAGAATACTTGCACAGCAACTGGGGCAAAACTTTCGGTGTGTGTGTGTGTGTGAGTGTTTTGGGGCGTATTAAAGCTACGCTTTAGTTAAGTTTAGTTTGTTGGTTTTGTCTAAAAATACGTTTAAACGCCGCACACGGCTCGAAGTAGGGGCTTTGTTCACGCACACAATAAACGTTTAGCTGTTTAGCTTCCACGGCAAGGACTCTTAACAATATTCATAATAATTAGTAATTGTGTATTGTATTGTACTTCAATCTCAATGTCGTCTCTTTTGTGTCCTTGTCCTTGTCCATGGAATAAACTAAGCGCTACGTTACGTGTGTGCTGAGCGGAAGACTCGAGTTTTTGGTATGAAAATCATTTCATTTTTCATGCCTGCTGTTCCCTATATAATGTTGAATATATATATGTTAGGTATATATATATATGTGGAAAAGTGTGATTTCTCCTGTGGGAGATCATTAAAGTTCTTGAAGCTTACACGATACATAGTCTCCAAAGCCTAGGACTAGACATGATTAGTTGTCTATTGAGTGTTGGTACGTTGTTTAAGATTTAGTTGTTGTTTTTTTATAACAAATGTGTACTTCTTAAATGCAATTGGCATGCTTTCTTTCTTTCTTCCTGGCAGGGTCTCTTCTCTTTAGCTGTCTCTCTCTCTCACTCTCTCTCCTGTCACAAAGCATCCAAAAATATATCTTATTCCCTGTAATCTGGCCTTTTGCTTGAAAATGCATTCAATCAGAATTTTTATAGAATAGAAGGAAGTAAATAGTGTGAAAATGTTTAGCAAAACACATTTTCTATCCAGTTTTTGGTGAATGTAAAATTCGTCCACGAATTAAAGTTGGGCGTAAAGTCCATCGGCCCTAAAGCAGGCGTGCCCACGCCTACCTGACTTTGATGCTGCTGTTGCTGCTGCAGCTGCTGCGACGGCTGCTGAGATTGGGCTCGCTTCAGAATCCTCAAATTAGTGCCCGAGGGCATGCGCTGCAGCTGATTGTGCTGCTGCTGCGATGGTCCTGTGGTTGGGGATCCCTCGAAGTTCAGCGAAACCGATGCTGGCCGTGGACGTGGCTGTCCCGCTGTTGGTGTCTTTTGCTGAGCTGCCGCCGCAGCCGATAGCATGGCTATCAAGTCCATGCCCGTTGTGGGTTGTTGCTGTTGTTGTCCCAGGCTCTTCTTGACCAGCAGCTGCGATTGTTGTTGCTGCTGCTGCTGCTGTTGCTGATGATGATTTCCTTGCTTCTCATTTTGCACAACCTTAGGGCGCAAGCCCTGCATTAGTTGCTGTTGCTGCTGCGCCTGGTGTTGCTTCTGCAACTTGGCTGCCCTCAGAAGCTGCTGTTTCTCCTTTCGTATCAAATCAAAGGAGCTGACCACCTATTAAATGGATGTTGCAAATGGATTAGACAGTTGAATAAAAGAGATTGCTAGTGGATTACTTTGTCATTGCCATGGGACACCTGCTGCTGTTGCTGCTGCTGCTGTGCATCATTTTGACTGTGGCTATGGAACAGTTGACGCTTCGATGATATAGCTGCTCCAGCACTTCCTCCTCCGGGAGTTGTGGCTGCCGGAGTGTGTGTTGCCGTTGATAGTGGCGTGGTTTGATTGCTGCCCGCAGCCCCATTTTGTTTATTGCGTTTGTTGCTATTGCATATGTTCATGGTGCCTGTGGTGTTGGCCGATGCACAAGCCACCGGCCCGGAGGAACCGGCACCCGGTTTTCCATTGAGATTATTTAATTTGACACCATCCAAATCCCCCATGGACTTGTGTCGCTGGCGTCGCGAGGCAGCAGCATCCTTCTTGCAGCTGCCACTCCCATTGGTTGGCGATGCTGCTTTGGGACTTTGCTGACCAGAGCATTTGCGTCGACGGGGTCCGATGCCAGCCTGACGCTCACTCACCCACTTCTTGAGGCGCTTAACAAAGGGTATAATCATAAAGAAGGAATTGGCATTCTTGCCCAGTTTGGCTTTCGATATGGCATCATTCTTGTTGACCGGCAAATCATTAATACGGAACCAGTCACAGCATTTGATCTCGTTGCGTGTGCGCGGAGCGAACTGCGTGTCCATCGGTATATTCCGCACGACATACAGCCGAGTATATTGATAGTTGATAAAAGCCTCAATATAATCATTGGCATCGATGATGTCGGTGATGTCGAACCCAGTTTCCTCGTAAACCTAAAAAGAAGAGAAATCAATTAAAATGCCATGTTTATTCCACACAAAAACTCACCTCTCTTGTTGCACAATGTGCTGGATCCTCGTTCTCATTGATTTTCCCCTTGGGAAAGCCCCACGAGTTGCGTGCGAAATAGGACTGCACTAGCAAGCAATGATTGTGATCTTCAGACACCAAAATGGCACCGTATGTGGGCACCGACATCTTGTAGTTCTTCCACTCTTGCAGTATTTGCTCCACAGTGCCAAAATGTTTGTTCAGGAAGGGAATGTGCTGTGTGTGGCAACATAAACGATTCGATTGGCATTAGATAGATATGTAATTGGAGGGAAGGGCAGGGAAGAGAAGGGAAGCAAACACTCACTTGGAACAATTGCATGGCAAACTGTTTGATCCCCACCGCTGGTAGCTTCCGCTGTACAATCGTGGGCACACCATCTTCATTCACTTCGGGGGCACAAAAGAAATCCAGATAGAACCAATGGGCCAACTCGATTTGAAAGCATATTCTTATTAGATTGTTTAGCTCCATGTCCGGTACATTGATTATAAATCTACTGGCCAGATCATCAAGTATATCGGACGGAATTTTCGATTTCTCTGGCAATTTAATGCTGGACGCCTTTACGGATGCTAAGCTTCCTATGGTTCCTGTCGCTGTTCCTGGGGCTCTCCTGCTGCTGCTAGTGCTGGTCCCGGCCACAAGTACATCTTCGGAGGAGGAGCTGCCATAGGAGGAGTTCGTTGATGTCGATGAGTGTGTGGATGATATGGATGAATCGAGGCGTTGCTTCTGCGCGCTGTTTTGTTGCTGCTGCTGCTGCTGTTGTTGCTGTTGCTGCTGTTGTTGCTGCTGCCGCTGTTGTTGTTGTTGTTGCTGCTGCTGCTGCTGGTGTTGCAGGTGTGCATGCTGATACTGCTGCTGATGCTGTTGCTGCTGGTTCTGTCTTTTCTTCTCGATGGTTATGGGGGGCGTGGGCTGTGTTTTGGTAAAAACTGCTCCATTTTTAAGCAACCTATTTAATACATCATCCTCAGCTTGAATTTCGTCGAGGTTTCGTCGTTGTTGTTCAGTTAGCCTGATGGCTGCCCCACTATTGCTGCTGCTGCTGCTGTTGTTGTTGTTGTTGTTGTTATTATTATTGTTGATATTCAGCACTTTCTGAAGCGTCAGCGAAGCGAGCAACGCCAGATTGTTGACTTGAAAACATAAGGGGAAAAAACCAAATTAAACCTCTAGAGATAAGCAAAGGGCAAACAAATACTGACAATATGATAGCCCCCAAGGAGTGCTGGTGGTATTTTTTGTATTCTAAAAATCTTTATAGAATTTTATTCAAGTTTCTTCAAACTTTATCTGCGGGGAACTCCCAGAATTTTCAGTGTTTGATCAGTCAATTTGTTGTTTGATTTTACTTTTGACCGCCAAAGTCTGAGAGCCCAAGCCGGAGCTTTCTGTGAACCAGAGTCAACTGTTAACAGCCAGGATAGGATAGGATAGGATAGGATAGGATAGGATAACCTATCGATCATCGGTCATCGGTCATCGATCAGGGGTGCCAGGGGTGGACAAGTAGCTATTAAATATGTACATAAGTACGACCTTTAAATTGTTTGTTGCCATGCTGTCTACCCCGTTCGTAAATATGTATGTACTTATGTCGCAAATGGCTACGGGAGCACCTTGGCAAATTGCTGACTAATCGGCTGGGCAATGATCTGCGCCAGCGTAAATTGCGCAACAGCATTAAAAACAAAAACAAAAAACTATTACTATTTGCATTGTTATTGTCGCTACACTCCGTTGGCCTCTAAAAGAATTGAAAGAAATATGGCTGTCTAGCTCGGTTCAGCGACCTCCTCCTCTAAAAGTGTTGCAACTCGCGGGCGACTGCGCTGCGCTGCGCTGCGCTACGATGCGCTGCACATGGACACATACAAGTACATAGATTGTACTACTCTGCATACATGCATGGAAAACTACTGGCGGACAGAGGGAGATAGAGAGTTGTAGCGAGAGAGGAGTTCACCCAGGGACAAGCAGAATTGTATAATCTGTGCAATGTTTGCTTTATTTTGATTATGACTTTGTTGTGAATCTATTTTGGGACATTTTCGCTTATCAGTCTTACCATTATCGTTTTCCTTGCTGCTACTGCTTCTGCTGGTTCGGCTCTCGCTCTCGTAGGCATATGTGGACGAGGCAGAGGCTGAGACGGCAGCGACGGCGGCAACGGCTGCGTTGCTAATCAATGGTGCGATTTCCATAATATTTCGATATCAAACTGATGCGCAGTGTTTGTTTATGTAATACACTTTTGTTGAATTTTTAGGGGGGCTGTCTTTTGCGCAAAATATTTCTTATTTGTTTGTTTGTTTGTTAATTCACATTTGCGTTTCTCCCCTTCTCAGTCTCTCTCTCAAACACGCTGTACGTGTGCAAATGTGTGTGTGTGTGTGTGTGTTTTTGTGTGGATGTGTATATAAGTGCGCTGCTTATGAGTTGGGTGTGTTTGTGTGTGTGGCTGAATATTTTCTGTGTAAGCGTTTTGTCACGTACTTTTACAACAGCTTTGTTTTTGTAGTAAATATGGCTGCCAAGTTTTGAAAATTTCTGCAGTCTTTTGCTTTTGTCGCACGAATTTCAATTTCCAATGCAATTTTGGTGTCCTGTTAACGATTCTTTTACATTCTTTCGCTATTGTTCTATCGTTTGGTGTTGCTGTTTGCTCAACATTTTCTGCATTTGTTATTTTTGTTGTGTTATTGTGGAGAGCCATCCACAAATATACGTTCGCTCCACTTCAGGCGAATGAAAAAACTCGTCGCACGCACACAGACACACTTTTGGTTTTTTCACGTACTTTCTACTTGGTGGTGTCGCACTAGTTTTCCTTATTCAATTCAGTTATTATTATATGCAATGCAATCCGCGACCTGTATTGATTTATTTACACCCTTGCACTTAAATGTAGTAACTATTTTGTAACTTTAAAAAAGGTTTTTTTACAACTTCTGGAAAATCGCTTCCTCGTCAGCGTCGCGTAGTGTGACCGCGGATTTATCAATAAAATAAACCCCTCTGCCTCTCAGAAATATACCGAAATACAATTCTCATTTTCAAAATATACCGTAAAACAAATTTTTTAATGTTTTTTTTAAATTATTATTTCCATATTTTTAATAATTTGTTTTCATTGTCTACTTTTTTATTGTTTAAGAATAAACTCGAAAACAGAAAACAATGAAAATAGTATAAATTGCTTATATATTAACGAACATATACATATACCTTGACTAGCGGGCTAGTTTAAAAAGTGATTCCTCACCACAGGGGACGATGTCACCTTACTAGTAAATTAAGTTAAGACAGGTGTATCTGTCATTTTTAAATAAATATGTATTTATTTAGAATTTAATTTAATTTATTTGGTGAAAATTGCTGTTGAATTTTTTGTTTAAACCTTATTTCAGACACAATCCAAAACAACGGGGTCCTTAAATGTAGAAATATAACTCATATAGCTAGCTAATAATATTAAGCCGAATATCTAGATCGGGGAAAATGATTTCCTGTCGACGTTGTCGACTATATACCCCACGAATATTATGAACCTTGACGAATTTTAGTTCAGCACTGGAGAAAGGCATTGTGGTGGTTTTTTTAAGTATAGAGATAGGATGGGTCTACAAAAAGAATTGACTCAAAGTGTTTTCCGCAACTCTAGATGATCACTTTTTTTTAAATAGAGGGGCGGCATTTACGTTACATATATTTGGAAAATGTGAAGGTATATTTCGGTATATTTTCTGACCCTCGATAAATCCGCGGTCACACTGATTACATAGCTACGGAGTTTCGATTTTTCCAGCCCAAATAATTTTTCTGTTTGCAAAAAAAATAAGCGCTTTTGTGCAACGAAAATTTTATAAATGTGGTTGCTTTAAGCAAGCAGCAAAATTGCATTTTCGAAATTTTCCGCCTGCAGCTGGCCCTGGACGTGCTTTGTATCCGTGGAGAACAGAGAAGCAAAGGTATTGGGACATCGACATCGCCATGTGTGTGTGTACATGAGTGGCTGTGCCTGCGCTTGTGTGTGTTTGTGTGTTACATTGTGTGTCAGTGTGTCTCACAAGGCTGGGTGAAAAACGCGCTGGAAAAACTAACATTGCTCCTAGTTCAAACAGATTTTCTCAATTCCTCAAATCCACAGATAGACGCCGTGTGGGGTTGGGTTGCTTCCGCCCCGCTGCGCTTAGCGGCGAACAGAATGGGCGACCTTCCGGGCTCCACGGGCGGAGGAAGTGGCCCAGCTGCAGCCGGAAATGCAAGTGGAAATTCTAGTTCTGCAGGCAACACAGGCCTTGGTGTGGCCGGCACCACGGGCGTGGACCGTCCACCATCTCCGGCCCGCCTCTCGCACACATCCGAGAAGCATCCAAAGGTGACGCTGACCGAGCTCAACATGCTGCGGCGCCATCGCGAGCTGTGCGACGTTGTGCTCAATGTCGGTGGGCGCAAAATCTTCGCCCATCGGGTTATACTATCCGCCTGTAGCTCTTACTTCTGTGCAATGTTCACGGGAGAGCTGGAGGAGTCACGCCAAACAGAGGTCACCATACGCGACATCGACGAGAACGCCATGGAACTGCTCATCGACTTTTGCTACACGGCCCACATCATTGTCGAGGAGTCCAACGTGCAGACTCTGCTGCCAGCCGCCTGCCTGCTTCAGCTGGTGGAGATCCAGGTTAGATCAAAGACTGCTTTGTGCGTTGTGTTTGTTTACATGGGGAGTGTTGTTATCTTTTATTTGCTAGGACATTTGCTGCGAGTTCCTCAAGCGCCAACTGGACCCGACCAACTGCCTGGGCATCCGAGCCTTTGCCGACACACACTCCTGCCGCGAGCTGCTTCGCATTGCCGACAAATTTACCCAGCACAACTTCCAGGAGGTGATGGAGAGCGAGGAGTTCTTGCTGCTGCCTGTTGGCCAGCTGGTGGACATTATCTGCAGCGACGAGCTTAACGTCCGCTCCGAGGAGCAGGTCTTCAATGCGGTCATGTCGTGGCTAAAGTACAATGTGGCCGAGAGGCGCCAGCATTTGGCCCAGGTGAGTTTTCGATGATATCTTTCAGCTCATCATAATGCCTCTGTGCTTCTCTCCACTAAAGGTACTCCAACACGTCCGTCTGCCTCTACTCTCTCCAAAGTTCCTGGTCGGCACTGTGGGCTCCGATCTCCTGGTCCGCAGCGACGAGGCTTGCCGGGATCTAGTGGATGAGGCCAAGAACTATCTGCTGCTGCCCCAGGAGCGCCCTCTGATGCAGGGTCCACGCACCCGACCCCGCAAGCCAACACGTCGCGGCGAGGTTCTGTTTGCCGTAGGAGGCTGGTGCTCCGGCGACGCAATTGCCTCAGTGGAGCGCTTCGATCCGCAGACCAACGACTGGAAAATGGTTGCACCCATGAGCAAGCGACGCTGCGGTGTAGGCGTGGCCGTCCTCAACGATCTACTCTATGCTGTGGGTGGCCACGACGGTCAGAGTTACCTGAACAGCATCGAGCGCTACGACCCGCAGACGAATCAATGGTCCTGTGATGTGGCACCCACCACCTCGTGCCGCACCAGTGTGGGCGTGGCGGTGTTAGACGGTTTCTTGTATGCTGTTGGTGGCCAGGACGGGGTCCAGTGCCTGAATCACGTGGAGCGCTACGATCCCAAGGAGAACAAGTGGTCCAAGGTGGCCCCGATGACCACACGACGTCTAGGCGTCGCGGTGGCCGTCTTGGGCGGTTTCCTCTATGCGATTGGTGGCTCGGATGGCCAATGTCCCTTGAATACAGTAGAGCGCTATGATCCTAGGTGAGTGCCTTAATACCTTCCTCCCCTGGATCTGTATCTGGACTAATGTCAAATGGCTATGTGTTTGCAGGCAAAACAAATGGGTGGCCGTCAGTCCCATGTCCACGCGTCGCAAGCACTTGGGCTGTGCGGTGTTCAACAACTATATCTATGCCGTTGGCGGGCGAGATGATTGTATGGAGCTCTCGTCCGCTGAGCGCTATAATCCACTGACCAACACCTGGAGCCCCATTGTGGCCATGACCTCGCGACGCAGCGGGGTGAGTGATGATAAAGGTCTCCGAACCTAAGCTACGATTTTTAACTTCCATTTGTGCTATGCGCGCGTGTGTGCTTTTGCAGGTCGGCCTGGCCGTGGTGAACGGACAACTGTACGCGGTGGGCGGCTTTGATGGCTCCGCCTATCTGAAGACCATCGAGGTGTACGATCCGGAGACGAATCAATGGCGTCTCTGTGGCTGCATGAACTACCGCCGCCTGGGCGGTGGCGTGGGCGTGATGCGTGCTCCTCAGACTGAAAACTATATGTGGTGCGAAAACAGTCTTAAGCAGCATAATAATCCCCCATCCTAATGAATTTCATAACTTGCTTGTTCGCTTCATTACTCATTCATCGATTGTTGTATTTTGTCTTCTTTTCCCCTGCTTCCTCACATGCTCGCTAACAACACATGCTAACAAATGCGGAAAACGCAGGATACGCAAGGATTCTGTTGTCTGATGGGAGAAGCATCCGCCGTCGTTGACGTTGCCCTCGCAAACGTTGCCGCCGCCGCATTTCTATTAGCAATTGAAGCCAAATTTAAACCCCCCTACCACCCTCACTCCCACCCATCCACTCCACTCCACTCCTCTCCACTCCAATCCACTCCACTCTACTCCCGAATCCGTTGCTTAGCAGATTGTCTCTGAATGTACTATGTGTTAATTGTTTATGTCGTAGAGCCTAAGCGTAAGCCCAAGCCCCTCCCCCAGAATAGTAGTATAAGAGATAGAAGCCCAACTAACTAATCCCTCACTCGTCACCATCACCCACCCCATCACTCCTGTACGTAATTGAATGATTGTAACTAATATTACACTAGTACTAGTACTCTAAGCAGCTATAACTGATGGACAACTCGAAATCGTAATACCTAGAAGATGTTGCTGGTTGAAATTTCATGGAAATTGCTAGCCCATGCCCCACGCCCCGCGCCCCATGCCTTCTTTCGGTAACAGAGTTAAAACAAAACACGAATCAAATACTAAACATTAAACAGAATTCAGTTAGCTATAAATTGAATATCAATGAGCTCTAAAGTCAAGTAACAAATTGGTATTAAAATAATTTACATAGTATTAAGCAAATTATTCAAAAAAGTTTGCCCCCTGGCCCTGTTTGTATTATTTATTATTATTTGATCAGTAGGACAGTTCTTTTTGAACATTATATTATGTGGTATTTTAAGTAGACAGAAAAGTTTAAATAAGATCAAATAAGCTTGTCTGTTGAGCTTAAGAATCCACGAAAAATACACGAAAAGTTGCAATGAACAAAGTCTAAAGTCTAAAGATAGCCCAAGAAACATTTCAATAGTAAAATTAACGAGTCCATTTAAAGTCTACGCCTAGTTGTAAGTCGAAAAATTGTAATATTGTTAATCGTAGATTGAATGCCGGTGAAGGTGACAGAAATACCCTTGGCTGGCAGTTTTACAAATGCAGCGCAGCAGATCGAGTTTTATTGTTAAACCAAGTTTGACGACCTGCAAAGACCTGCGCTGAAAGAACCAACTCGAAATTATTCGGTGGCCACGTTTTTTTGTTATTTGAACTTTTATTTATTTAAAATTGATTATTTATTTTACGCTTTTGCATCTCATTGTATGTATGTATTTACTTTATTTTATTATTGTGCACCTTTGTCATTAATTTATACTGTTGTTGAACCGAGAGCAAATCGTATGGAATTTTGCTTCCAGAAGAAGAATAAGAATAGCATTTACAAAACGAAAACGAACCTTATTTATATGGTAGGATTAAGAAACAGATAAACACCCACACACCACACAATACAAAACACACACCAAGCAAATATTAAACAATAGAAATTGATAGTTACATTAAATGGAATACAAATATAACGCAAAAATTAGCACAGTGTTCAAATTCAGTGAAAGTTCATCATCAATGAAACCTTACTAAGCGTAGGGGAATATAAAAATAAAATATACTATACTAAAGCAAGACGCTATTTCATTTCACTTTGAGAATTAGTTCAGAATTGAATTTTATTCAAATTCAAATTTGAACTCGATTATTTTCAGTGCTCGAAACAGGCGCCATCTGCCGACTTTGAAGCGAAGCTCTTGACTGAACTGAAATCGATAGACACCCAGCTGTTCATTCTGGCGCTTTATTTACTATTTCTAACTTGTACAAATATTTTGTAAGTCTTAGGCCCTAAAAATGTCCGCAGTGGCGGACAAAAAGAAAATCCTGACCAGCGTGGAGTACACAAGGATCTGTCAATTCGTTAATGGATTCCATGGACTAGCCATTGACTGCGAATTCGAATTGAGGAATCGGTACTTTACGGATGTGAACCCGCTGGCCCTGACGTGCATTGTGCAAACGGAGCTGTTCAACATGTCGCGCGGCCAGCACTGGCGGCACGACCATCGGGCAAAGAAGCTATTGAAGACGTAAGGGAATCAGAAGCCTTTAGTTAAAATATGGCTTACTCTATGACTTTCAATTATTTTCCAGATATGAGGAGCAAGCTCATCTGTATAACGACAATGCCCTGATTATACGCATGGCCTGTGCCGAGGGCGCCAATCCCGTGGCCATGTGCCGCGTCCTGCTGCAGGAGAAATATGACCTTAAGCAGAGGCCCCAGGTCTCCCGTCTGCTCAAGTATCCGCATTTGATCAGCGATCCCCAGCTGGCTGCCAATGTGCAGCAGTGTATGTACAGCGACAACCAAGAGGGTCCCATCACAGATCTTCGTCGGCGCATAATTGGCGAGGAATACGAACTGAAGCTGAAACAGCTGGCCAAGGAGGCCGGCATTCACTTCTACGATGAGCACGACCTGCGTCGCCTGGGCTACGACAAGACGCCCGACATCAAAATGATACTGCCATTCCTCTACAAGGGCACCGTGGTCAATTGGATCGAGAGCAAAGCCAATTTCGGCGATCCCAAGAGCCACAAGTGGAACATTAATCAACAGTTGCAGAGCTATTGCAATCGGTATGCGCTTTATCTTTTCTTTTGCTTGGTTGCTTGGTTCCTCCCCCCTCACGCCGCTTATTCTCTTTAGTTTCGGCCCTGGCATCATCATATACTGGTTCGGCTACCAGGAGGAGACTCCCACTCTGCCCGACAATAATATAGGCATCACCGTGCTTATGGACTTTCCAGCAAAAGAGGATTTGGTCTTCATGCAGCTAGCGGAGTGTCAATCAACAGCCAAAAAATCAATAGCCCCGAGCCCAACAACAGCAGATCCCCACTCTCTGTCTGCAGCCGGGGATCAATCGACGACGGCAATCGCGAAAGGAGCTCCGAACCCCTTGAGTGGGGGATAGTAGTGGGATATGCAGGGTAGAGAATAGTAGGGAATATGCCGTTTTTTATGTCTTCTAGTTTTTGTATCCATTGAGATTTGTGCGTCCGTCACGACATTGTCTGTTTTATAGGCAAACTTTCTTTCTTACAATTTCCCTTTATTAATTACATAACTAGTTGACAACACAATTTTCCAACATTTGGAAATATGTCTGTAGCTTCTAGTAGGAATCAAGTCAAGACGCGAATGCATTGCATTTAATTAAACATTGGCTGGTTAGGCCGACGCATGACAAATGCTGTACTACAGCACTGAAACTCATTTAGGTTTTTAACAATTTTTTCTTTTTATTCTGTATTCATAAATTCTCATTTACACACGATTTACTCAAATTGTTATAGTACAAAAACATTGGTTTCTCCTCTTTTCTGGCATTATTTGTTTTGTATAAAACTATAAAATATTGTAATTCTTGTTTCTGAACTTAATCCCAAAAGGTGGCAGAGCAGAGCAGAGTAATTATTGTTCTTAGAAAGAAGGAAAAAAATAGGTTAAACTAAAATAAAAACAAAATCATAAATTATGCTATGTGTTGGTTTTGTCTTGTATTGTATTGTATAATTTTGTAAGCCATTCTTTAAACAATTGTATACACATACTCGTGGCAATTCCAATTTCAATTCCAATTCCAATTCAAAAATCTAAACCAAAATCAAAATTTTAGCAGTATGTATACAAAAAATTCAGCTGCGTTTCTTGCATTGGCAATAAGTCGTCTCCCAAGAAGGTCTCCATTGGTTGGGCTGATTGTGGTTCTGGTTGATGTAAAGTTATTGTTGCTAAGATTTCGTACTGGTAGGCAACTCGTCGATTCAGTTTCCGTTGATATACATAGGTGTCGTTTCGCGTCGTCTCAGACATCCTTCAGCTCCTCGGGCATGTCGTTCTTGGGATGCTTGTTCTCAAAGTGTTGCTTGTACGTCTTGGGATCGGGCATTTGCGACTGCAATGGACGGACGCACACTGATTAGATTGTGTCCGTCAGTGACGGCATGGATGGCAACACTCACCTTGCAGACGGCGCACACATGGACGAGCGCCTTTTGGGCCGCCTTCTTTTGGTCGGTGGCGCTGTGGCCCTGTTGCTTCTTCATCTTGGCCTGCTTGTCGGCCGCCTTGGCCTGTGACTGGATCTTCTGGTGTCCGCGTGCCATTTTTTTCTACCAAATGATAATAAAAGTACACAAATATTCATTAATCAATTAATGCGCTGACTTGGCAACAACGCCAAGCATGCCATGACATGCTTTGTTTGTTGTTGCGCTTAGGCGGGATTTACAACAAAGGCGGTAAACGGCAGCTGCAGAAGCGCAGCATTGGTAACCCAACAGCTAGTACGTCTGAACTTTCTCTTTCTCCCCGAGCCAGCCACAACACACTCACTCAGCCACTGGGGTTCACAGGAAACGCGTTTTTCTATCTACATCTAATGATCGTAAATAAAATTCAACCGTGACACGAACACCGCCACCGCACTGACGCCGTTCCACCCCGTCGCTGTGGCAGACAAACGCTTCCATGCTTGGCAAAAAAAAAATGTGGCCACCGACCACGTTCTCTTTGGCGACATCTTCCTTACCTAATTGCTGTGTTTTGGGTTTAGTTCTTTTTTAGTTTAGAAATGTAATTGCGCAGACTTTGGTTTAAGGTTTTGTTAGTTTGACGAAACGTTTTCGCGTTTATTCTCAAAAATTTTTGACTGCAAAAATTTTAGTAATAATTTTTTGGAGATGGGAGCAGCACTGCTAACGTTTTGTTCATGATGATTGAACGAACTTAACCCACTTAACACCCCTCAATTTAAACAGGGGTGCAACTTGAGTTAAACCGCGGAAACTAATACTGCTTGTTAATTCTTTTTGTAGATTAATCCTTTATCTAAAAAAATTACTGAATCTCACCTGAAGTGCGCTAAAATTCTTAAAGTTTCATAATGTTCCTTGATTGTATACCCACTGGTCAACAATGGGTTAATCGTCCTCTGTCCATGATCAGAAATCATATCCTGGGGTAAGATATTTGGTTTTACATTATTAGCTAGCTAGGACCCTCAGCCCTGAATGCATAATTTTATCCGATTGACGAATTATTTTTCAACAAGATTGGCTAATTTTAAGTGCTCCTTTCTATTGGATTGTTTATAAAATAGGGTTTGAACAAACATGTCGTTGCAGCTAGTAGGGATGGAATGTTAATAAATATACATATCGATAAAAAAATATATTTATGAGTGATATTTTAGTGGAGGGGAAAAGCGAGCTGTAACTTTGGTGTTTGACGCTTGCAAATGCTCACAAATGATATCGCATACGAGTCAAATCCGAGACTTACTTCGACAAAACGTCTCATCCGCATATGATAAAAATATGATACATTTTCTGTATACATATACATATACATATGTACATATGTATGTATGTACATTGGGCTTGCGTTTATTTATAAAAGTTTAATTTTCAAAGGTCTCATCGTCTAAAACAATAAAATATAAAGTTTCAGCCTGATTCGACAACGTTTGGAGTTGGCGACTTGAGCTCAAAGTTCAAAAATACGATATTTGGCCAATGGTTCCTATGGCAGCTATACTATATATTGCTCTAAACGGATTACATTTTTTTTTTACATTAAAATATAATCCAGCCCACAAAATTTCAGCCCGATTGGTAAACATTTAATTACATTTTAATCTACATACACAATTTTTTTTTGCTTTTTCGCTCTCGTTCTTTGTGGGAGAGGAAGAACAGTTTTGACTCGCCAACGCATCTCTGCTGCTCACCGCTCACCACCTTCTTTGAGCCGCCCACGCTGCTGCAGTTCTTATCATAGCTCTCTTGGCGTGATCTGCCCCACACATACAAACACACAACGCCTTCGCTTGGCCACCTACTCTCACTCTCGTTCTTATTCGTTCTTATCTGCAATAGGAAGAGAAAATATGAGCATAACCGAAGCCGATTTCTCAGCAGAGCTTTTAGCCGCCCACGCTGCAGCTTTATCACAGCTTGCAATATCTCCCAGTCCTTCTTTCAAAGCGACCATTAAGCGGTCATTAAAATCACCTGAGATCGCGTTATCTTTGATCACCTCAGATGATCATCAAGGGAGGGCTAGGAATAAGGACTTTTGAGCGTAATACATGGCAGCAAAGCAAAAGTAACGGCGGGTGCAGGATGGTCATCAAGATGGCAAGTGGTGCCAGGCGGCAAGGAGAGCAAGGCGGCAGTCAGTGCAAGGCGATGTGTTCAAAAAGTGAGTGAAAGTGCGAGTAAGCAAAAATTAAAGTGTAGTGCAAGAATTATTTAAAGAGCTTCAAGTAGTTCGGCCACAAACTTTTGCTCTCGTTATACTGTTTTGGTTTTTTTTATTTTCTCTTACATTTTTCTTAGTATTTTATTTATATGGTCTCTAAAAAATATTTACAAAAGTATATAAAGGACCCACTCGGAAATCTCACACCACGGTAGATATCGCTCGAAGAAAACTGAACTTTGAACTGGAACTTTGAAATTAAATTTAAATTTTCCCATGCAAATATTGTATTCAAAAATGATAGTTGTAAAATAATATGGTTTTATTTGGTAGAAAACTTAACAAGATCCAACTAAATATGTATGTACATCCGTAAATGTATAATTAAACCAACATGCTTGCATTATTGTCGCAAAACTCATAAATATTATCAACAAATTGCATTTCGTTTGCTTTTTTAGCAACATGAGGCGTTTCTCCTTTCTTTTGTTGTTCTTCTTTCGATGCTGCCACGCCCACACCGCAGCAATTTTCGTCTGCCGTCTCCTCGAGAGTCATCCGCTTAAGGTTATTGATCAGGGATATGTCGTGTCTCATTTCGTTCTTCAGGTCGAGTAGCTCGTGCTCCGTTTTGATTATGTCCTCGGCATAGGCTTCGATGTTTTGCTGCAGCTGTCCCACGGAGACCTCCATTTCCGGCCGCCTATAGCGTTCGTTCTGAATCCTATACATCCGGCACTTCTCGGACAGTTGACGTGTCAGCGCGTACTCCCTTTCGTAGCGAACGTTCATGTCAGCGTGCAGGGATGCCAACTTATTTCGAACACTGTTGCGCAACGGTCGATCCTTGCGCCTGCGTATATAATTATAATTCACATTATTATTGCATTCGTTTGGAGGATTCGCTGCCGCGGCTGCTGTTTCTGTTGCTGTGGGAAGAGTCGGTCGTCGACGACGGCGCTGCTTGGCGACCCGATTTTCGGCGAGTTTATATAGCTTGCCCTTCGAATAGTTTCCCGTGGCACTGTACAATTGATCCGGCATGATGGCCAGAAGCAGCTCATCGGCCGCCGCTTGTCTTTTGCCTTTTTTGTTGAGCAGACATCTATCCTTTGTCTTGTTGGGCACTTTGGGAGGAGTATTTGTGGGCTTTGGCATATTCTTTTTGCTTTTGCTCAGATGCAGGAGTTTCTTTAGCCACTTGATCATCGAAAAGCTGCCACTTGGCGGAGCATGTGGCATCAACTGCAGCGTCATGGGATCCCTGAAGTTGTCTCGATGCTTGAGCGACAGGCGCAGCTGTAAAAGGAAGTGGGAAAAGGACGAGATTGTAGTGTACTGTATAATCTTTTTACTCCATTAGGAAACCATTAGGACTTAGTACCGTGCTAATGGGGGAGCTCGATCATAAAAAATTTACAACATAATTACCCCCCAAATATAAACATGAATCTTAATACAAAAATCAATAGCAAAAGCAAATTGATTTCGTTGGGTGCGTCATGGGGAAATACCGAAAGAAAAGGCTCAGAGCGCATAAGTCAAATACGAAGACAATCAAACAGACATATGTATGTACACATGTACATATGTATGCTCTGGGGTGGTGTGACCAAAGGGGAAGGGGGGAGTAGGAGGGGGTGGTCGGGGGCGACATGAATTTCACATTTCTTTCTGGCTTGCGTGTGGCGCCAGGACGACCGAGCGACCGAAGAGAGAAAAAACGCTTATTATGCAATCACTGTAGACTTTTTTGGGCTCAGTTTTTGCACGCCAGGTGGGCGCTTAGGCAGAATAGGGGGGAAGGGGTGGGGAGCTGCCTGCCTCTTATTACCTCATTGTGTACACGGCTCCAAGCGCGCCAAACGGGCAAAATGGCCATGTTGCCGTCGTAGCTTCGCTCTATGCCGCCCCAACTTTCCGTTATAATGTAATCGCTGTAGTCACGCGATGCTGCTGCCGTCGATGTCGCTGCCGCCGCCGCCGCCGCCGTCGCCGCCGTTTCCTTTGTAGTAGCTGTTGCCCTCTGGCCGCCATCTTGTATTTTTCAAAACGGAACCCAACGGAAAAAAAGAAACGTAAGAAAAGAGAAAGAACAAAAAAACAATACAATAATTGTAAATGAAAAAGGAACATACATAAATAAATAAAAAGGCAAATTGTGAAATAGAAATGAACGAAACCTGCAGTCACGTCACATCAGGATACTCTCTGCCCTCTGTCCCTATACTGCAACATTTTGCTTTTTCACAGCTGTCACAATGTGGATCCATCCCATACCCTACTGCATACATATATGTATATATATCATATAAATATTGATTTACCTTTGGCATCATCACTGCTGCAGTGTTGCCCAGTGCCAACAACGTTGCTCAGCTCGTCATCAATCAGGGCCTTGATTATGTCATTGCATGTGGTTTTGTTGGTAACACCCGATACGTATCGCGGCTCGCCATCGTCCATCCAAATGGGGATTTCCTTATGGCCTTGCTCCTGTTGTTTGGTAAAGCCCCAGAAAGAGAGGGAAAGAAGACAGGCGTTAATCATTTGTTGACCCAAACATCGGTATTGATTTTAATTACAGTCGAATTTTAGATGATGGATGGCATTATTTAGTGGTATCGGAATCTACTTTCGGAAAAAGACAGTACTGATCTTATTGATATGGAAATCTGTATCTTCGAAGAAGTTTTGTATCTTCTGTTTCCAAAGTGTAAAGATTCGAACATGAAAATGGTTGCACAACCAAAGAATTATAGCAATTTTCTAACTGAATGGCAAACACTATTTCCCCGGAAGACCTGTACCAGGTGCCGGTGCCGGTGCCGGTGACGGTGCTGGGCATGGGCACCCTGTCCATGCATATGACTAACCAACACTTACTACCAACTCCTCCCACCTGGCCCTGTGCCAGTGCCAGTGGTAGTGAGTGCAAGTGGTAGTGCCTGTGCCAGTGCCTGCCCACCCAATTAGATGATTTGTTTGATTTCAGTGGAAAAGCTGCCGCCACCGCCGAAATGCAGGGGAAACGCGTGAGGTGAGGTGAGTCGAGGCGAAGCGAGGAGAGAAGAGAAGTGGTTGGAGGCACTTACCACAGTGCTATTAACGCCATAGAGGGAAATGGAACGATGGCGTCGACTGGCCGGGCCACCGTTTCCGCTTCCCTTGCTGTGTTTATTTTTGCATGTTGGTGGTGCTAGTGGCAGTGCTGCGTCCACCAAACGTTCCTCGAATGCAACCTGCTTATTATGGTGCTGCTTATGGTTGTTGGTGCCTTGATTTTGACATCGCCTGGTGGGCAGTATGGGGCTTTCGGGGAGATTCAGTAGCGATGGACAGCTGTCCAGATTATCATCGATGAATGTCGAGTTCTGTTGCTGCGGTGCCATGTTTGTTCGCTCGTTGCCGTCCAGGTATTTCTTTTCAAAAAAAACGCTCTCTCGTTAATTGGCACTGCAAGGATACAAGTATACAAGGATACAGTGTAAGAGGTATGTACTATAATGGAGGGGATATATATATTTTACGTATATGATATTGTATCGTATGGTGTGGCAGTGTGGAAAACATGCAATATCCTTGTCAGACATTTTTGCTGTTGTTGTTGTCGTCGTTTGGCTCCTGTGTTCGCCTACGTCTAACGATCAATTTAGATTTGTTGCTGGCGATTAAATAAATTATGCACGAGCCTCTACCACTCTGTTGCCACATATGTGCCACATGTGTCTGTCTGCGTGTGTGTATCTATAGTTGCAGCACATCCCCCCCCAGCACCTAGACCCTGCCCACACTAAACCCAAACCCATCTAGATTCCTAGAAAATTGCCTACCAGCGCCAGTTGGCGCCGCTAGGCCATTATTCAGGACTGTACTGCCGGCATTTAGCCACATCACCCTCTACCCAAGTCGTACCGTACAGTACCGTACCGTACCGTACCGTACACCTTCTCCTATCCTGACGAGGCTCTCCCCGTAATTTGTTGGTGCTTTCGATTATAGTTCCAGGGCGTTGTTCGGGCCTTGCACTTTGTATGCAAATTTCAGCTGAAGCCGAAAAACATTTTTGCATTGCATTTGCGGTGACTTATGAATGAATGCTAATTTATGCCATGCCGCCGGAAAATGCAGGCAAGTAGACAGCCTATGTACTCCCAAATTATATACACATACACATGTATTGTCTGCGGAGAGTGGAAAATTGTAGGCCTCTAATTAAGTGGTACAGCAATAGCTTTGGAAATGTTTTAGAAAATATGTAGAATCGGATGGAATCGAATCATTAGTTTCTGATACAAATCCTTCACCATTCCGCATCTTCAAATATTCATTTGCTCTCTGGACTCTGGTGTCTGAGCCATGGCACATACCATGTACCCCTTTCTGGGCTGCTATTAGCCAAATGAATTATAAGTAAGGCAATTTGCAAAGGGATATTCTATTTTTACGAGTATTCGGATCCGTGAGTGTGCTGTGCTGCGCTGTGCTGTCTTTGATTACGCCGGACAGCGGACACCTGGGACACGTGGGACACCTAGGGGACACCTGGCCACACAACACATTCGCTTAAAAATGTAATTTCCAATCAAGATAAGTTCAAATGTATGTAAATTTCCCATTGGCGAGGCCAATTACTGTCTGTCCGGCCCCCCCACCCCCCACTCCCGGACGGATAGTGCACTCTTAATTGTTTCTGTGGAGGAGTGCCACTCCCCCAACCCAAACCCATTATACATTTATGACCAAGCTATTGGCCAAGTTTTCAAAATACCTTTGACCCCAGAAGTTCAATGTCTCTCAAGTTTCCCTCTTGCGGAATATTACATTTTCAAGAGCTTCACAATTCTGAACCCCCCTGCCAACCGAGCCTTAAATAATTGTTATACCATTCCCCAACCCCAGCCACCCAAGTTTTATACTTATATTCATTGCGTGTGAAGCAGAAATTAATTTGGTTTTCGGTATTGCGCATTGGTTTTCGAACCAGAAACTGAGCGAAAAATGACGTTAGTCGGTGGGCTGATGGGGCGTATGAGTAATATTGAGATTGCTGTGATTCGATAGCAAAGAAATTGATCAAGAAAAGAAAACATGCCACCTATTTGAAGGTTGAATCTCTGGTGAATAGGGCATTCATGGCACTTACATTTGGTTTGACTGAGTTCATAGAGATCTAATACTTTTGAGGATCTTACGAGAATGCAAGCCTTCATTTATTTATCTAAATATTCTATACACACAAATAATTTATATCTGTGTCTTTTAGAATTATGACTAAAGTTTGACATATTTGCTTCTTTTACCGATGTATTCTACATATATTTTTAACACTTACACTTAAACTTTGTACACACAGAAAAAACATTAAAAAAAATATTGATGTATCTGGTCGTGTATCGTCATGGCAGGTTAATTTCCTTGCGACCATTCAATTTGCTCCAGCAGCGATCAAACACAAAAAAAAAACAATAAAAACGTATATATGAACATACATATTTGTTAAGGCTGAAACTTTTCAGCTGCTGTTTCGAGCCGAACATTCGATTTTGGCACCCGCAGAACCACAGAATATATGAAAACCAACTGTGAATTCTCCCAGTGCCAAGAGCCAATGCCAGCAATAACGATCGCCGTAGTCGTTGTCTCAAACTAAGCTAAACTAAGCTAAACACTTTTCCTAAGCCTAAACGAAGACCATCATCTATGGGCTTACCTCTGGAGGATCTTTCGTTTCGAATGATGTGTCTGTGTTCCCTTTTGGCCACAGGATGGATGAATAATTTCTCTGCACTACTGGCTTGTGGCTACCAGTTCTCATGCTGCAGCCGCAAGGACATGTTAATCCTTTGAGCTTTGACACTTGACTGAAGTTCAAATTTGAATTTTGCGGCTATGTAAGGTGAGCCCAGGCTGGCGATGGCGACGTCGACGTCGAAGCCGCTAACAGTTAGCAGCTAGCAGCTAGCAGCCAGCGGCTAGCAGCGACTAGCAGCGCTGCCTCGTACATATATAGAGAACAAAATTGTTCTAGATCTAGACAGGTGCTAATGGTGCTGTCCTTGTCTGCAGCACTGGAAGCGCTTTGCTCGAATTCAAATTTTCCACACACACACACACAGACACAAAAAAGAGACGCACACACACACACACAGGGGTACGTACTGCAGGTCCTTGCTCGGTTGGTTGCCAGGGAGAAGAACGTTGCACAACAAATAACTGAACTGAACGGCGTATCCTTGACGACGGCATGTGACTAACTAAAATTTTATTTGCTACCACACCAAACTTTAAACCAAAAAAACGAAATAACCAACTCCAAGAAACGTCGAGCCACCACGCATACCAACATGATGGACACAAGCACACACCTGGCCAAGACAGAGAGGAAGTGAGAGTGAGGGAGAGGGAGAGAGAGGGAGAGAGAGAGAGAGAGCGAGCGAGGAACTAGAGGGTAGGTACCCTTGCCCCTGTGCTCCCCTGTGGTAGCAGGCCGATTGGTCTTGCTGCTGCTGCCGCTGCTGTCGTCATCATCATCATCCTCCTCCTGCCTGCCGGCCTGCCAGCCAGCCTGCCTGCCTGTCTTTGGCCAACCAGCAGGCAACGCAACCACCAAAAAAATGTATAAAAAATGCTGTACTACCAATTTCCACTAGCCCTAGCCCCGCGCTAGACCTTCTCTCGACCACTCCCTCGATTGTGGCTGCAGTTTCAGTTATTTCATAAGCGAACTATAGCGTGTGCTGCTCGACAATACATACGTATACGTATACGTACACAATACCAATGCCAATACGAATACCAACCCAACAACGCTACACCAACACCGCACCACACCACACCGCACCACACCACACCACACCACACCACACCAATGCCATGACGCGCACTTTGCGTTATTTGGTAAAACGAGATTGTTGATAAGGTGCCACCAGCAACAACAACCAACAGCTAGCTAACTATAAAAACCTCGCGGTACATAAAAAACGAATTTCTGCCTTGTTTTTTCGTCCTCCCTTTGGAGGACTCCGGCTCCTGGCTAACACACACAACACACAACCCACACCCGCCCCCCAGGAGCCGCCATACATTTGGCTTTTGTATTTTATTGTTAATGGTTAGCATTTGCTTTTCGATTCGATTTTGTTGTAGTGCTTTTTTGGTTGTACTTTTTATTCTCTTTTTCGGGTGGGCACAAATTTCACTTGGCTAAGGTTAGAGGAGAAAGAGAGAGAGACGAGAGAGGTGGGAGGTGGAAGGTGGAAAGTGGGAGAAACAGCCTACATAGGTTTATATAGTTCTGTACATGGAAGGAATCAAAGGAATAGTGCTAATGGCTTTCAGCTGAATGTATTCTTTGATTATACTACATGCATACTTATATGAGAATGTGAAAGGGTTTTATTTGATAGTCCATGTACATATATACTAACTACTAACTACACTTTGAAATTTATTGGATTCTAGAATGTATACATCTTCAGAATCTACATATGGGCATTTTCTTGGAAACGTCCACCTAGACTAAATAATTAAAAGCTAGTAATTCCATCAATTAATTTCATTCATTTGTATCTGAAAAGCTATTAAAATAAGTAAAAGATGACGTTATTTTTGGTATTTTTTTAAAATTTTTATAGTCATGTTTTCTTTTACTATTTTTTGTCCTAAATGAAAGATAATTCTTGATACAAGTTTTTCAACAAAGTCTATCAAAAAAGAATCCCAGAAAAATTGTTATACCCGATACTCAAAATGAGTATAGGGATATATTAGATTTGTGGTGAAAATGGATGTGTGTAACATCCGGACGGAATCGTTTCCGACCCCATAAAGTATATTCTTGATCAGCATCAATAGCCGAGTCGATTGAGTCCTGTCCGTCTGTCCGTTCCTATGAGCGTCTAGTGCTCAAAGACTATAAGAGCTAGAGCAACCAAATTTTGTATCCACACTCCTGTGATATTGAACCTTGACAAGTTTATTTCAAGATTTCGCCCCACCCTCTTCCGCTCCCACAAAGGATGAAAATCTGTGGCAACAACAGTATTGAAGATACGAGAAAATTAAAAGCGCACAATTATAGAGAATGACCATATTTATCAGATTGCCGAATCTCAGATCGGATTATTTTTATAGCCACAAGTGTCGCTACGCAGCACACGACGACACGTTCAAACTGATTTTGTGTCTCTCTCGCACTCTTTGTCGTGTCGTTCAATGTCTGCGCCGTCTGCCGGAGGAGAGCCATACTGGCTAAGTATTGGGTATAAATGTAGATGTTTAAAATTGTAACCATGTATCAGAAATTCGCATCAATATATTGCCTCAATTTTCGCTTAAATCTGAGTTCGAATTGATCGCCGCGAAAACAACTTAAATTCTTGTCCCGTGCGACTGCTCGGGAGCAGTCATCATTAGCATCAAATATAGGGCTTATCAAGAGGTTCTTTATAATGGAAAAGAAATTTTGAAAATCCGTCGTATTTTGACCTTTTTGCCACCTGCAATGTGTACGATTGTCCCGTTCGACATCATGGAAATGCCCATATATTCTTTTTCGGAAACGTTCTAGGTATCAGATTCCATATTCCATCAGATGTTTGACCTTTCAGGCAACTTTTTTGTGGCCCACTCCCATTTCGGATTCAATATTCAAACGTAGATTGATGGACTCTGACATTTGGATGGTAGGTTTATATTTAATGGTTAGGAATATATTTCTCTGTTAATATCCGTAGCACTTGTGTTTGCATTTGCTAGAATGGGCAATTCAATAATGTTCAGGCTCATTAGTAATCGATTGCATGTACTATACATTGATGGATCGATCCTTTGGGGAGAAGTGACTCCCCCTCCACCCAAGTTGGATGGCTGGCACCTGCTTATCTCTGTGTAATATGAGAAATTCCCATTCTTTGCCAGTCATTACAGGTGTGATTCGTAATGCTCCATGAATTGCATCTAGAAACGGTTTCATATACATATGTATACATATATATTAGATGTACAAAAAACCCCCCCACCCCCTCTCCGCGTTATAGCCAATCTACCAAAATGCGGGGGAAAAATCAACAATTAAAAACACGCAACTTGTCCATTTCTGTGGAAAAGCGTTGTGGGCCAAAAGCGAATGGCGATTATGTAAATGATTGATTTCGAGTCCGGAGCGGGTTAGGCTGTACTTTTTTTTCTGCTCCGACTAGGGGTGGCTAAGGCTAAGTCCTCTGTCCTGCGTCCTCCGTCTCTCGTTGCGGTTCAGCGCTTTCACGGTACGCGGTACGCGGCGCCGTCTCCCCCGTAATAAACAAACATAATGCTCGTAATATCCTTATAATGGCACCAGCGCTAGCACCAGCACTCTCCGGGGGGATTATTATTACTATGACGCGTCCTGCAAGTGTGGGAACTCTGACAAACAATTGCTGTTGGTTATTATTAATTTTTATTTGGATTTCTTTTCGGCCATCGCAGCAATTAATGCTCGCACATATGTGTGCATGGAGAAAGACTAATTGCCACGCCTCTGAAGGCTTCAAAGGCCCTAATTTGGCAAGTTCCTTGTCCCAGTCCAGTCTTTCCACACCTCCCATATACCCATACACCCACTATAATTCGATGTCCCTCCTGCATGCAACTCCTGGCGCCACGTCGCGAAGGGCCTGGGAGCTGGGGGACTGGGGCGTTGCATGTGTCGCGTACTCATATAGAACGAGTATATGGAAATTCCGTAATGACAGGGGCGTAAAACCCACGTGCCCACGTTCAGTTGTGGTCGAGTTCAGTGCTCAAGCAATGATTGAGTTTTATTGTTGATTGTTGAACCGAGATTACAGGTTGTCTCATACAGGGTGAGTGTTGAATGTGGCAAATGGGTGCTGTTTCATAAAAGACTTTAAAACACTTTGTGTAGCTAATCGATGAAATTTGTATTTCTATTACTTTAAATGACAGATCTTAAGTCTATTCTTCTGCCATTTGCATTGGCCCTTCGACCTTTACTTCCGTCATTTGTAGTTCATCGGCTCAAGGATCTATCACATGTTATAGGCGATAGACCATCAGCTGTTTTCGGACTGTGTTCCTTTGGTGCTCTCTGGGACTGAATGACCCTGACATAAATATTACCGAAGATCAATCCATATGTTTTCCCTTTTCCACCCGTCGGATAATTGTAACGTATTTTGTTCCCTCCCAAGAAATTGAGAGAATTGTTTTAATTCTCTCTGTTTAAGGGGGAGATTATTACCTTTTGGGCCACTTAGTCGTAAATAATTACAAGTGGCAAACGACAGAGGCAGAGGGCACTGCTGCATTCAGCCAGCCTAGCCTGTTGGCCAACTCAAAAGCAGGTAGAACTCGGCCAGACCCCTGGCTACAGCATTTTACCGCGTGCCATCATTGCCGGCTGCTGCTGCTGCTGCTGCTGCTCCCCCTGCTGCAGGTGCAGGAATCAACGAAGCGAGTCGCTGAACCACAGTCGGAGACAGAGACAGTTGTACTCGGATCGGGGCGGAAGGAAGCTGTTGCGCGGGTCAAAACACTTGTCCTCGTTGGCCAGTTCCGAGTTTGAGCCCAAGGCGGGAACCTGTTTCTGTGCATCGTAGGGCCAGCATGCTGTTCGAAACACCAGCTCTGCGAGAGCTCGTAGCCCCAGTCGCAGTCCCAGTTGCATTTGCAGTCCCAGTCATTCAGTTGTCATACAATGGGCAGGTTGCTTCTCATTTTAGGGGTTGTCTGTCTTAACGGCAACTGGCACTGGCACTGCCTCTGCGCATGCGCCTGTGACTCGTGTGCATTGACCTGAAAACAGAGCGCGCCTTTTTCGTTTCCTTTGCTGTCGATATAGGGGTATATCAGCGATAGAAAGGCCCACAGATGTTTAACTGTTGGGGGATACTTACTTGGACAAATTACAGGTACTATTGCTATCGTTTTCCGATCTGGTGTGCTGTTTTGTGATTTCATATCTAGGATTCCCAAGAAGTTTTACTAGTGGAAAGGTTTCGAGCTTCCGATCTCTGACTTACCCCTCCCATCCCTCAGTATTGTATTCAAATTAAAGACAATTTTGGCTCAAGTGTATTGAATAATTTTGTTGTTGTTTTTGTTCTGGTTTTTTCTGGTTGAGACGAGACGATCTTTATTAATGCGAAGCTGCTTTATTTCGGTTTCGGTTGCTTTTTCCATTATTTCTTTTCAAATATTCTGTCGTTTATAACTATCATATCATATCGTTTTGCATTTGGTTTATGTATGTTTCTGGTGTATTTACAGGATGTTCGTTTTGTCGATGCAATGTTAATAAATTTGTAGATCTTATTATGCCTATGCTCAAGGTTTGTGCATTATAAAAAAAGTTGCTATTATTATTATTATTAATTTATGTTTGCATGTTGCCCGTTGCCTGTTGCATTGCATGGTTTCATTTCGGTTTCGGTTTTTTTGTAATTGATCTTTAAGAAATCTACTTGTATGTGAAATAAATTTGAGAACTTAAACTGCTCTAATGCTCTCTACTCTTTGACAATTTCATCCTTTCATCCTTCCATTGTTTTTGTTTGTTTTGTTTTGTATATTTTCTTTTATAACAAATTCTGCCTATAAATAGCAAATATATTATTCATAATGAAAATTATTTTATTCGATAAAATTATTAAACTAGTGTATTCGTTTATGTTATTTATATTTACAGTATTTTCTTAGCATTACAAATTATAAAGCTTTTCGATATTGAGAATTTAAAAAGTGGTTTTGAGTTGAATCTGCTATTCTGCTATTCTGTTATTCTGGACTTCTGCTGAAATCTAGATTATAATTTGCTTACACAACTATTTTATTTTTTATTTGAATTTTCTGCTAGTTTTATTAATGCTTCTTGTTAGTGGTTAGTGGTAGATCTTCGCCATTTAGATGTATGTATGTATGGTATGTATGGTATGTATAACGTTTATCGTTTTACTGGTCTTTGGTTTAGCTTCTACTTCGTTTTTGTTCGTTTTTATCAGCAGTTTAGCTTGTGAGGAGTTTCGAACAGAAGACAATCCCGAACTGAAATCTCTTAATGGGGCGCACATATACATATACATATCCATATAGAAGGATCTTATGGGGCACTCTCGCTCTCTATTCATAATAACTCAAACAGTGTTTCGCTGGAAACCATCTAACCCTCTACATAAGTAATCAAAAAATTGTTCTAGTTCTTTTAAAGAAGGCACCTTTCCTTTCCTTTACTTTCCCCCAAAGCGGTGGCTACTGGTGTTCGGATTTGGTAGTCCAAAACGAATCGAATATACATACCTATTGTTTTTTTTTAGGGATCTATCTCAATCGTATTGTATTTGTACATTTCTTACATTGGCCACACATTCAGCAATTTCCCATTTCCATTCCCATACCCATTCCTATCGCATTCCTATCTGACTCAATACTTTTTGCAACAAAAATTGTTCTCTTTTTGGACGCCATGAATTGGAATTTATTATTTATATACCTTCTATTTTTGTTCTGTTCTATTTGTGGCTCTTATAAGCAGCTAAGCATACAAAAAAGGCTCCGAATTCTTCAGCATTTTTCCTTTTCCTTTTCATTTGCATTTTCATATCAACGGGTTTTCCCATATTTCAGTTGCGTTCTCATTTGTTCAGATTACGTTTTTGGTTTTTATAAATTGCAAAAAGATTGTCCTTGTCTTTGGGTTCTTCTTCTTCCTTTAATTTTAGCTTAGTTTCTTTATGTTTGGTTTTTTTTTCTTTTTTTATAAATGAGAGAAAATTGCGCAGAACTTGCAAAACGATGCAAAGAAAAGTTTCCAAAAAATCTACAAATCCCTAAAGTTATAAATTTATATATTTGCAAAAAGCATTTGGTGTATACGCATGTTGTTGTGTTATCTATAAGTAACATTGTTTAAACAATTGGTAACGGTGGCCCTCATTAACCTGCTCTCAATTAATTTCAATAAAATTTCGTATGCAAAGGTTTTCTTTTGTTTAGTTTTTAGTTTTTTAGTTTTTCGTTTGCTTTTTGTGTTTGTTTATCACAAGGTTTAAATTTGGTTTAGGTTCAAGTTTTAAGTTGTGCTTTTTAAGGTGTTTTTTTTGTTTTTTTTTTTGTTTGTTTCATACATTTTTGTTTAGTTCTTATTAGTTCTACAAAGACTTGCAGGGCATTGGTGTTTGTTTTGGTTTGACATACATTTTATCTAAAATACTTGGGTGTTTATTTTGTGAGTGATAGTTGGGTTGGCATATGCTTCATAGCTACTTATGGGAGCTTTATAGAGTTTTGTCTTCTTTGTCTTACATTTGATGTAAATATTTCTGTGTCTGTATGTGTGTGTGTGTATGTGTTTATGTGTTGCTTTGTTAAAGGTTTTCTTCTATTAGCTTTGATATGTATTTTAATAAAATTGTTTAGGCAATTCCTGTCGCTACTGAAAAATCGAATGCTTCGAATGATGCGAAAAATAATTCGAATCGAATCTACTCGACTCGAAACTCTGGCAAATTACAAAAGAAATTGTGTGTGGCCTACCCTAGGGTGTTTCGATGGCTTACATATTGTATGTGGGTTTTCGATCCCTTTTAAAGCATACTTTTGTGGGCTCTGTGGAAATGGTATGTATGTATGTATTTCACCTACAATTTAGTTAGTTAGGAAAGCTTTTTCTGTGGTCTACTTAGCGGCGGTATTCTTTTCTATAAATTTCATATGAGAGTAAAAGAGTTCTCGGGTTCATAGATCGAACATTTATTCAAAAAATAATCAAAATAAAAACAATTATAGTAATAACATAATATAACGAATAATCTCTGTGATGATTAACAATTTGGGGGTTTCCTTTTTTTGGGGGGGTTGCCCTTTGACAGATGCGGAAGCATTTCAACAAATCAAAATGTAATTTTCCCTTGATAATAAATATCTGACTAGAATTGTAAATATATGTATGCATGTATGTCTATATGTATGTATGTATGTAGGTATATAAATATGTATGTATGTAGGTCTGTACGTTTCGGACTACTCGAGTAGGTAAAGCCTTAAAGCTGTTTTTTTTGGTTGGTATTTCCGTGTTAAGTTTCATAATTTCAAAGTTTTTTATTTAGGCTAGGTCTTTTATCCTTTTCGGTTTTTTTTTCTTCTTGTTTTTTGGTACTTTCAGCATGAATTTCTTTGCTTAATAAATTGTTTAAATATTTATATTACAATTTCTAGACAGTGTTCTTGGTTTGTTTCAATTTGAACTAATGCATTTTCGAGCATATGCAAAAATTTGCCATTTAATTTAAAGTTTTGTTTACTTGTTTTGTTGTGTTTTTTATTTAATTTTTGTTTCTACTATTTAGAAAAAAAAACAGGCAGTCGAAATTGTTTCTTTCGTATGTTTTGCTCATTTGCTTTGCGTAAATGTAACTCTCTTTCGTTTATTATATATTTAATTTAATTATCAACAACTTATTCATTCAACTTTGTTTCCCTTTTTTTCTTTCTTTTCCTATTCATTTTCGTTTTCGTTTTTCCCCCACTAACAACTCAGTTTAAACTAATTCTCCTCATTTTGACGTATTTATCACTTGGTTTTGTCATGTGTTGCTGTTGCTGTTGCTCTGTTGCTTTGTTGCCATTTAAAGAATAATTAATTGGTAATTAGATGTACTTTGTGTTTCACTTTTTGTTATACATATTAAAATTAAATGACTTTGCAAGGCCCTAGAACTTAGTAAACGATTACTCCTGAACTCCCAAACGTACTCGTGGCACGAACGAATAACGATTACGTCTCCGGACCTATGTATTCCCGTAGCTCTGCAATTTAGCGTGTCGTGTTCCAGCATATCTATGTATGTACTCGTACTCGTACTTTTTAGTGTATGCTGTATGCATTATCATTAGGCAGCTTATTTTGCTTTGCTTAATTTTACGAGAATCCTTTGTAGTGTACAAAGAAGAATACCAGGAAAATGGCATAAGCAGTTGGAAATGTAATTCTAGCGATGACATCGATTGTCTTGGCCACTCGTATCGGATGCGGTGGCTCCTTTTTGCGCACCTGGACGAAGCATGTCTGCAAAACGGAAAAAATGAAACAGGTTTAGTATCCCTCTATGGGGGGGTGGACCATCTCTCACCTCTGTGGCACATCCATTGTTTGCAGAATGGGTGCACGGACTGTTGCTGCCGCCGCAGGTGGTGCAGGCCACAATCTCATTCGGAGCGCCAGCATCTCGCCTCTTCTCGCCCTGATAAACGGCGGTAAATTTAAAAAACTTATTCGTTAATTTTGATTGACCCATGTGGAGTGTGTGTGATCGATCGATTGATTGATTGATTGGCAAACGAGTTTACATGACAAGTTTACAGTTTAAATTACAATAAAATTACAAAAAGGAGTTATTTACACACACACACACACGCACATCAATACACATACGAAAAACAAACGGAAAATTTGTTGGAAAATTGGTTGAAATGTTGCAGTTGCAGGTTACAGGGTTACAGGGTTTTATTGGCGGTTGTTTGCATTTCGTTTTGCAAAAACCCAGCAAAAAGCATATATAGTTATATTTATTTATTATACGTATAAAGTATATGAAAAAAGTAGAAAAGAATATTTTTCTTTATTAAAGTTCGTTAAAATATGTGGCACAAAAGTTTAATTCGAAATTTAACAAACAAAAAGTTCTACAAAAAAATTGATTACAAAAGCGCTTGAGAGACATAGAGCGACTCTTTTTTGTTATTTTTTAACTACGAAATTAATTTGGAAAAAATATTCATAAGCCGTCTTTCGGTCAATACTTACGGGCTGTTGTTGTTTTGTTTTGTTTTTTTTTTATTAATATTTGCGTTCGATTTTTGTGTCAGTGGCAGCATTTGAAAAAGCAAAAAAGAGCAGATTCGCTTTTAGTTTATTGAACTGGACCCCACGCAGACATTTGATTAAATTTATTGAATTTATATAGGTTTATTTTTGAAAACAATTCTAATAGTTTCTTTTTTTCTGAACGCAAAATTGTTGAATCTTTTGTTATTTGTTGAAGCTTTAGCAATTTTTGTATAGAATTTCGTATTTCGATTGACATGAGAATGGCATGAGAATTTTGCTGTGTTTTTCTTTTATTTTTTGTTAGTTTCTAGTAGGATGAAATTATAATTGGAGCAAATGAGATGAGAATCGAAATTTCAGTCAAAAAAATACTTTAATTATGATTGTGGGAGTAGTTTCTGTATTAAATGGTTAATTGTGTTAACTGATTGTTCTGTGTGATGCGGAATGTTTTTTCTTGGGAAATGATTGGTTATGGAGTACATACAAGGTTTGAGGTTTAAGGTTTAAGGTTAAAGGCTATTGCTCGATAGTTCTTTGTGCTTTCTTTCTATTGTGTGGGTGTGGGTGAGGGTTAAAGCGTGCTTAACATCTAAGAGGGGGTGGGTAGTGGATAGATACCAAGCTAATGTGTTCTGTTCGAGTGAGTAACACAACAAAGCCTTTAGATCTCGGTAGGAGCTTACTATATACAGCACATCGAAGCAAGGATAGCATGAATAATTTTTAAATAGTATTTAAACCTTATCTTACAGTGGAGTGGAGTTTATGCCGACCTTCCATTCAACAAAAGAACAACAAAAATATACCCAAAAAAATTCTTTACACAAAAATATTTGAATGTTATTTCAATTTCATATAAGTATTCCGTGCTGCCGTGTTTTTTTCCGTTTCTGGTTGGTGAAAAGTTTTTGGGAAATTTGCAAGTTGCATAAAAACGTCTTATTACTGCACAGGCACAGTGTTGGCGAGAGTTGTGCGCATAATTAACATCAAAAAATCGTGGACATTATAAATAGTCCTTTCGGTCGTAGGTTGCAGGACGAGAAATTAACTGCGTCCGCTTGAAAGTGCGAGTATGCTGCAATTTATTGCACCTAAGAGGAGCACGTCCCGAGTTGCATTTGAGACACACCAACGAGAGAATGAGACTGAGAATGGGCGGGATTTGGCCCAGAGGCCGAGAGAGGGAGACAGAGAGATTGTGATGGAGATTGGTGTGGACCTGGGGTCTTTGTTTGCTGGCTACTGACTACTGGCAACGTCATTTGCCGAGTGCACAGTGGGGAGGGCGAGGTCCGTTGGGAGTCAGGAAGCTGTTACTTAGGTAAGATGTATTATGCGGGTGTGTTTAAGCAGCCGGGCAGCCGGGCAGCCGGGCAGCCGGATAGAGTGGCTGACCCAAATACAACACGGTACCTGTGCCAGAAGTTACTTCTCTTCTCTTCTCAGATTTCTACAACAAAAAAAGGAATGCATTGCATTTCCCGTAACAAATCGTGGAAATGGAATCTTTCGGGAGAGCGGATCTAGCCCAAATATAATTGGGTTTCAGAAGTAATACTTACATATGTATTATATGTATGTAAGTGGCCCCTCAGCTGCTTTCTGGCGAAAACCAAAAAAGCTTATTCTGAAAATTCGGAACTCTTGAAAAATGTATGCCTCGAAGAGGCTACGTACTCTGGGCATTTACATACTCGTACTCGTACTCCCCTCAGAATTTTATAGAGAACTTTTGCAGCATTTCCATACGAATCCCAAGAGGGAGAATGGGGGAAATGCGAAGTGCGGGATGCTCGAAACTTTTCTGTTTAAAGTCCTTGTGCATCCTTTCCAAGAATTTTTCGACAATTATGATGCATGCAGAAGCACGCCCCTGCCCCCGTCTCGTTCTGCCCCACAATCTTGGCGTCCATTTGTTTGTGTTTCATTTTCGTGTCGTTGGTTTTCCGTTGCTCTCGGGCTCATTACGGTATTTTCCACTCTGGCTCTCTCATGAATAATTATGTTGTCCTGTTGCGGCCCCAGTCATCCCGTCATCCCGACATCCCGGGCTGCGGCTCTGCCAGTGTCCTGCTCGCTGCTGTAGGGTCCACCTGGCCAGGCGCCAATTTAAACGCGTGCCCCATTTTTAATTTACATGTTAATGGTGGAAAACATTTTCCCAGCCACCTTGTTGTTGATTGTCCCTCTGCTGCTCCCGCGGTCCCTGTGGCTCCTGCACCTGTTCCGGCTCCTGCTCCTGCTCCGGCACCTTCTATTGGGTGGTGTTCCGTTGCCGCTTCTGCTGCTGTCGGAAGTCGTCGTCAGCGTGCCAGAATTTTCCCCATAAAATACGAATAAGTAGTTTTGCTGGAAAACGGTCTCTCTCTCGCTCTCTCTGTCTCTCACAGCATGGCCACTTGAGTCGGTTTTATTTGCTTTACGTTATATAGGGGCTCCGGCTCTTGCTCTGGCTCTGGCTCTGACTCTGTTCTGCATTCTTATCAAGATGATGATGATGGGTGGGCTGGGACTGGCGCTGGTGCCGGCCCACTGTTTGCCCCCGGCCGGCCGCCTCTTGTGATTGGTTTGATTTGGCTGAACTCTCTCCAGCGGAAGTTTAATGATTTATGCGATTGCAATTGTTGGCGGAGGGGAATCTTGATAGGAGATGATTTGTGTGAGGATAGCCGATTGAGGAATATCTTCAGAATAAATTGAGGCATTCTCCAGCATACATTTAAGGTGTTAAATGACATTCTATTCGATTCCCTAATTGCTCCAGCCACTGTTTCCCGTGTCCTCTCATGTCTAATGCAGTTAGACATCAGTTGCTGTCGCTTAAATTTTGCGGAAAAACTTTGAGTCGGCACTTGGGTGTGTGTTTTGGGGTTCTTTGAGTGCATTTGTGTGTATTTTGGCAAAATGGCAATCAAAATAACCGCAGGCAATCGAATTCAAAGAGGGTGGGGGCTGCACAATGGAGCCAGGGATCCAGGGAGCCAGGCAGCGATAACTTTCTGCTGACTTTTTCTTTGGTCTTTTGTTGTTAGTTCTTTTCCCTTTTTACACTGTTATGGTTAGTTATTTGTTGGTTGTACAACGACAAGAACGACAGGCACAAACGGGTTACGTTTTGGGGTTTTTCTGGTTAGTCTCGGGTGGGTGCAGAGTTTTCCGCTCTCCGTCAGAGCTCTCCGTTCTCATGTACTCACAGTTTCCATCATGCCACCGCACTCGCCATAAACCGAGGCTGGGGAACTGGAGCGGGATGGCTTCTTTCGTGGTGGCTTCTGCGGCAACTGCAACATTTCCATGTCCTGCTCCTGCCCCTGCCCCTGCTGCTGCTGCTCCGCCTCAGTCTCCGCCTCGATGCGCACCACCAGAGCCGGGGTGCTGGTGGCCACCGACCGACGCAGCGAGGACGTGGTGCTCTCCTGCTCCTCCTTCTGATCCTCCTGCTGCTCATCCTTGAACTTGACCTTAGTAGAGCCAGCTGTGCCACTGGCTCCACCAGGCTCCTCATAGATGTGCTCGATGGTCACTCCACCCCCACCAGTGGCGGCCGTTGGCGACGTGGATGTGGATGGACTCCTAGCCGCCTTCCGCTTGATGGATCGAGCACGTATGTTTTGCACTGCCGCCCCAATGATGCCGCCATGCGCCTCCTGCCAGCGCATGCCGCCGCCGAAGAACTCCTCCACAGCCTCCACAGTGCGCGGCGTGCCGGGCGTGGCCGCCGACGAGGAGCCGGCAGCCGGGGTGCCCGCCATCGACATGCCCGGTGTGGCTGCGGCGCTGGCCTTTTCGGAGGACAAAGCAGCATGAAATTCTCGATCGATTATATCCTATATTGGGGCAGGCAGGCGGGTTGTGGTTCAGTGGGACGGTTGGTGTTGGGGTTGGTATAAAGTGAGAGTATTGTATTCTTTATTGTGGATGTTTTGTGGTTTATCGAGAAGATATGGTTCGGAGAGAGAGATCTTAGTCGGAGAAAATTGAAGGCCACACAGCGGCATTTGAGTTAATCGCACGATTCAAGGCAGTATTTTGGGGTTTCTTTAGGATATTTCGGGGTTCGGTTAGTAAAATCGTATCCAATTCTTGTAATGCAGTCCCACAGACAGACACTTGTCCCACGCACACTACATTTTGTTGCTCAAACTGATATTCGTGCTAAAAGTGGTTGATACAGATGCCATGTGTACATATGGGTATGTATTTTAGTATGTATATTTAGAGAACACAACGGAATACAGAGAATGCACCACACAAATGCTGTAGCAAAATGCACTAAAAACTATACGCCTAAACAAAAAGCTTTCAAGCATACGTACATATACATACACGGAACAGAACACAGACAGCACATAAAAAATATTTGCACTTCAGCTACAATTTGGTAATAGCATAAATAATATTGGCCAACACTTCCGGCAATGGCACTGGCACTGGCACAGGCACAGGCACTGGCACAGGCACTGGCACTGGCACTTGCAGTACTCGTAGTAGTACGTATTTTTTTTTTGTTTTTTTTGGAGCAAGGCAAGGGCGTGTCATAAAATGAATAAAAAGGGAACTTAATTTAAATTTATTATTTGATTTCTTTTTGTGGCAAAGTTCATGTACTAAAATTAAAAATGAAATCAAGGGCGAATAACAAAATTGATTCATAGCCGAATATATATAGTATATATTTCTGTTTAGTATATTTTTTTCGCAAAATACTTGTTTTTTTTCGCTTTTTTCTGTCAGAGTTTGCTCTCGTAACATTTTTCCCAATTGTAAGTGACCTTAAAGTGTGTTTTTAACATATAGAATAGATCTTTATATGGAGTTTAGTATGTTATATGTTGCTGTTGCTGTTGTTGTTGTTGTTGTTGTTACTGCTGTTGTTGTTGGTTGGTTGATTGGTTGTTTGGTTGTTTGGTTCTTGTGGCTGTCATTTGTGTGTGTGTCTGGATATTCTTCAATAATAATAATCATACGAAGCATATCGGTATGCATTGACTTTGCTGTCGGGTGTTTAAGTACTTTAAGTACATTACGATTCGGTTATGGTTAAATGAAATCAAGATCTATATATGTAGGTATAGGTAAATAAACACTGGAAATAATTAATGTATTAAGTATGAAATTATATACATTGAAAGCGAGTGCGAGTCTACTAGTAAATTATTTAAGTTTTAATCATAGTTATTGTTAATTTTATTTGGTCTCCCATTTGGCTTCCCAAATCAAATAATGAACCAAAGCAATGTTTCTTTCTGGAAACTAAAAAACCAAAAACCAAAATCCCAAAACCAAAATCGAAGTCGAAATTGAAACAAAACTTTCTCAATGCATTTTCATCAAAGCGAAATTCGCATGCCATTTGTTTTTCATAAGTTTTTCTTGGGTTTACTTTTCGCCGACTGGAGAGGAAAAGTACAGGACTTGGGGGCTGGAGTTTTACAGGGTATTCGGTATTCGGTTGTGTGTGTTGTGTGTTTCTGTTGTTGCTGTTTGCTGCTGTTTGCTGCTTTGATTTGATTGTTAGTTTTTAAGGGGGTTTTTGTTCAGTTTTTGTTTGGTTCTTGTTTGGTTTGGTTTCTTAGAGGGATCGGATCTGGGGGGCGGAGGAGTGGGCGGAGTGGGTGCATGAGTTGTGGTTGATAGCTTACCAAAGGACTTGCAAGAATTACTCCGATCCTGCTTAGTACTGCTGGAAGACGCTGCAAAAATGTACACAAAATAATGTTCATACTCAAAACACACTTTAAGTTTGGTTTGATTGTCATTTTTTTGTTTGGGTTTTAGTTTTCTTTTCTTATTTTTTCTTATCTTTTCGGTTTTTTTCTTTCTTTTTTTCTGAACTGTTCATTTCACACTTAACGGCTATTTTGAGAAGAAATTAAATTTTCTGGTGGTTTTAGCTTCGAATATTCGCATATCACAAAAATTGGGAACAATGTTTTCGTTTTGGCTTACGTCTTTCGGTTCTCTTTTTTTGTTGAGAGAGGATTTTTTTATTTTTATTTATAAATTTTTGTTTATGAATGAATTATGGGTTTGCAATTGGAACTGCTTGAGTGGCGTATAACTAGAACGATGGTTGCTCTGATTGTTCCGATTTTGAGGTAAATCGTAAATCGATTGAGGTAAATTTCAATCAATATCTCTTGGGAATAGGCCACATTTCCATAACAAAACTCCAATTGGGTGTCGAAAACTTTTGAAACACATCAAACGAAAATAAAATGCTTAACGTGCATTAGTAAATGTTTTATTCTTAGATTGAAAAAGTGCCTACACAAAAACAAAATGCATATTTTATATAATTCACTTTTTAGTGGAAACCTTTTCTTTTGTTGTTTCCGTTGGTTGTTGTTGTTATTGTTGTTGTTGGTGGGTGTTAAATAAAGAATAAATATACATAAATGAACATACATACATACATACCTACCTACTGGCATGTAAAACGCTTCAATTAATTTCTAATTATTATTCATATTCATATTATCTTTTGATTTAGTTTAAATATTTGCAAAACTAATTGGAGATGAATAAAACGCATTGTTGGTCGCACGAAACAATTGTATTATACAACATTTATAAAGAAAGATACAAAAGAAATGATCAAAACAGAACCGAACCGAACCGAAAACTAATGGGTTTCAAAATGAATGCAAGAGAAACGTTGAACACGTCAATGGGGTTTTGTCGGACCTCGAACTGAAGTTGGCCAGTTCCTTGTTGGGTTAATAAAAATGCAAAAAAATAATAAAACCGATCATCAGCACAATAAATACACATACATTGACAGTTCCCTTCAAAAAGGACACAGGGAAACAAAACAAAAATCAATCAAATGTGTGTGTGTGAACCGAAAAATCAAATCGCAAGATTCATTTCAAGTCGCTGCTGGGCTTAACTGATTTTTCTGGGTTTTTTGGTTTTTATTTGGATTTTTTTTTAATATTATGACACACAAATTTACGTTTATTATAGTTGAAAAAAAAGTTCATATACAAAATGCTAAATTGGGATAGTCGGGATATGAACACAAAGTGAGTTATTATAGCGAGCATTTTGTTGTTGTTGTTGTTGTTATTGTAGTTGTTGGTTGGTTGGGGGATATCAATGCTGGTATGGATTATAGATAGAGTAGTTCTAGTAACTAAAAACCATATATACTTAATCGAAATCAGAAGGGACAAGTACAGTACAGAGAAAAGGGAACGTAAGATAGACATTGATGGAAAAAATAGACAGACAGAGATACAGAGATAGAGAGATACAGAGATAGAGAGAAAGGGAGGTGGGACTCAACACAATGTGACAGTAATCGAATTGATATTGGTATTGACTGAAGTTTCATATATATACATGTATATGTATATATGTATATTTGGTTGTTTCTGGTACGAGTATGACTTTTGGGATCAGGTGTTTCTTGCTTCTTAAACAAAGAGAGAACAAATAACTGGTTTAACTTATACAAATGTTTGTTTTTTGTTGTTGTTGTTGCTTTTGTTGTTGGGGGGTGTTCATTGTGTGTTCTGCTTGTTGTTGGTAGCTTGTTTTTTTATGTTGGTTTGTTTCAATGTTATTTTTGTTGTTGTTTGTTTTTATATTGTTGGCTTTTTGTACGCTACGCTCATGTAAAATTCATATTTAATTGCTTTCAAAATGCATACGAAATTAGCTTTTTTTTGTTTTTGTTTTTTTTTCGGGGTTGGAGCTTTCCATAGCGCCATTAAAGGAGGGGACGACTGGTACTGGTACTGGTTCTGGGTGTGTGAATAAAATTAAATTATTATTTAATTTACCTGTGTTACGGGATTCTCGCCCGGCCGATAGACGACGTTGTGCAGCGGCCGCTTGCGGCCCACATAATTGACGCACACGAACTCCAGCAAGGAGGCGTAGATGAAGCACATGCAGACCCCGTCCCAGACGTTCATCGCCGTTAGATTGGAGACGACCGGCAGAGTGCTCCGGAAACCGTTGGAGGTAGTGAAGAAATTCAACATGGTTGTCACGCCTGCCATCATCATCGTCATCATCATCATCATCGTCATCATCATCATCGTTGGAGATTTTCGAGATTGTATGTAGATTGTAGAGAAAGTTGCATTAGCCATTTGACACGTAATTGGGAAAAGCATTGCATACTTAGGGGCGGAGAAATGTGTGGCATGGACTGGGACAGGGGCAGGGACACGGCCAGGGACAGGGACAGGGACAGGGGCAGGTTAGTTTGTTCTTTGGCATTTAGTTGGGCTTTGTAATTAGTTTGCTGGCGTATGTACAAAGGTTTATAATTTGAGTTTAATGGTCCAGGACTCAGGCAGGACAGGAGGAGCTCTAAGCAATTTTAATATGTGGTTTTAATTGTTCGGAATATTGTGCAAAAGCTATAGAAAGTAAACAATACTACAAATTCGATGAAGGGGAAATATTGAAAATATAATTACGACTATTATTTCATTTCGAGTGGAATGCATTTCGTACTTTTGCATTTTAAAATACATTTTCAATTATTTTAATTGGTTTTATATTGTATGTATATTGTCTTTGTTTTTGTTAGATTTAAAGTGCTATTAAAGTATCGGATATTAGTGTATAGTTATTATTTTGTAAGATTTTCGGTTGAGCGATTTCCAGAGCAGTTTTTGTTTGAACAGGCTTTCGATCATCAATTTCTGTTAATTTCTGTTATATCTTTTTATTTCGATTCAAATATTTTCATTTTAACCATTAATTATCTTCTTTGGAATAGTGTTCTACCTTTGTTTCATTAATCAAAGGGTTTTGTTCGGGGTTCCTTTGTTTTATTGCATCGCCGTAATGCAATTAATCAGAGCAGGGTAAAGCCTTGCATTTATTGTTAATTATTCTGCTCATTCTCCTCGCCCAACACAAAAATGCAATTCACAGATGGAGCCCTGGAACATGGGACACAATCAATCTTAATTGCCTAATTAGTTGCGTCAACAATTTGGTAACTGCTCTGGCTCTGGCTCTAGCTGAGAGCTGCAACATTTTACTGTACTGGCGTGGCATGCTACAAGAAGCACTTGCAGCATTCGGTTGGTTGCCTTCACGACCCTCATCGATTTTCAATTTGCCTTCGCTTTTCCAGGGTGTGCCCTTCCCCTTCTGCCTCGATGGGAAAATCTCAACGCTGCACTCAACTGCTCGGATGCTTGGGGGAGCGTTTGGGGAGCGGAGCCCGAGCGGGTCGCAAATGAGGCAGGAAGATGCTGGGATGCTGCGACTTGCCGAAGCTTTGATGCCAAAAAACTGGAACTGGATCTGAATCTGGGAGTGCATGCCGTGTCAGCACTTTGACTAACAAAATGCCATCGCTTTCTGTCAGCCATTTCGCCATTTTTTGACTGTTTATTTATTTAGACGCTTTTGTTAGTGGAATATGGACTGATTGTGTTTGCAGATAGATTGAGCAGACAATGCCAGCCACCAAATTGAATTAGCCAGCGTTCCACAGCAATTTGAAATCACGTACAGTCTTAAGCTCTCTATAATACTCTCGTGTATCCACTTTCTTTGGTCTGCAGTTGGCATTTCACGCACAGAAAGCACGGAGAACACAGAGAGCAGAACCAGCAGAACCAGCAGAAGCACTCTGGTGTGCATTTTCCATGTGGGCCATATGGCTTATGCATAAATCATCGTGTACTCGTATGATGTGGCCAACTCTCCACGTCATCGTCATCATCATCTCACAGACGAGGGCACAGGCCACAGGGCACAGGACACTAGGCACCAGGCACCAGGCAGCTGGCAAAGCAAATACCAGGAAATAGCCGTGTCCATGTCTTGGTTCGTGTCCAGGGGCAGGCTGCCAACAACATCTGATGGCTGATGGTTGACATTCCCTTTTGGCTTAGCCTTCTTTCTGGGTTTCTGTTTTTCCTGGGTTTTCTTCCAACGCTTTTGCTCGGAGATAGCGCATAATAATTACATTAGCCCTACCGCAGTGTGTGTTGGGGATTTGACTGTTGTGCCTTGGTCTTCTCTAGTGGTTCGCTTTCTGAGCCCATCTCTATCCAAGTCATATCTTTGTTCTGCCATCGTGCAGTCACCTGTGATTGATTATTCTTATATATTTCTTATTTATTTATTGCACGTTTATGGTCAATGATTTTATTTAAGCATGAGAGAACCTTAATTAGCACGATCGATGTAGCATGATCGAGTGCTTTTGTCGGTTCGTATACCAAAGCTCTTCCACGGAAATAAAACTCCAGAAAATCTGCCTAATTTAAGTAAAAGAATGTCAAAGATTCATGCAATGCAAAACTTCTCAGAGCAGTTGGGGCTTACTTGTACCAAAATACGTGTGAGTGCAGGAATAGTCAGAGAATACAAATGAGAGAATGAGCAAAAAATGAAACTAAAGGAACCAAAGAATCTGTCGGATGAGTAATGGATTAAAACTGAAACAACAAAGGGAATCGCATCCGTTTAAATGTAAGGGCTAGCATACTCGTATGTTAGTTGTTTCCGGATAATACGAACCCAGAACCTAGACTAGAAGAACTCTATAATTCATACTCTCTTTGCTGGCCAATTGTCTCTTGTGGTTAAATTTCGACTAGGACTGCGCCTAAAAATGCTAAAATGCATTTCACTATGGATTTCGTTTGTATTGGAAGACTACGATTTCTGTATATATTTGATTTTGTTTTTGTTTGGTTTGGTTGTTTTTTGGTTGTTGTTTGTTTTGTGGTTGCTACGTACCGATCATAACCCGGGCTGGGACTGCATTCCATTCCAGCCAAAATGTGATAAACGACGAGGTGACCAATATAATGCCAGGTATGAAAACGGTTGTGAAATAATACGCACGATCACGGGTAAATGTCAACTCGACCTGTAGGCAACTGTAATTACCTTTAAGAAACGAGGGGCCGAGAATTATATAATTCGGCCAGAGGTTAACGCACACGCACACACGTACACACAGACACACAGACACAGACAGTGAGAGTGAGAGAGACAGACAGTAGGAGACAGAAGGATATACATAAATATGTAGATGGAAAGAACTAGACAGATAGACAGATAGAGAGAGAGAGAGGGACACATCCATATATATGTATGTATGTATGTAGGTATAGGTTATACATATATCCTAGCCTAGCCTAGATTATCTATTGTTCAGTTGTTGGCTTCTTCTCTTCGCTGAGCTGTACTTCTGGATAAGAACTATACAAATGATAAGATTGAAAGAACTGAAATCGTGGTATTCGATATAACGAGTAAAGAGTAACGAGTAACGAGCAACGAGCAACGAGTGGTGTTTGGGGGGCTGGCTTTCGATTCGGGTGGAGTTTTTATTTGAATTTGAATTTGAATTTGGATACAAGGAAGCGAAGAAGAATCCATGCAGAAAACCTTACGAGCATATTATGTAGCTAGCATATGTATATATGAAAACTGAAACTTGTGTGGGCTGGACTGGTGTGCGCATACTTTTGGTGGGCACTGCTTGGCTACTAACAACTATTGTAGGTAGTACTTGGTATTATTACTTGGCATTGAAATGGAATGGTTGTTTTGGGGGCGGGTGACAATCAGAAACAAAATCATAAGGTAAGGTTGTACAAATTACATTACAGAAGGGCAATGGCAATCGAAAAAAGGCAAATTCTACGATAGGCAAAGGCGCAAAAGTAAATCAATTCTCAATGGTAGACAAAATTGATTGTTTCTTGATTTATTTTCTTAAGAATACGAGTATATATATTGGTTGTTGGTTGTTGATTTAGTTTGAGAGTGTGAGATATATATATATATATATAGAGAGAGAGAGCGAGGGGTAAAAATTGTTTATGGATTCATTATTTGTTGGTGTTGGATTTTTGGCGTTTGTTACCTATCATCGATCTAGCTGGCACGGCATTCCATTCTAGCCAGAATGTTATAAAGGACGACGTCACCAATATAATGCCAGGTATAAAAACGGTGGTGAAATAGAATGCACGATCTCTGGTAAAAATTAAATCGACCCTAAGACAGCTGTAGTTCCCTAGGGAGCATTATATATAGGTTTTTGATTCGGTTGTTGGTTGTTTTTTGTAGCGTTTTTGAATAGTGGGCGAGTGGAAAGGTAGACAAAGATTATACCATTAATAATTATCGTTTTCGTTTTGTTTTTACTTTTTGCTAATAGTATCATAATGAAAATGAAGCTGCCAAAGCCGAGGTCTAGCCGAGGTCTGAGACTACGGAACGGAATGTAAATCAAGACAAGAATAAGTTCAAAAGCCAAGCCAAAGTAGGGTTTACTAAACTGAGAAGGTCCATATAAAAGAAACCTACATACAAAATACATATTTATATAAAACGAATCATAAAAACGTCTTTTTGTAGGAAAGAAATATCATTAGACCAGAAAAATACTACTAAAAGTACTACATATCCGATTTCTCAGTTAATTGTTCTTTTGTGGCCAATATAACATAACTAACAATATAACTAAAGAATATACGAATACAGATACAGATACAAATTTGAGGGCATGGAGCCACCGAGGACTTACCTCTCCAGCTGTTCTGATCGCAGGGTGTTGTTTGATTCTTAATCAAGTACGCATTCAATGTGGTCAGCGATGGACTTTTCCGCAGAGTATCCTCATCGTTTTTCCAAACATACTTGATCTGTGATTCCTCGTAAGAAACTGTTTGTGGGATGAAACGAAGAAGGGTTAGAGCCAATTCGATTACAATCTCAGTACCCCGCCCAATATACTATATGTGTGTATCTGTGTACTCCCCAAGTAATCCCTTCATTAATTAATGACATTAATGTACTGCCTGGATGGGGGTTCTATTCTCGTACGCCTCGCTAGCACACACACACAAATGCACATTGTCGAAGACATATTTGTGTGTGGGTTCTAGAGTGGGGGTTGGAGTGCGGAGGGCGGAGTAAATTAAATCATATTTGACAAACAAGCCACGACAAGGAGCAGCAGGCAGCAAAAAGCAAAACACTTCGATGTTTCCTCTAGCAGATGAAAATCTCGGCAAGGCCCAGTCACTCCTCAATGGCCTGCCTGCCTGCCTGCCTGCCAGCCTCTCCAAAGTAATTTACGATGTTGCTCACGTTCTTGTGTGGGGAGGGGGCGTTGACGGGTGGAGGAAACAAACCGGAAGCAACTTTCGGAAAACAATGCGAAAGACAAAAGAGCCTGGAAAAGCGTTGCTGGTGAACATCAAACGAGACTTTCTGTCTCTCTGTCTGTCTGGCGGGTTTGGCTATGTGGCAGGCAGTCAGTCAGCCTTGTTAGTCACTTTGTCAGCTTTTGTCGTTTAGCCTGCCTGCCTGCCTTCACCGCCACTCACCGCCTCTTGTTGCACAACACACAGAAACACAGACAGACAGATGCAGATACAGGCAAAGATTTCCCTCGAGTGGCAGTCAACACGCTCTGCCTTTCCTCAAGAACCACAGTAGTGTTGGGGCTGTGGCATCTACATCAACAGCATCATCATCATCAGCATCAGCGTCAGTATCTTCAGGTTGATTTTCAACACTTTGCCATTATTTTCATATTATTTACACATTCTTTCTCTCGACTCAGTCTTCTAATTTGATTTCTTATTCAATTATTTGAGGTATGACTTTATTTCCTGTTTAATTATTGGAGTAGGAGTGTGCTTCGTTTTGTTTTTGTGTGAAACTTACTGCTTTCCATGGAGAAGGAGCACTTGGGATCATCGAATGGAAATATGTGTAGGCTGCCCTGACAGGATAAAATCAGATGTCGTCTGGAAAAAGAGAATTGGATAATATTAAAGGGGTTTGGTGGAAGCAAAACAACTATTAAAGCTCCTGTTTTTTATTTATCTCAACTGCCTTACACTGCCGGCCAATTCATAAATCATCTTTGCCTTAACCTGTGATGGCATCTTTGACTCGAATCTATCATAAAACATTTGGACCTTATAATTCCTTGGATTTCCCCTCTGGCTTCCATTTCATGCTGCTTGTCTTTGCCACTTAATAGCACGCTTTGTTCTGCCAGCATCAATTCATAATATTCCCTATTCTCTTTTCCCCTCTCTCTCTCTCTCTCTCTCGCCCCATTTGGAGCAAGTTTTTCCAACATTTGTTCTTGTTGGCCATGCAAACAGTGGGGATCCGGCCAGAGCAGGAGAAGGAGAAGGTGCAGGGGAAAGTAAATGGCAACTGCAACTTATTTTAATTGCTGGACGACACTTTTGCGCTATGCAGTCAATTGGAAAAGTTCTGTTGAATTAAAAATGTAGACAAGTCGGGGAAAATGGGAACAGAATCGGAAGGGAGAGAGAGAGCAGTAGGGCTGGCAAAATGAAGACAAACATGAGCATCCAACAAATGTTGGCCATATACTCGTACTCGTATGTATGCAATATGTTCTGCACAGTGCTCTGTTTTCTGTATGTGTGTGTGTTTTTTTTAGCAGCATCCCGGAGAAGGAAGGAAGGCAAACAACATACGAGTACTCCTCGTACCAGTCGGGGGTTATATTTTTTCCACCTGTTCAGGTAGGAGATGGGATATTTTACCTGGCCAAATATTTGCATACATTTTTACATTCTACTCATATTCTGGCACGGCGCGCCGGCCGCCCCATTTCTTGTGCTATTTTTCATTACTGCCTCGTGCCTCGTATGTTTGCCAGCTAGCTTACATATTTTCAGAGTTCAGAGTTCTACCTTTTCTTCGTTTTTTTTTTGAAGATTTTTCACTAGCCAGAGCCAGAGCGAAGAAAATTGTAGAAAATTTACAGCAAAAACAAAAATGGGAAAAAAAAGAGAATAAAAAAATATCGCGCACCGACTGCCTGCCTGTCATTTTGTGCTCTGGTCTCCCTAATGAATATGAACTTTGAGCGAAAAGAATTTGCATTTTCTGGCGCCATTAAAGCCGCTTAGCTTGGCCTGGCCTCGTCTCGCGTCTCTGTATAAAAAATTCATTCATATTCAAATCTGGGCAGGCACAGAGGACAGGGACAGAGACAGGGGAAGGGACAAGGAGAGGGATACGGACACACACCTCATTGCGTACGTAATGGTCCCGTTCCGAAATATTCTTAAAGCGAAATGCATTGGTATGATGGGATCCTTGAAATCGCCATGCATAATGAAATACGTATCCGGCGTCCAGATGCTATCATGATGATGCAGAGCATTTAAGAAGTCATAATGAGACTTATTGCCATATTGCAGTCGTGGATCGTTCCACTGCTGGTTCAATAGGAATTCCACCTCATATTTCTGCAAAGACACATACATATTGCTCAAAATATATTAGCTGTTTGATTTCTCGGGATTATCGTGGCTACCAAAGACTTACCAAGCTGCTTTCATCGGGTGATGCTAAGCTCAGGAGCAGCACATTCACGTTGACCGTCAGGGTGCCTATTCAATGGGATTTAGAGTATGCAAAATATATTAAATATACAAGAAAAACCATCGATAATATTACAATTTTTATTGTGCCAATGGAAAAAATAGGCAACAAACAAAAAATAAATGGAAAATACCAAACCAAACCAAGTCTTCACTTAACCAAAAAGAGGGGAAACAGATATCGAAACGAAAGTAAGTCAATGAATGTCTAACTCTACTATATGTAAGCAACAACAACAGAAAAAAATCTAAATAAATAAGTGTTTTTTGTATTTATGCATCTTTTTGATGTGGAACTTTGGAACTTTGTACACCAACCGCGATTGTGGGGTCTCCGTGGATTTTGATTTGTTGCCATATCGGGCGATTGTAAACCACAGCAAAAGTCTTCATCTGTAAAATTCAATGGGAAATTGTCTAAACAATTTGCTATCATCATTTGGTATCACATAATAATCTGAGGGTATTTTCTGTTTCTTGTTTCCCCTCTATACCACTTGAAACCCGAGCGACCCATTATAATGATTTCCAAGGGCATAAACATATCGAAAGATCGAAGGATGGTCTACTCCCAGCAATACTTTGTACGAGTAGGTCCCCTACAAGCCCCCCATCAACCCATCCTTCAGACAGTCCATCTCCTTTGTGCATCGCCCATTAAGTTTAATTGATTTTATAGTGTCCATGCATCGTTGCCCTGCTTCTCCGCCGATTGTTGTCTGTGGGGGGTTGTCACGGTGGCTGCCCCCCCCACGTCCCCCATCCCACCAGTCTGGCCACAAAATTCTTAACGATGCCAGCCAGAGATACAAAAACCGAAATGGAAACTGCATCGCATCGCTTGTTATTATTGTTATTCGGAGCTGCTCCATTCTACTACTCGGAGAGTACTTAGACAAATTGGAAATGTAACGTTCAGAACGAGTGAAACACGAGTGGAAATATGGGGCGTGTGGGCGTTTGGGCGTGAGGAGGGGAGGGGAAAACTTCATGAACTTCTTACCATTTACAGGCGGCAGTAATCGTTTGTCGTAGCGCTTCTTCTCAAGCAGTAAATCTAATATCTCCTTATCCGAACTGGACTCGTCGAATCTGTGTAGGGCAAACGGAAAGAATTCTTTAGTGCGTTTGTAGACACAAAAAGGATGTACACTGTACAGTTTATGGTTAGTACGAATAGTAGTCAAAATATATAATTATTTAGTAAGTATTTATTGTAGATAGCCCTATGTGTAGGGATTTATCTATGTACAATAGTTTTTGGGGGAATATGTTGGTTAGTGTTAGGGATAGATACGAGTACGAGTATGTATGTCGAACAACAAAGCCAATTCAAAGATAAAGTAAGCAAGCGAATTTGGTAGCAGAGGGGATCTTATATTATGTATTATAAGAGTCAAACAATTTTGGGAATGAGAGCATCTGAAGTATCTTTTGAAGAATCGCACTAAAGCTCTTGTTTATTGCAAATAAAAGAGTGGTTTTTGTTTCAATTTGCATGCAAAACCTCAGCAGAAATCGAACCGAAACCCAATTTTACCATTGCGGTTGGTGAAGTCAAATAAAAACTCAAAAATTAAACGAATATTCTGTTTATAATTGGAGAAAAAGATAAAACCGAAAATTGTGTTTTTCTTTTTTTATATCTCTTTGTCCATACAATACATTTTCTTTTTCTTTTTTCTCTTTTCTGTTATTGGAGAGAGAGAGATAGAGACAAAGAGAGAGAGAGAGAGAGAGAGAGCGTGTGTGTGTGGTGAGGAAGAGGTGTGCAATAACTTACTTCGACCAATCGATGCCATGACTGAAAGAATTTCAAAAGAAAAAATAAATAGAAAATTTTTTCGTGTTGTTTTAAGGGGTTACCAGGCGATACAGAGAGATATATGTATGTATATAGAGAGTGGTGGAGAGACAGACAGATAGATAGACAGATAGATAGATAGATGGATAGATAGATAGATAAATAGATAGAAAGATGGATAGACTGGGAGAGAGGGATACGTGTGTTCGAGGATTCCTCAACCAAAACAAAAAAATGTGTAATAAAGTTTCGAGTGTCCCGGTATGCATTGGATGGTTCTGGGCTTTGGGCTTTGGGCTCTGGGCTTTGGGCTCTCTGTTGTGGGACTGCACTTACATGGGATGCTTGTCGAGGGCACCCGTCTCCGACTGTGTGGCAGCGGCCGTGGATGTGCTGGTCAGATAGCAGAGCATCAGGATGACACTGGAGGCGGCATAGAAGCTGAACGATTGGCTATAGTGCTTGTAGTGCTGCCCCAGATACTGGTAGGCGGCCGCCGATGTGGCGGCGGCCGTTGCACTGACATTGGCTATGATTGCGGCTGACATTGTGGCGGGCAGAATGCCGGAGGATGCATATGTGTCGCGCCACGGCTGGTAGGCTAGTGGTTGCTTGCGTGGATCCTCCCCTTCCAGCTCCTGCTCCTGCAGCTCGTGGTCGTCATGCCCCTGCTCCACCTGCCACTGCAGCGAGGTCGCTAGGGCAGCTCTCGCATGCAGCAGCATCTCGTGCAGGGAGAGCGTTGAAATGCCAGCCAGCGTGGCAGCAACCACTGCGGTGGAGCCAAGGCCTGGCCGAATCCGGCCCCAAACTGCCGTCGCATCCGCATCCGGATGTAGCCGTCTCCGGCGACGATTTTGACGATGCAGCTGCTGCTCATCGCGATCGCGATCTCGTTCTCTGCTTATCTCTGGGCTGTGGCCTAAGCAATTGGGGCAGAGTGTTTGGTTTTGCTTCGTTGTTGCCTCAATATCGATTCCTGCTGCCGCTGCCGCCGCTGCTGCTGCCGCTGCTGCTGCTGCTGCTGCTCTATCGACGACAATGGTCGTCCCGTGTGTCGTCGCCAACTCGTCGTTCTCGCCGTCGTCGTCCTCGTCGTCCTCTTCTTTGTCCTTGTGCGCCACTTGACTGGGGTTCTTGTTGTTCTTCTGGGGCTGCTGCTGTTGTTGCTGTTGTATCGTTAAAAGCACTCGAGTTCCCGCTTTTAGATGTTTGGCGTTTGCTGTTTCTGTTTGCGTTTCGACGACAATTTCTGTTGTTGTTTCGGTTTGCGTCTGCGTTTGCGTTTGCGTTTTCGTTTTATGATTTTGTTGATAGTTATCCTTGATTTTGATGTCCTCAGCTGGTCGCAATGTGGTCGTTGGCGTTGTCGTTGGCGTTGCCGTTGTCGTTGCTCCGCCCGTCTCTCCACCCTCCACGACTCTGACTGTGGAGGACGCCCTGCCTGGTCGTGTTGTTGTCGCTGTGGCTCCTCTGGCACCGCATTGATTCCTTCTTAGTTGCTTGCTGGCTGCTCTAGTTAGTGGTTTTTTGTTGTTGGGCTGCTCTTTGGCTGCTTCAAAGACGCAGCCCATGTTATGACAACTGTAAAGAGCCATTAAAATACACAAATCAATTCGCAATCAAGGCTGAAACTAATTAGGCCACTGCAAAAGCCATTACCACTGCAACAAAATCTAAAATAAGAATCTACAATGACGCCGACACCCACTTGACTGTCACTCCCATCAGCACTCGCACAGATACATATGTGTATGTGGCACCTTTTTGATGGATGTGGTAATATCGGATTGTTTCCACGCCCAGCTGCGTGCCCCAACTAAATGTAGGTGTCAGTTGCAAGTTAGCATGATTCCTGAAACTGATTTATACGAGCCGGAGTACTCAAGGAAACATTTTGGAATGACATCAGTCCATCACTTGTACACCGACTAAAGGATACCCATTATTGAGATTTGATTCCTATTCCAGCAGAATAATTGCTTTTCAATGAATCAGTGGATAAAAAGTGGACGTAATCTCCTATCGATCTCGATCTCCTATCTGCTGTTTATGCAAATAAATATATAACTTATGAGCCAACAAATAATTTCTTCTATCTGTTACACCTGCTGAATATCAGCTCTTCCACTCAAGTAATACTTTCTTGTTCATTTTCGGAAGATCGCATAATACCCGCGTCCAAGCTAAAAGCAAACCCCAGTAGCACAGAGAATTTTAGAGAAAAATGCTCTAAGGTAGCCCTGAGCGAGTGTGTCGCTTGGGGCAGACCCAAAAACCCGATTGTCAGTCAGCCAGTCAATGGGCCAAGCGAATTTTTTATTGTTGCATGTCAAAGCCGCCTGTCTTTGCCATGTCTTCTCTTCGGCTGTTGGTTGTTGGTTGCAGGTTGTAGGTTGTTGCTGCTGCTGCATTTGCAGTGTCTGTTGCTGTTTTGGCTGTCAGTTTGCGGCCAAGCCATAGAGGAATGCAATTTTCATTTTAGACAGAGATATACAGATACACACATATCCGTATGTATGTACGGATATACATAAGTCGGTACAAGTTTGGATCTCTTTTTTGACATTTATTTCAACATGCAAGGACCTGCTGCGGTCAATGCACCAAAACGAAATAAATTCGAACCGCACAAATTCAATTTCCTTTTTAGCTCTAAATAACACTGATATTCAGTGATGTGGGTCTGATTAGATACATTCGCATGTATGTACATATGTACGATTAGGTTTGTGTGTGTGGAAACAAATGTATATTTAATCGGCTTAAATGGAACGAAGCATTGTTTGAAAAGAAGTTCTAAGGAATAGTTATTTGTAAAACAGTTTAAGCTGCTTATGGAGTTTCTTTTAAGTGATTTGGATTGTTGAATTTATGGAACAGCAGCTAAACCACAGGCAATCCAAACTTGATTGCCAGAACAGCCACTAAAGAAACTTTGACATGACCAAGTCCTGGCCTCTTACCCTACCAATCCCTACCACAAAACACACACACACGCACACACACTCAGGAGTAGGGAAGGATGTGCCGACAAGCCCAAGCCAAGCCAAGCCAAGAGCAGGCACTCAGTGGCTCTGGCATTCCATTCCGGAGGAGGGGGAGAAGGAGGAGGCTTCATTATACATTTATTCGATTTTTACGTGACTTTGGCCATAAAGCACGAAAATAAACCCCGAATACTCGTAGAAGACAACAGATACGAAAAGTAATAGCACAAAAGTAGGAGCCGGTCTAAGGAGTACCCATGTAAATGGTGTTCATATACAAATTGGTACCGATATGGCCTAAACGTGTCCTCCCCATCCACATTTCCTATGTCCTGGGCCTGTGCCCCGCCTCCACCCACATGTGCCAGGACAATTATCGACCTCAATCCATTTTAAACGCTTCTACAACATGCCTCCTTCTGTTGCGGCTGCTGCTGAAATAGACATACGAATCGCTCTTTGAGTTTTTCAAAAACTGTCAATTCGGGAGAACTACAAAAAACCAAAAAACAAAAAATGAAAACCAGAACGAGAACGGGGGGAAAACCTATATCAAAATGAAAACTTTTCCGGCTGATTATCGAGTGGACCACAAAAACGAAACAGAAATATAACAGACCATAGATCAGTTGATGCCAGGCTTCCTTTGTAGCCTTCCTGCCAGGCGCTCCCTGCTGATATCCTTTATGCCTTCCGGGCCATAAATTTACACAAGCCCTGCTCGAGACTGGTCGTCCCCCGTCGTCGGTGACTGCAACTTGGTCCGAGTTAATCCTTCCATCGTCTGGCGACCGGAAACGGCAGCAACTGACAAGCCACAGCCACAGCCACCAACTAACCCCGAAACACAACCAATCCTCCATTTTGCCGGCCCTTCCGCCCCCCTACCCCTCCTCCTCTTTTTGGTTAGTATCCTTGCCCAGTTCCAGTTGTGCATTTCATTTTACGCTCTCAACTCTTTTCATATTTTTACTGGGAAAACTTTGTATAGTCGTCCCTTTTATTTTTTATCCTTTTTGTTTGTACGACTTGTGCAGTCAATTTAATAATTTGTTGCTCCTCCCCTCCCTTCGCCGCACTCTGGCTGTCTCTCAAATTAGTTGACACTGTGGGGCATTTGAAACCAAAATTATTTGCATAGTTTTTGTGTTGCTGTTGCCGTGGCTGCGGTTAGCCACACATGTCGGATACTTAATATACTCTCAAAATAGACTGACAGCCAGTCAGCCAGCCAGCCGGCCAGCACACATTTTGGCCACGTTTTGTGCTGGATCAGATCAGCCAGCTTTAATGACCTAATTTGTAATTTTACCCAAATCCAGGGGCAATCCAATTACACAGATGTGCAACCAACACTTCCCGTAGGACCACGCAGGACCAGGCAGAACCAGAACATCGCCAGGCAGAAATTAATTGAAAAAAACTATTAAATTAGGATGGAAGTCAAGGCGAAAGGATGAATAATTAGCACTTAGCCCGGCTAACTAAATTAGATGGAACTGAACCGCTTGAAGGTTGGTTTTTGGTTATTAAACCAATTTGTGGATTATTTGCTGAAATCGCATCCCGTTTATCGACGACTCCACCGAAACTACTTGAAGCAAGGTCGGTCGCCAATTTCCAATTTACCAATGCCAAAGGAACTGACCTTTGGACTATTTTATACGACCTCCAACCTGCCCGCCTGTCTGTCTGCCTGGCTGGCTTTAAAGGAAATTTTCAAGGAAAATATTTTAATTTGCCATTAAACGGCCAAGTGAAACGGCTAACCTCTGCGAAAGAACAATAACAATAAAAGCCAACTTTTGCCAACAACAACAACGGCAGGAGAAAAACAAGAGCAATAAGCAACAATTACAAACAACTTGGTATCGATTTTTTTTTTTTGTTTGTCATGGCGCCATTGTTCGAAGTCACGAACTTTCCAGGTACGAAAAAGACAAAACCAAAAACCAGAAACCAGAAACAAACCCAGAACCAGAATACAAAAAAAAAATGTTGATTAAGCCCATTGAAATGTTCTTGAGGTTTTTAGCGTGAGGAAAATGTGGGGGAGGACAGATTATGAATTATTTGGTGGGCAACTCAACAACTCAGCAACTCAACAATGGAATATATGTATGTACCATTGTTCGACGAAGGCAGGATTCCGATTATATATACCTTGAGGGTTCAAGCGATCTCTGAGTCGCATTGCCCTTTGGATGGATGGGGGCAGAACCGTTGAAGCCCTGCGTTTTAATCGGAAATTTCCGCATAAATTAAATGCATTATAAATGAGTTCAGCTCAATGGTCCCTTGTCGGCTAGAAGCCAAAATCGTTATCCATTATGGAGCATAATCTGTTGCATTAAAACTGATTAAAATGTCATAGCATAGACCAGAAATTTATGGCCAGGCAAATGTGGTAATTGAAGTACGGCACTTGACCCACATACTGTGTGTGGATGCAACTGGCATTTGGGATGCAGTCAGGCAGCCGGGCAGCCAGGCAGTAAGAGCAATCGCCAGGGGGCCATTCACAGGGGCAGAGTCACATTCTATCCGGCTGATGGCGATGCCGATGCCGATGCCATGCCTAATTAAATAACTCGATAACTAAGAGCATTGGTATGCAGGTGAGGCAAAGTGTAATGGAGTCGAGTGTAGTGGAGTGGAGTTCATTCGCATTTCAATTAAAATGGAGACCAGCAGAGAACACGGATACACGGATACACGAATCCACGGCTACAGCCACAGACACACTCAACAAATGGCAAACCACTCCGAGGGACGCTAAGTCGTTTAGGCTTAAGTCAGCTTATTGCTCGGAAAAGTAGGACACGCGACGACATAGTTGACATACGACAGCGACGACAACGACGACGACGATGACGACGACCTGTTGGTGGGACAATTTTCCAATAATCGAACATACTCGTACATACATACCATACATACAAGTTTAATTAATGCCAAACAGCGAAAGTTTTCAACCTTTTGGCGCTAATTTGATTTTAAAACTAATTTTAATATTCATTTCAGGTCTCTCATAACTGAAAACATTTGATATATACTATATATTCATGTGATTCATGGCTGAGGTGAGCCATTTGGCCCCGGCTAATTGCACATTTGGACGGTTTGCGGTGCCAACGTTTGCACAAAGTTAACGCAAAATGACAAAGTGCAAATGTGCAACGCTCGCGTGGAGATAGAGCAGGAATTGCGGTTGGGCTTGGGGTTGGGCTTGAGGTTGGGCTCGGAGAGAGAGGATGCAGTGCACGGCTGTAGGTGGTGTGGTGGTGGTGCCATCACATTCTGTTTACACTAAGCACTGTCCTCTGCCCTCTGCCCGTTGCCCTTTGCTCTCACTTGATGGCGAACACAGAAGAATTCGAATCCGAAATCAAAAGCCAAGTCAATGAGTTCAAAGTTGTTTGGTTGTGGTGAAATGTAAGGGTATATCGTCCAGGAAGAGCATTGGGAATTTTTTTATTTGGGGTGGAGTGGCAGAGACCACACCTGCTTTCCGATTCTTGTTTGCAAATTGCATATTTCTCTGCTGGATAACCTTTTTCCCACTCGATTACGAATTTTATTCATAATTTAAATTTAATGAATAAATTACGGTTGATACATTAATGGCTGACCGCAGAAGAAGCAGCAGAATCACCAGCAGCAGCAGCAGCAGCAGCAGCAGCAGCGGCTTAAAGTGCAAAACGGATATCGGTGTCACGCCCACAAATATTATATGGACGTGCACATAAATATTATATAACCACCAACCATAGCATAGCATAGCATAGCAGGGACCTTTCATCGATTTGTTTGAGTAATTAAACAATCGCCAGAAGAAAATCCCCAGTGATCCAATTTTTCGTTTAATCTTTTCGGTTCCATTTGGGCCACTTTATACATACATATATCATATGTATGTGCGAGTATATCGAGAGGAGAGGAGAGGAGAGGAGAGGCTGTCTAAAATCTCTAAGGGGAGAGTAGTAGCTGTCACAGCCACTTATATGTACATACATATACATAAATGCCATGCATCAGGGATATTTATGTGAATAAATTATAATCAACGAAAAGAGAAGAGCAGCATCCTTGCAGACTGTAATAATTCAGATTAAAAAGTATTTATACACAGTGACACTGACATGGTCTGTAGGGGCTGCTCCTGCTCCTGGTCCTCGTCCTCGTCCTGGTCCTGTTCTTGGGGGGTATGGGGCGTGGGATGGGGTGGAGTGGGGTGGGGTGGGCTTATGCTGCTGGTCACGCGTGTTCGCTCTGATATTTCGCCATAATAAATTGACATTTTTCGGACATTTCTCTTGAGCTTCTCCGGGCTCTGCGGGCTCTTCAGGGCTCTCCGCTCTCCGCTCTCGGAAATGGAAAATGGGTGCTGGGCGCCGTGGGAGCTGTCCGTCATTTAAGCTTTTTCTCAATGCTTCTTTTCTCGGCTGTCGGTTTTTTGTCTGTCGCTTTTCGGTGGTCGGTGGTCGGTTGTCGGTTTTTCGGCTCTTGGTTGTTGAGGGCAAGCAGCTTATGAAGAGATTTCGTCAAGAGTTGAATTGGAGCACCATTTGGGTGGAATCGGTCTCTGGTCCAAAGTAATCTCGCTCATCCCATGCCCCCCATGGCACCCCAAGCTAATATTTAAAATGATTTCTGTGTGAAAATTCCCCTACGAAATCTGGAAAATCGAAAATGCTTGGCACTCAAGTGCTGGGGGGCAGGAAGCGAAATAACAGGAAAAAGCAATAAGCATTCAAATAAAAACTGGGGAAAGAAGAGAGCGAGAGCAGCGACAAATAATTTGGCACAAAAGCAAATAAACAAGATAAACGAACAAACAAACATTTAGGGAGGAGGGGAGGGAAGGAAGGAAACAACAAAACCGAGGAAAGACAAAAACAAGACAGAAACAAAGCCAAGTACCCAAGCACATAATGAGCATAATGGGCGTGTTGAGAGGGAGGTCTTATAGGGGCACGGCACACATATACCCCATCCATGCCCAACCCCTACCCCTACCCCTAGCACATGAGACGCGAGTGCCAAAGAGCTTTTTGTGTTGGTTTTCCCTCTCAGTGCTAGAATAAGCGCCACTTTACATGCAAACATACACATGCACTCACAGACAGAGACACACACTGATAGAGAGAGAGAGAGGGAGATTGGATAAGGGTAGAACAGTGGGATGCTGGATGCAGTTGGAAGCTGGGAACACTGGGAGTGCAGTGGCATCTGCAGAACGAGGGCAAAGGCACGTCGCCCAACCATTTAAACTAATCTTGAGGCAGTTTATTTATACATATATATACATATATCTCAAGGGTCGTTTGTCCTAACAATGTGCTCTCTGCTTATACTCTACGAGTGGGTAGGAACAGATGTACCCATCCTCAGGCAAGCTATAAAAAAGGGGAGCAAACACACGACAGGGACAGGGGCGACAGAGACCCTACAAAAGCCAGAGACAGGTGAGATCTATGAACGCATTGAATACACATGGAGGGGACAATAGTTCATGGGTCACAGTGCTATGTGTGCTCTGCTATTAAGGGAACCACAAATCTCTATCACAATTATACAAAGCCAATGAGGTGTGGGATGTATCCTTCGAAAGAACGACATAGCTTTAAGGACAGTTTTGGAAAAGATATCTAGAATATCTGGCAAAAACCATTTTCATAAATCCCAAATATCTTCACTGCCTCAACCTGATGGCTTTTGAACTGTCACCGCACTCCCCTTTGAATGAGCTCCTAATCTGCCTGATAGTTGTTTTGCAACAACAGAATTGAATATGTACCTTACTTGGGCCACCCAACCTTTGGCCCCGTCCATGCCCTGAGCAGTTGAATAGATCGTTGAGCTCTTGAGGTCACAGAGAGGCGCACACTTCACTGACCTTTAGCCTGGGACCTGGGTAATACCCGTTTTGAGGCTATTTAATTTCTATATAAATATTTTGCCTTAGACCACAAATCTGCGGGTCATAAGCCGCAAGGACGCGCGGCCGGGCACACGACATGCAGCTCCTTGAGCGGGCTTCGGCTTACAGGCTTCGCCTCAGCCTCGAAAGCACGCCCGAATGAACTTGTATTAAAGCAGCCGGAAATTAAACACACAAAAGTTCTCCAAGAACCTGGCCGCACCTTCACACACAGACAAGTACACACACACACACTCATGGTGCACTCATACATGTGCTTGTTGGTGGTTTACATCTTTTATGGCCGCCCCTCCCCACCCCCAAATTTTATTTCCATTTTTATATTTTCCCCGAAACTCCAGCAAAAGCTCTGTCCGTTTTTCTTTGTTGGGTGTTCCGCTCGAAATTTGAAACGCATACAACAGAAATACATATCTGTGTAAAATCCTCTGCAGTGATTGATGACCGACGGAGCAGTGCTTTTCCCCACTGTGTGTGAGTGTGTTGTCCTTTTTTTACTCACCAAATTTAACTCCGCAGCCAGTTCAATGGAATCTTCTGACGCTCCACACAAGTGCCAGCTGGAAGAGATGAGCCAATTAAAAGAAGCAATTATTAAATTAAATATATCGAGTCAAGGCCCGCCCTCCGCCCCGCCCCCACACAGCCTGCACATTTTCGCACTTGAAGACTGAAGATGAGATGAGATGCGTCTGGGGGTTAATTCCCCTTCGTCCAGGCCCCGAAAGCAGAAAGCAACAGAGCAGACGCATACGCCTCCCAATTTGTGCGGGGAGGGGCTTTTAGAAGAAATTGAACATATGATGATGATGATGATGATGATGATGATGATGATGATGATGATGGTGATGATATGGAAAGGGGTCGGGTTGAGGGTGGATCCTATTAGACCCGACCGATGTCGTTGGTATTCCCCAGCATGTTCCTTTTGGCGCAAATGATGGAAATCACTTAACAAAGAGAGTGGGAAAGTGGATGACGATGACAACGATAGCAACGACAACACGGCTTATATGACAGGAGTGAGCTGTTGCTGCTGTTGTTGTTCTTGTGCCTGTGAGTGGTGTGAGTGGAACTTGTGTGTCTGAGTTCTTAATGAGCTTTTGTCTGCTGCATACTTTTCAGCGCTGTGTTGTGCACTGGAGACGCACACGACTTTTGCGTCTTGTGCTGCTGCTTTGTTCAAATATTTGACAGCCAAGCGGCAGGCAGACAGGCCGGCAAGCAGGCAGGCAAGAGGCTCAAAGTCCCTTGGTTATTAATGCTTAGTTTCCCAACTAATGAAAGAACATGAACGTATTGGAACGAGAAATTGGTTTGAGCCTAGCAATGTGGAAGCTTCGAATATACATAAGAATATAGTACCCACAGAATTTTTCTTACACAAAGTGGAGGTCTTTAATGAGGGTCGCTTGAAGTTTGCCTTATTCGTTTTCTAGCCACAGTACTCAATGTCTTGTTAGTGAGACTTTCCGTTTCCTCAAACTGATCCAGCCACAAAATCACTTAGGGCAAAGTTCAATCAAACGAGTTAATAACTTCCGCAATGTGGCAGCCAAAATTAACCATAACTCTCGGTCTACAGCCAACCAGAACTGACCCATTAGTCCCTGCCCTCCCCCTGTTTCTGTCTCAGTCTCAGTCTCGGCCATGATGGCCCCTCTGACGAGGATAGTGGCAGGTGGGCAGGGGGGCTTACATAGGTTATTCGCTTGAATGGCGGGACAAGGCGACTTGAGGCTACCGGTGGGAATGTGTCAGGTAATATGGGTATGGTAATTTTAGCGCTTGTCTCCCCACGGACCCGGGCACACACAAAGGCAATCACACACACACACAGGACACTCAGGTGCACATGGAATAAAAATGCCGGAGCACATGTCACATTTGCCACATGAGTTAACGTGGCTCATTTATCATGGCTAGCTTCCTATCCTGTCCTGTCCTGTCCGCTCTTGTCTCCCTCCGGCTGTGGTTCAAGGTGACCAAGGCATTTGCTCGCCAATCTGAGGTCGTGTCTACACTCATGTATGCGAGTATCTGTGTGTATTATACAATACACATACACATACATATATGTATGTATATATAGCCAACACCAAAATCTAATTGTAGCCCCTAGGCATAGAGAGATGGCAGCACAACTTTAATTAAGGTGCCACCGACTCCCGCTTCCAGCTCCCGACTGGACTCCTTTCCCACTACTCTCATCACAATGCAATATTTATTAGTGCGTGTGTGGTGGTCGGTCCGTTCCCCCAACACTTGTATGTATACATAATACTCGTCTGTACGTATGTGTGTGTGTGTGCATGGCTCCATAGCATGTGTTCTATGGCATGGCATTATATGTCGCCTGACTAAATTTAGATATTCAAATCGATAAAAAAAAAAGAAAGAAAGAAAGCCCTGGCACGCACGCATTTTTAGTGCCTGCCCAACTTTTGCCTCGAAACGTTTTCCATATTCTCAGAGCTCGAGTTGGAGTTGGAGCCGGATACCAGGAGACTGGGAGACATGTGTGCAAAGGTCGCGCTTTTGTTATAATTGTGTGGAGATAGTAAAACGCAAACTGTTTACAAACCTGCCACGAGAATCGACATCGGCCCACTAATGCCTTAGCCTAAGATTGAGGCTATCCTGATACGATACTCGTAGTAGCAGTATTTCCCCATGGGACCGCCTACTCATTTGTATGCTCGATGTTCTGCAGGGCGAACAGAGCGAGTTCCCAGTCAGACTGTATTTGAATATGGATTTTAGTATGAATCATGGACTGTGTTACTCAGAGAGGAGGGGCTTCGGCTGCTTCAAAATTCGTTGGGTCTTCCGTTTAAATCCTTGCCAGCTGCCAGGGCATTCAGCAGCTGTCTCCTGGGCCGTTGTTTACCTTCAATTATAATGCCTGAGACGGCCGTCTTCTAATAGTAATTATAGGACTGCTTCTCTCTTCTCTCTTCTCTCGTTCGTGTGTGTGTTGTGTGTTTTGTGTGTCGTGTGTTGTGCGGAGGTGGAGCCTTGCGTCTGTGTTGTGTGTGGGAACTTAAACTTTTGCTTTACTTTCACTAATTGAACCAATTGGGGCCGCACATACGGCCCCCTATATCACTGCCCCCGCCATGCCCCTGGGGGCTCTTTGCAATATTTATGACCATATCATATATTGATTAAATAATTAGTCGCTCTCTTCTACAGGAGGCCGATTCACATGCATTTAAATACAATTTATATCAAATACTCGAACGTATATAAATTTCAACCCCCCGCCAGTGCCAGTGCCAGTGGCAGTGGAAGAATTTCCAGTTGCATTTCATTTAATAAAGCATTTGGCACAGACAAACACGGCCCAGACGAGTGCCGACTGGTGCCGGGTAGGCGGGGGGGACCTGGGGCGGACGTCGGTAGGAAGGAAACTTAATTAATTATTTATACTCAGCTTGTTAACAATTTTTTGCCCCTCCTTTTTTAACATTCTCTGTGTTTGCTTTTACATTTATTTTTTATTTTTTTCTCTGTTCTGTTTCTCGGGCGGCATCCCGGGGGCTGTTTGAACTGCAGGCTCACAAAATAGGGTTAAGTATTGGACCAGGCTAAAAGCTAAAAGCTGAGGCTGAGACAGACCAAAGGATTTCGTAGGGGAGCAGGCAAAATAAGTGTAGATTTGAGCGCAAAGGTAATGAGAAGTTTCGGGGGGAAGTTTTTTTTCCGGTGGACGAATGTATTTCTCTAAAAATGTTTGTAATGAATAGAAGGAAGCATTCCGGCCCTTTTGTACATATTTTTGATTAGCATCTTCGAGACTTTTTTTTGATTGGAAGCCTAGCCTATGCCGGATCGGTATTATTATAATAGAACTGCCATAGAAACGATCGGTTGAAAAACCAATACAACACAATGTTACACAAAATGGAGTCCGTAATTCAATAAGTTACTTTCACTAAAAAAACCCATATATCTTTGGATCGGTCAGGCACTTGTATCGGCTTTCTTCAGCGTGCTATTTAGGGGTCATGATTTCCCAATTTTGGAGAATATAAGTGTTGAGTGTTTGGTGTTTTTATTTTTTGAAAGATTCATTTTTTATTCTCCTTTATTTGAGTTTTTTTTTTAAATAAAATGGTTGCTGGAGAGCCTCCTGCTGATGGCTGGCTGAGAATATGCGATATTGATGGATATTTATGGGGTGTTCGTGGCGCCAGAAGGCAGAAAAGCTCTCAAAACACGTGCTTGATTAGAGTCCCACACCACGGCACACCGCCGCCCTCCCATACGGATATTGCGGATATTCGTAACGCCAGCGGACATGGCTCAATCAGGGTACACAAATAACTATGGATGTGGATGTGGATGCGGCCCAGGGGCAGGTCCAGAGGCAGGGGCAGAGGCAGAGCATCTAAATTGGCTTTGTAACTGTTGGAATTTGTTTGTCCACCATTTTATTTGGCCACATCGCATCGGTGGAATGCCTGCCAGTAGGAGCCGGGTCATGTATCGATTTTCCTATGGAAGCTTTGAACATTTTTAATGGCCCACGTTCTTTTTTTTTGTTTTTCGTTTTTGGTTTTTGTCAGTTGCCAAATATTTGCGCCTATTGTGTGGCGAAAATATTTATTCGGCATTTGTTTCCGCTGTGATTTGGCTACGGAAGAGATAATTTCCGCTAATTGCCTGCTGGGGATATTGCGGAACAGGACTCCGACTAGATGCGGGACTATTTAGTGCGAAGTTATCGAATAAATTAACAGCTACTAAATCATGGGGAAAGTCAGCAATTTGTAAATTAGGGCCAGAGTCCCGTTGAGTCTCCTGCATTGTGGGGATGCCAGAGAAACATTCTAACTGGATTACTTCGACTAGATTATAAATTCAACAAGAGTAGGAATTCCGCACCCCACGTCCCACGCCCCACGCCCCGCGCCCCCGCTCACATTCGACAAATAACAAAGTTAATTAGTTTTATGCACAGCCTTTGTTTGCACAAAAAGAAACACACAAAAAAGAACCAAGCAGACCAAAAAATAAAAAAGAAAACTTAGCGAGGGGAAATCAGTAGAAAGTTTTCACATTTCCGTGCAAGGACATGCGTGACGTCGTCGTCGGGTGACCCCTCCGTGGTAACTCGGCTTTCACACTTGCCACTTTCTCACACATACCTTAGAGTATACTATACCCGCACACATATGTATGTATGTTCTGGGCGGCTCTGCTCCTTCTGGGGGCAAGAAAACAGACTTGCACGAGGCTTGAGAAATTAAGAAAGCCGGCAGGCGAGCGGCAAAATAATACATATAACTACTACGGATATATACATGTATGTATATGTTTTTACGGTATATCCGTCTACAAAGGACATTGCTATGATTAGCATTTCAATGGTGGGGAAATGGTTGGTGCTTTTTTCTGTGTGTTTGAGCGGCGAGGAGCGGAGCGGAGCGGAGCAGCTACTGCCAAGGATATTATTCATAAAATGCAATTACTTTTAATGCCCAGGCAGGCCTCGTGCCTCCTGCCTCCTGCCTCCGTGCAGTGTAACTATAATTAGATGGCCAATTATGGCGTT